CTGTTGACTAACTGGGAACAATGTGGCCTGTCATTTTCATGTTACTGTTCAAAGCTTCTAGTGATAATTCTAGTGACTGGAGTAATGACGGGATGCAAAATTTCATTATGACATGCACACGTGTAGGATCGCGTTTTATACACAAGTGCGTGCTGCGTGCACCACACGTGGTTCACGTCAGTTGCAATGGGCGGATGTGTCAGGTAACTGAGGTTATAGACCTGGCAGTTACGGTATTCGCCCATATTAACTACCTGTATTACCCATGTTTAACATAATTCATTTCTTCAAATGTGAAGTTTCCGTTTGTTCAATATACTAGTATATAAAACGGCATAATTGTATTATATTTTGATTTTTGCCTACACAAGGTTTGGTGAAGCGACCGCTAAAGTATTAAATCCACTTAAAACGTTTTGATCAGTTCATCAAACATATTCTTTGTACACGTTTAATCATTGCACGAGTTACTCTGGTGAAACATACATCAAACTTCCCTCTTCCCTCAACAGAAGAGAGTTGCGATGCCGGCATTTTAAACTTCCAGTTTTGCTTCGTCTGCACCCCTACTTTTAATGATGTTGACTGTACCTGTGATGTTGATGTTACAACGTCGGCAACAACGTCGGCCACAACATCAGCAACAACGTCGGCTACAACATCAGCAACAACGTCGGCTACAACATCTCCTACGACATCAGCAACAACGTCAACTACAACATCAGCAACAACGTCGGCTACAACATCAGCAACAACATCTGCTACAACATCAGCCACAACATCTGCTACAACATCAGCAACAACGTCGGCTACAACATCAGAAACAACGTCGGCTACAACATCAGCAACGACGTCGGCAACTACATCTGCCACAACATCTGCTACAACGTCAGTAACAACACCTGCTACAACATCGGCAACAACATCAACAGCAGGCCCAACAGTGGATATAACTTCTCTGAATGTAACATGTGCTGATTGCTGCATCTGGGGACAAAGTAAGACTCAACTTAATATATTTTTGAGGGGGTATGTCCCCTGAGAAATTTATAATGATACGGTGGCTTCTACCTTAACACAAACAAGGAATGCTTTGAAAGTGAAGCTACTTTTCTGAAAACCAATCAATATCCAGATGAACTTGATCAGTACAGCGTGGCTTGATGTTTAAGGACACGTATATCACACTATGGTATATTTTTGTTCAGAAGGTTCTGAAAGATCAGTCTTGACTTTCATGTACTTTCGTGTAGTCAGACAAGTCATAGAGTATTCTTGACCAACAGCAAGTTTCGTAACTATTTAGTCAGTATTCTCGTATCCTTGACCTTCACCTAGTCAGTTTGCAGCCATGGCATCTCATTCCGTTTTGGTAATTCTTGTCTTCCAGCAAGTGGGGTGTTTGCTTTGGAACTCACGGCAGACCCACGTATGGCCAAATGTGAGGAGTTGAGACCCATCTGCGAAGCCTCAGTAACATCCATGACGACAAGCGCAACAACATCGGCGACTTCATTTCAAAAGACATGCCACAACTCCCCTCGTTCGGTATCGTGCTGCTCCAATGGTGAGCAATATTTTTCTGTAAAATATTATTACTAACTGACCAACAGCTACTGACTTTTCAAAAACGCGATTCACCTTTCAATAAAATAACTCAACAACGAGCCATGCTTCCGTCCAAGACAATTGATTCTTGATGTTATTCGGCCTGGCGCTCGGCATGAAGAGGACTTGGTGTCTGTGTTGGTAGGGTATGAAACAGCTGTCAGCACCAATAACCCGTGAAGGTCCCGGTTAGAATTGGGCTTCTGCAATCCATGCTTGTCGTCAGAGGCGACTAATGGGATCCGGTGATCAGGCTCACTGACTTGGTTGACAAATGCCATCGTATCCCAGTTGCGTAGATTGATGCTGTTGATGTTGAACACTGGATTGTTTGGTCCAGGCTCGATAATTTATAGACCGCCGCCATATAGCTGGAATATTGCTGAGTACGGCGTAAAACTAAACTCACTCACTCATTATAAAATACTGAAACATACCGGAAAAAATGTAAGCCATATAGCTGAGTGCGGCGTTAAACAACAAACAAGCAAATAGTACAAGCAGTCACAAGCGCGCGCGCGCGCGCGCGCACACGCACACACACACACACACAACTGAGGGCACGGATTTGGAATCCACCCTAAATCATCCTAAAGGATTAACAACCACACCTCCACCACACCTCACCAAAACAATCCAGGCTGTTGATGTTCATCCCATTCAACATTTTTCTTCTTTCAGAAACCTACTGTCTAACAAGTGGTGATCCGGGATGTGAAATATGTCTGACGGACGTTTTTCCAACAACTGATTGTTCCTGTTCCTTAGAAGTTAGCCAAGCCTTTAGAACAACATGTTTCTGTGAGTTTTCTAACCTGTCGTCAATTTACCAAATTCTCCTTATATCTGATTCACGTAGAGACCTTAATCTCTATAAGTATATTTCAAACCCTCTTAACAAACTCTTAACAACATTAACTTGTGAATTTACTATATTTTCATTTATGGACAAAGATTGTGACAAATACTTATCCACAACATTGGATAACTGCAACTGAAGTTTCCTTCTGTTCATCCAATATTTATGTGTATACAGTTAGTACTTTTCTTCAATAAAACCCTCTCGTATGACGTCTCTCTCGCATAGTACGTCTTTCTCGTATAGTACGTCTCTGTCACATAGTACGTCTCTGTCACATAGTACGTCTCTCTCGTATAGTACGTCTCTCTCGTACAGTACGTCTCTCCCGATTAGTACATCTCTCTCGTATAGTACGTCTCTCTCGATTAGTACATCTCCCTCGTACAGTACTTCTCTCTCGCATAGTACGTCTTTCTCGTATAGTACGTCTCTCTCCCACGGTACGTCTCTCTCGCATGGCGCATCTCTCTCGCATAGTACGTCTCTCTCGCACAGTACGTCTCTCTCGCATAGTACGTCTCTCTCGCATTCTCTCGCACAGTACGTCTCTCTCGCACAGTACGTCTTTCTCGCACAGTACGTCTCTCTCGCATAGTACGTCTCTCTTGCACAATACGTCTCTCTCGCACAGTACGTCTCTCTCGTATTGTACGTCTCTCTCGCATAGTATGTCTCTCTCGCATAGTACGTCTCTCTCGCATAGTACATTTGTATTCTACTCATAAGACGACATTGAATCTACATCTTTTTCTCAACATGCAATTACAAATATAGCTGAAGATTATGTAAACATTTATTTCTAATCATAAGAATACAAAATTTTGAGTAGTATTATCTTTACTTTGACGCAACCTTCTTTAATAAGTCGTACACTTAAACTACAAAAGCAAAGAATTTCAAACATGTGTTTTCCTTTCAATGCTTGATAGTTTGGTTTCTAATGCTCCGCTACTTTTGGAAATCATAAAAATACATTCGGCGCTTGGTTGTCTATACTGCACGAATATTACTACAAGCGGCGTAAAACTATACTCACTCACACACCATGCCATTGTCTTTTGTGATGCAAGGATGGTGGCATGAAATGGAGGTTTAAGAATGTTAAAAAGAGAAAACAATGTAGTACAGCAAGAATAAATAAACATGAACTAATTGAAGAATAAATCGTTCCTGGGCTTAATATTTCGGAAAATGTAATATATTTCTGAAATGGTGACATATGGTTGGTCAGTAAGACAAGAGTTGTTGGTTTTAAAAGTCTTTTTACACTGTTTTTAGGTTGGTGATCACATTACAGTGTTCACAGTTTTGCTCGAAGCTCTCTGGATTTCATTCATGCCGTATACTGTAGTGATATTGGTCGCCAGAAAGCAGGTCTTTGTTCTAACACTGTGTGAGTGAGTCATGTGTGAGTGAAGAGCGAATGCTTAACTTGTGAGTTAGTCCACTTTAACCCATTGGTTATTTAACAAAGACGTGACATGGGAATAAAAAAATGAGCCATAAACTAATTCCGTTTCTTCAGACGCTCAGTATACAGCTTACGAAAACGAAGATTGTGTCCCAATTGTGATCAACCCTACATCTGTTACGACGTCCCAAACGACATCAATGACAACATCTCCAACAACATCGATGACCACGTCCCCAACAACATCAGTGACCACGTCTCCAACAACATCAATGACCACGTCTCCAACAACTTCAGCTACAACATCATCAACAACACCGAGGAAAATATGTGACAATTCACCTTTGGGTGTATCCTGCTGTTCAAATGGTATGTTAACTCTTCACTGTGTTAGTGAATACTAGGTACTAAGGTTCATTAACCTTGAAGGATCGCAACCTGTTGATCTTTCAACAGCTGACTAAGTCGCCCATACTGAGTCACCCATACATCCATTAACCGCTGCAACCGTCTTACATTATACATGCTGTATTAGTCACCCCTTTTGCAGACGACCGCCTCCGTGGTGTAGTGGTTAGAGCGTCCGCCCGGAGAGCGGAAGGTCGCGGGTTCGATCCCCGACCGCGTCACACCAAAGAGACGTTAAAATATGGTACTTGTTGGTCCCTGCCTGGCGATCGGCATTCATGGGTACAGCAAGGACTGGTCGGCTCGGAGTCAGTATAATGTGTCTGGGTGGGGTATTCATGCTTCACTGCGGCATGGTATCTCAGTGGGCTAGCACTATAAAACCAGCTTAAGTCTGGGCTAGTACAAGCAGCCGCACATACACATACACACGCATGCACGTCGTCATATGAGTGAAATATTCTCAAGCACGACGTTAAACCCAATACCACCACCACCACCTTTTCTGACATGCTTATGTGAAATACCGATGACGACTTTAACTATTCAACATTTAGCTTTCAATTCAATACATAAGATCTTTCTTATTAGTGAAGTTTACCTGTCTTATTCAGTCGCTGGAAATTAGAGATGTCGGTGTATAGTGTATAGCGCACATAAGCGCAAATCGGCTCTTTTTTTAAACTCCGCGGTTTCGGAACAGTGTGTAATATGGTTGCATAGTAAGTTTCATGGCAGAATGGAAATGCATCCGACAATATCACAGTTCAGAAAGCAGCATGTATTCTGAAGTGGTGTAACCTTTTAAATTGATATATACAGTTTGCATCTATTTGTTAACCCTCTTCACTAATTGTTGGACGGAGGCGGTGGGGTAGCTTAGTGGTTAAAGCGTTCGCTCATCACGCCGAAGGACCGGGTTCGATTCCCCACATGGGTACAATGTGTGAAGCCAGTTTCTGATGTCCTCCGCCGTGATATTGCTGGAATATTGCTACAAGCGGCGTAAAACTATACTCACTCATTGTTGGACGTCTTCTTTCAGAAACTTACTGCCAGACAAGCGGAGACCCCGGATGTGCAGCATGTCTCACAGACATATATCCTGATACTGATTGTTCCTGCTCTCTGTCAGTCAACTCGTACTGGACAACTAGATGCTTTTGTGAGTGGTAAATATGGGCTTGTATAGAAATTACTACGTAAGAGCGACGATCACAAGTCATAGGTTAATGTAGGAACGATTCTGGCAACGTTAGGGAACACAAACAATCATAGAGGGAACATCGACCATGTCCCCGTCATGACCAGTGAACAACTTATAAAATTACACCTCTCCTGTGCAAAAAGCGTCAGGCCGCCGTTGCCTCAGAGAAAGATGTTTTGGAATACGACGAAATGAGTTTAACCATTTATCTTTATCCATGCTTGTCGTAAAAGGCGACTAGAGGAATTTGGGTGGTCAGGCTCGCTGACATGGTTGACACATTGCATTGTATCTCATTTGCGTAGAACGATACTCTTGCTTCATCACTGGATTGTCTGGTCCAGGCTTGATTATTATTGACCGCCGTCATACAGCTGGAATATTGCAGAGTGTGGCGTTATAAGAAAACCAAAAAAATCTCACAGGTTCTGACGATACTATTGGAAGCGCCTATATGTACACTTCGTTATCATAACTCGCTAGTCCGAACAATTCAAAACGTTCACATTAACATGCGTTCAGTAACATAATGTTATTTTCTTTAGATGCACAATTCTATCCAGGATACGTAAATGCAGCGTGTGATCCGATAGTCTTGTTGCCACCAACTTCCCAAACTACGTCGGCTACGACCTCAGCGACAACGTCTGCAACAACTTCGGCAACGACATCAGCGACAACGTCTGCAACAACATCGTCTACGACCTCAGCGACAACGTCTGCAACAACATCAGCTACGACCTCAGCGACAACGTCTGCAACAACATCGTCTACGACCTCAGCGACAACGTCTGCAACAACATCAGCTACGACCTCAGCGACAACGTCAGCAACAACATCAGCTACGACCTCAGCGACAACGTCTGCAACAACATCGTCTACGACCTCAGCGACAACGTCTGCAACAACATCAGCTACGACCTCAGCGACAACGTCTGCAACAACATCGTCTACGACCTCAGCGACAACGTCTGCAACAACTTCAGCAACTACTTCCATAACAACATCAATGACCACGTCTCAAACAACATCCGTGACAACTTCAGCTACAACATCATCAACAACACCGAGGAAAATATGCGACAATTCACCTTTGGGTGTATCTTGTTGTTCAAATGGTACGTTACCTAGTCACTTTGTGAGAGTTAAACTTGCGATTGAATTTGACATGTTCACTTTAGGCCAAAATTGTTCATATTGCAGAGGGGGGCAGTGGGCTAGCCAAGCGGTTAAAGCCATAGATTCAGAAAGTAATATTTGTTGTTAGGTGTTCCAACTGTTTACTCCCTGAATTGATACATGTATTGTTTGCATATATTTGTTAACCCTCTTGTCTCATTGTTTGACGTGTTCCGTGAAGATCCGGGGTAGAATTGATCTTCAGTAACCCATGCTTGTCCTAAGAGGCGACTAACGGGATCAGGTGGTCAGGCTCGCTCACTTGGTTGACACATGTCATCGTATCCAAATTGCGATGATCGATGCTGATGCTGTTGATCACGGGCTTGTCTGATTCAGACTCGATTATTTACAGACCGCCGCCATATAGCTGGAATATTGCTGAGTGCAGCGTAAAACTAAACTCAATCACTCACTACAGACCGCCGCCATATAGTTGGAATATTACTGAGTGCGGCGTAAAACTAAACTCATCCACTCACTCATTGTTGGACGTCTTCTTTCAGAAACTTACTGCCAGACAAGCGGAGACCCCGGATGTGCAGCATGTCTCACAGACATATATCCTGATACCGACTGTTCCTGTTCTCTGTCAGTCGACTCGTACTGGTCAACTAGATGCTTTTGTGAGTGATAAATAATTATGGACTTGTATAGAAATTACTACCTAGGAATCTATCTGTCAAGGATACCTGAAGCGTGGGTACTGGCAAAGTTAAACTCTCATAAACGATGAACTCTGAAATAATAATAATAATAATAATATATTTTCTGTCCCTTTTTTGTTTAGCGGATCTCGCCTTCGTTGCATCCCAAGAGCGCTCAGGGTTCTCGCCCTAAAGGGTACCTCCTGATCTCTTTGGCGCAGATCAGGAGAGTGCGTCACCCTTTGACACTCTGGGTAATATTTCGGTCTGATTGTTGGTCTGGTTTGTAGAGGGGCGAGGGCCTGAGCTGTAATAACGTCACACTTTGTAATATTTCGGTCTGATTGTTGGTATGTTGTTTGTTGTTTAATTACTTTCTTATTAGCAAAGTTTATGGTTACTGAAGACCGATTCTAACCCGGATCTTCACGGGTCTAATATTTCGGAGAGGAAGGATGCCCCTTATTCGTCCAGAATTTACTTATGACCTAAGGTTCGAAAACCAGACTTGTTGAAGTGAGATTAAACTCAATTCTGCCTGACCAGGGGTGGAAATAACTTTAAAATTGCTAGTGTACTCCGGTACAGTGGCACATGTAAAATCACTTGCCCTGATAAGTTTTCCACTATACCGGCCGTTTTCTTGTTGATTTTTTAAGTAAACAACATTATTAACATTGGAAAGTCAATTGGACACCGGTACAGCATGGTATACAAATTTGCTTGCCCGACAGAAAAAAACACTGGACTCGGACGTCGGGCAATGGGTTATTTCCACCCCTGCTGACCATGAAAAAAACTTGATTCTGAAAGTTAAAAGAATCTGCCTTTTCCTACAAATCTCTTGTGAATGCAAAAGTGATGACGTTTTTATGCTCCACACAAATCGATGGTCACAATAATTCAAGACACGATTATAGGATCCCAGCATCTATTTTTCCATGAAACTATTGGCTTATCCCGATTTCAGATTGCGACTGGTTGATTATAATGCGTACGTGAAACGGCATGAAACGTTTCGTGTTTGTGTTCCTCTCGTTATGACACGAGCAATAACAACCAAAATGACACCTTTCCTTTGTGTTTTGAAAAGCATGAGTTCTTTCAGAGTAAGAGGTTTTGGTCACAAGGAAATGATTTTCAACATATATTATCACATAGAGGCGACTAACGTGGTAGGGTTTGGTTGACACATTTAATCGTATCCCAATTGTATGTTGCACACAATTAGATGATCATAATTGGATTCTAGCGCCTACGTATATTCACAACTGGTTGATGTGCGTGGAACTGGGCAGTTGGAGTTTACTGTTTGACCTCATCCAACAGAAACAACAAATGTCATCTGCCAATTACTGTACAGTTTCAATTCGTGTCTTATCTGATTTCGAAAGACAGTGAATTGTTTCCTCTGCTCTGTTGGATTACTAGTTTATGGAACATGAACAAATGACTTTGAATATTGAAGTAAGACAGTTAAGTTTGGTGGTTTAGAGGTAGATTTCCGGTTATTGGGCCCCGAAACCTTTATCGTTAGATGTAACATTTCAGATCAGGTGGTCAGGCTCTTCGACCTGTCGACTCTCTGGATAGATGCTCACACTGTCAATGAATGGTTGTAGCAGTAGTTCACAGTTCGTTATTCTGGACCTTCAAAACAAACTGCAATCCACTAAATGTGATACAATTTTCTCCAGATGCACAGTTCTACCCAGGATACGCCAACCCATCGTGTGATCCCATAGTCTTGCAGACTACATCTTTACTATCCACGTCAGCTACAACTTCGGCGACAACATCAGCTTCTACATCCGCCACTACATCTGCAACAACCTCAACGACCACATCTGCTACCACTTCAGCTACAACATCAGCAACAACGTCGGCTACTACATCCGCCACTACATCAGGAACAACGTCAGCCACAACTTCTGCAACCACATCTGCAACAACCTCAGCTACCACATCTGCTACCACTTCAGCTACAACATCAGCAACAACGTCTGCTACTACATCCGCCACTACGTCTGCAACTACGTCAGCAACAACCTCAGTTGCACGTCAGCAACAACCGACCACAGTTACCACTTCAGCAACAACGTCGGCAACAACGTCCGTCACAACAACGACGACATCTGCAACGACGTCGGCTACCACTTCAGCCAACAACGTCGGCACAACGTCCTCAGCTCATCTGCAACAACAACATCAGCTACAACGTCAGCTACCACTTCTGCTACCACCTCAGCAACAACCTCCGCTACAACAACATCACCTACAACTTCTGCAACAACATCAGCTACTACGTCTGCCTCTACATCCGCCACTACTTCTGCAACTACATCCCCACTACGTCTGCAACAACCTCAGTTACCACTTCACCAACAACGTCGGCCACAACGTCCGTCACAACAACGACGACATCTGCAACGACGTCGGCTACCACTTCAGCCACAACATCTGCTACAACATCAGCTACAACGTCAGCCACAACTTCTGCAACTACATCTGCAACAACGTCAGCTACCACCTCTGCTACCACTTCAGCAACAACCTCCGCTACAACATCAGCTACAACTTCTGCAACAACGTCAGCTACTACGTCAGCCACTACATCAGCCACAACTTCTCCAACTACATCAGCAACAACGTCAGCTACCACATCTGCTACCACTTCAGCAACAACCTCCGCTACAACCTCTGCAACAACATCAGCTACTACGTCAGCTACTACATCAGCCACAACTTCTGCAACTACATCTGCAACAACGTCAGCTACCACCTCTGCTACCACTTCAGCAACAACCTCAGCTACAACTTCTGCAACAACATCAGCAACCACATCTTCTACCACTTCAGCCATAACATCAGCAACCACGTCTGCTACTACATCCGCCACTACGTCTGCAACTACGTCTGCAACAACCTCAGTTACCACTTCAGCAACAACGTCGGTCACAACGTCCGTCACAACAACGACGACATCTGCAACGACGTCGGCTACCACTTCTGCCACAACATCTGCTACCACTTCAGCTACAACATCAGCAACAACGTCGGCTACTACATCCGCCACTACATCAGATACAACGTCAGCCACAACTTCTGCAACTACATCTGCAACAACCTCAGCTACAACATCAGCTATTACATCAGCCACTACATCTGCAACAACCTCAGCGACCACATCTGCTACCACTTCAGCTTCAACATCGGCTACTACATCAGCCACAACTTCTGCAACTACATCTGCAACAACATCAGCAACCACATCTGCTACCACTTCAGCCACAACATCAGCAACAACGTCGGCTACTACATCCGCCACTACATCAGCTACAACGTCAGCCACAACTTCTGCAACTACATCTGCAACAACATCAGCTACTACATCAGCGACTACATCTGCAACAACCTCAGCGACCACATCTGCTACCACTTCAGCAACAACATCGGCTACTACATCCGCCACTACATCAGCCACAACTTCTGCAACTACATCTGCAACAACATCAGCAACCACATCTGCTACCACTTCAGCCACAACATCAGCAACAACGTCGGCTACTACATCCGCCACTACATCAGCTACAACGTCAGCCACAACTTCTGCAACTACGTCTGCAACAACCTCAGCTACAACATCAGCAACTACATCTGCAACAACATCAGCAACCACATCTGCTACCACTTCAGCTACAACATCAGCAACCACGTCTGCTACTACATCCGCCACAACATCAGCAACAACCTCAGCTACCACATCTGCTACCACTTCAGCCACAACATCAGCAACCACGTCTGCTACTACATCCGCCACTACGTCTGCAACTACGTCTGCAACAACCTCAGTTACCACTTCAGCAACAACGTCGGTCACAACGTCCGTCACAACAACGACGACATCTGCAACGACGTCGGCTACCACTTCAGCCACAACATCTGCTACAACATCAGCTACCACGTCAGCCACAACTTCTGCAACTACATCTGCAACAACGTCAGCTACCACCTCTGCTACCACTTCAGCAACAACCTCCGCCACAACCTCTGCAACAACATCAGCTACTACATCAGCCACTACATCAGCCACAACTTCTGCAACTACATCTGCAACAACATCAGCAACCACATCTGCTACCACTTCAGCTACAACATCAGCAACCACGTCTGCTACTACATCCGCCACTACATCAGCAACAACCTCAGCTACCACTTCAGCCACAACATCAGCAACAACGTCGGCTACTACATCCGCCACTACATCAGCTACAACGTCAGCCACAACTTCTGCAACTACATCTGCAACAACCTCAGCTACAACATCAGCTACTACATCAGCCACTACATCTGCAACAACCTCAGCGACAACATCTGCTACCACTTCAGCTACAACATCAGCAACAACTTCGGCTACTACATCCGCCACTACATCAGCCACAACTTCTGCAACTACATCTGCAACAACATCAGCAACCACATCTGCTACCACTTCAGCTACAACATCAGCAACCACGTCTGCTACTACATCCGCCACTACATCAGCAACAACCTCAGCTACCACATCTGCTACCACTTCAGCCACAACATCAGCAACCACGTCTGCTACTACATCCGCCACTACGTCTGCAACTACGTCTGCAACAACCCTTCAGTTACCACTTCAGCAACAACGTCGGTCACAACGTCCGTCACAACAACGACGACATCTGCAACGACGTCGGCTACCACTTCAGCCACAACATCTGCTACAACATCAGCTACCACGTCAGCCACAACTTCTGCAACTACATCTGCAACAACGTCAGCTACCACCTCTGCTACCACTTCAGCAACAACCTCCGCCACAACCTCTGCAACAACATCAGCTACTACATCAGCCACTACATCAGCTACAACTTCTGCAACTACATCTGCAACAACATCAGCAACCACATCTGCTACCACTTCAGCTACAACATCAGCAACCACGTCTGCTACTACATCCGCCACTACATCAGCAACAACCTCAGCTACCACATCTGCTACCACTTCAGCCACAACATCAGCAACCACGTCTGCTACTACATCCGCCACTACGTCTGCAACTACGTCTGCAACAACCTCAGTTACCACTTCAGCAACAACGTCGGTCACAACGTCCGTCACAACAACGACATCTGCAACGACGTCGGCTACCACTTCAGCCACAACATCTGCTACAACATCAGCTACCACGTCAGCCACAACTTCTGCAACTACATCAGCCACAACTTCAGCCACAACATCAGCAACAACGTCGGCTACTACATCCGCCACTACATCGGCTACAACGTCAGCTACAACTTCTGCAACTACATCTGCAACAACGTCAGCTACCACCTCTGCTACCACTTCAGCAACAACCTCTGCTACAACCTCTGCAACAACATCAGCTACTACGTCAGCCACTACATCAGCCACAACTTCTGCAACTACATCTGCAACAACATCAGCAACCACATCTGCTACCACTTCAGCCACAACATCAGCAACAACGTCGGCTACTACATCCGCCACTACATCAGCTACAACGTCAGCCACAACTTCTGCAACTACATCTGCAACAACCTCAGCTACAACATCAGCTACTACATCAGCCACTACATCTGCAACAACCTCAGCGACCACATCTGCTACCACTTCAGCAACAACATCGGCTACTACATCCGCCACTACATCAGCCACAACTTCTGCAACTACATCTGCAACAACATCAGCAACCACATCTGCTACCACTTCAGCCACAACATCAGCAACAACGTCGGCTACTACATCCGCCACTACATCAGCTACAACGTCAGCCACAACTTCTGCAACTACATCTGCAACAACCTCAGCTACAACATCAGCTACTACATCAGCCACTACATCTGCAACAACCTCAGCGACCACATCTGCTACCACTTCAGCAACAACATCGGCTACTACATCCGCCACTACATCAGCCACAACTTCTGCAACTACATCTGCAACAACATCAGCAACCACATCTGCTACCACTTCAGCTACAACATCAGCAACCACGTCTGCTACTACATCCGCAACTACATCAGCAACAACCTCAGCTACCACATCTGCTACCACTTCAGCCACAACATCAGCAACAACGTCGGCTACTACATCCGCCACTACATCGGCTACAACGTCAGCTACAACTTCTGCTACTACATCTGCAACAACGTCAGCTACCACCTCTGCTACCACTTCAGCAACAACCTCTGCTACAACCTCTGCAACAACATCAGCTACTACGTCAGCCACTACATCAGCCACAACTTCTGCAACTACATCTGCAACAACATCAGCAACCACATCTGCTACCACTTCAGCCACAACATCAGCAACAACGTCGGCTACTACATCCGCCACTACATCAGCTACAACGTCAGCCACAACTTCTGCAACTACATCTGCAACAACCTCAGATACAACATCAGCAACAACTTCGGCTACTACATCCGCCACTACATCAGCCACAACTTCGGCAACTACATCTGCAACAACATCAGCAACCACATCTGCTACCACTTCAGCTACAACATCAGCAACCACGTCTGCTACTACATCCGCCACTACATCAGCAACAACCTCAGCTACCACATCTGCTACCACTTCAGCCACAACATCAGCAACCACGTCTGCTACTACATCCGCCACTACGTCTGCAACTACGTCTGCAACAACCTCAGTTACCACTTCAGCAACAACGTCGGTCACAACGTCCGTCACAACAACGACGACATCTGCAACGACGTCGGCTACCACTTCAGCCACAACATCTGCAACTACATCAGCCACAACTTCAGCCACAACATCAGCAACAACGTCGGCTACTACATCCGCCACTACATCAGCTACAACGTCAGCTACAACTTCTGCAACTACATCTGCAACAACGTCAGCTACCACCTCTGCTACCACTTCAGCAACAACCTCCGCTACAACCTCTGCAACAACATCAGCTACTACGTCAGCCACTACATCAGCCACAACTTCTGCAACTACATCTGCAACAACATCAGCAACCACATCTGCTACCACTTCAGCAACAACATCGGCTACTACATCCGCCACTACATCAGCTACAACGTCAGCCACAACTTCTGCAACTACATCTGCAACAACCTCAGCTACAACATCAGCTACTACATCAGCCACTACATCTGCAACAACCTCAGCGACCACATCTGCTACCACTTCAGCAACAACATCGGCTACTACATCCGCCACTACATCAGCCACAACTTCTGCAACTACATCTGCAACAACATCAGCAACCACATCTGCTACCACTTCAGCTACAACATCAGCAACAACGTCAGCCACAACTTCTGCAACTACATCTGCAACAACCTCAGCTACCACATCTGCTACCACTTCAGCCACAACATCAGCAACCACGTCTGCTACTACATCCGCCACTACGTCTGCAACTACGTCTGCAACAACCTCAGTTACCACTTCAGCAACAACGTCGGTCACAACGTCCGTCACAACAACGACGACATCTGCAACGACTTCGGCTACCACTTCAGCCACAACATCTGCTACAACATCAGCTACCACGTCAGCCACAACTTCTGCAACTACATCTGCAACAACATCAGCAACCACATCTGCTACCACTTCAGCTACAACATCAGCAACCACGTCTGCTACTACATCCGCCACTACATCAGCAACAACCTCAGCTACCACATCTGCTACCACTTCAGCCACAACATCAGCAACCACGTCTGCTACTACATCCGCCACTACGTCTGCAACAACCTCAGTTACCACTTCAGCAACAACGTCGGTCACAACGTCCGTCACAACAACGACGACATCTGCAACGACGTCGGCTACCACTTCAGCCACAACATCTGCTACAACATCAGCTACCACGTCAGCCACAACTTCTGCAACTACATCAGCCACAACTTCAGCCACAACATCGGCAACAACGTCGGCTACTACATCCGCCACTACATCGGCTACAACGTCAGCTACAACTTCTGCTACTACATCTGCAACAACGTCAGCTACCACCTCTGCTACCACTTCAGCAACAACCTCCGCTACAACCTCTGCAACAACATCAGCTACTACGTCAGCCACTACATCAGCCACAACTTCTGCAACTACATCTGCAACAACATCAGCAACCACATCTGCTACCACTTCAGCCACAACATCAGCAACAACGTCGGCTACTACATCCGCCACTACATCAGCTACAACGTCAGCCACAACTTCTGCAACTACATCTGCAACAACCTCAGCTACAACATCAGCTACTACATCAGCCACTACATCTGCAACAACCTCAGCAACCACATCTGCTACCACTTCAGCAACAACATCGGCTACTACATCCGCCACTACATCTGCAACAACATCAGCAACCACATCTGCTACCACTTCAGCCACAACATCAGCAACAACGTCGGCTACTACATCCGCCACTACATCAGCCACAACTTCTGCAACTACATCTGCAACAACATCAGCAACCACATCTGCTACCACTTCAGCTACAACATCAGCAACCACGTCTGCTACTACATCCGCCACTACATCAGCAACAACCTCAGCTACCACATCTGCTACCACTTCAGCCACAACATCAGCAACCACGTCTGCTACTACATCCGCCACTACGTCTGCAACTACGTCTGCAACAACCTCAGTTACCACTTCAGCAACAACGTCGGTCACAACGTCCGTCACAACAACGACGACATCTGCAACGACGTCGGCTACCACTTCAGCCACAACATCTGCAACTACATCAGCCACAACTTCAGCCACAACATCAGCAACAACGTCGGCTACTACATCCGCCACTACATCAGCTACAACGTCAGCTACAACTTCTGCAACTACATCTGCAACAACGTCAGCTACCACCTCCTCTGCTACCACTTCAGCAACAACATCAGCTACTACGTCAGCCACTACATCAGCCACAACTTCTGCAACTACATCTGCAACAACATCAGCAACCACATCTGCTACCACTTCAGCAACAACATCGGCTACTACATCCGCCACTACATCAGCTACAACGTCAGCCACAACTTCTGCAACTACATCTGCAACAACCTCAGCTACAACATCAGCTACTACATCAGCCACTACATCTGCAACAACCTCAGCGACCACATCTGCTACCACTTCAGCAACAACATCGGCTACTACATCCGCCACTACATCTGCCACAACTTCTGCAACTACATCTGCAACAACATCAGCAACCACATCTGCTACCACTTCAGCAACAACATCGGCTACTACATCCGCCACTACATCAGCCACAACTTCTGCAACTACATCTGCAACAACATCAGCAACCACATCTGCTACCACTTCAGCTAAAACATCAGCAACAACGTCAGCCACAACTTCTGCAACTACATCTGCAACAACCTCAGCTACCACATCTGCTACCACTTCAGCCACAACATCAGCAACCACGTCTGCTACTACATCCGCCACTACGTCTGCAACTACGTCTGCAACAACCTCAGTTACCACTTCAGCAACAACGTCGGTCACAACGTCCGTCACAACAACGACGACATCTGCAACGACGTCGGCTACCACTTCAGCCACAACATCTGCTACAACATCAGCTACCACGTCAGCCACAACTTCTGCAACTACATCTGCAACAACGTCAGCTACCACCTCTGCTACCACTTCAGCAACAACCTCCGCAACAACCTCTGCAACAACATCAGCTACTACATCAGCCACTACATCAGCCACAACTTCTGCAACTACATCTGCAACAACATCAGCAACCACATCTGCTACCACTTCAGCTACAACATCAGCAACCACGTCTGCTACTACATCCGCCACTACATCAGCAACAACCTCAGCTACCACATCTGCTACCACTTCAGCCACAACATCAGCAACCACGTCTGCTACTACATCCGCCACTACGTCTGCAACAACCTCAGTTACCACTTCAGCAACAACGTCGGTCACAACGTCCGTCACAACAACGACGACATCTGCAACGACGTCGGCTACCACTTCAGCCACAACATCTGCTACAACATCAGCTACCACGTCAGCCACAACTTCTGCAACTACATCAGCCACAACTTCAGCCACAACATCGGCAACAACGTCGGCTACTACATCCGCCACTACATCGGCTACAACGTCAGCTACAACTTCTGCTACTACATCTGCAACAACGTCAGCTACCACCTCTGCTACCACTTCAGCAACAACCTCCGCTACAACCTCTGCAACAACATCAGCTACTACGTCAGCCACTACATCAGCCACAACTTCTGCAACTACATCTGCAAATAACATCAGCAACCACATCTGCTACCACTTCAGCCACAACATCAGCAACAACGTCGGCTACTACATCCGCCACTACATCAGCTACAACGTCAGCCACAACTTCTGCAACTACATCTGCAACAACCTCAGCTACAACATCAGCTACTACATCAGCCACTACATCTGCAACAACCTCAGCAACCACATCTGCTACCACTTCAGCAACAACATCGGCTACTACATCCGCCACTACATCTGCAACAACATCAGCAAACCACATCTGCTACCACTTCAGCCACAACATCAGCAACAACGTCGGCTACTACATCCGCCACTACATCAGCCACAACTTCTGCAACTACATCTGCAACAACATCAGCAACCACATCTGCTACCACTTCAGCTACAACATCAGCAACCACGTCTGCTACTACATCCGCCACTACATCAGCAACAACCTCAGCTACCACATCTGCTACCACTTCAGCCACAACATCAGCAACCACGTCTGCTACTACATCCGCCACTACGTCTGCAACTACGTCTGCAACAACCTCAGTTACCACTTCAGCAACAACGTCGGTCACAACGTCCGTCACAACAACGACGACATCTGCAACGACGTCGGCTACCACTTCAGCCACAACATCTGCAACTACATCAGCCACAACTTCAGCCACAACATCAGCAACAACGTCGGCTACTACATCCGCCACTACATCAGCTACAACGTCAGCTACAACTTCTGCAACTACATCTGCAACAACGTCAGCTACCACCTCTGCTACCACTTCAGCAACAACATCAGCTACTACGTCAGCCACTACATCAGCCACAACTTCTGCAACTACATCTGCAACAACATCAGCAACCACATCTGCTACCACTTCAGCAACAACATCGGCTACTACATCCGCCACTACATCAGCTACAACGTCAGCCACAACTTCTGCAACTACATCTGCAACAACCTCAGCTACAACATCAGCTACTACATCAGCCACTACATCTGCAACAACCTCAGCGACCACATCTGCTACCACTTCAGCAACAACATCGGCTACTACATCCGCCACTACATCAGCCACAACTTCTGCAACTACATCTGCAACAACATCAGCAACCACATCTGCTACCACTTCAGCCACAACATCAGCAACAACGTCGGCTACTACATCCGCCACTACATCAGCTACAACGTCAGCCACAACTTCTGCAACTACATCTGCAACAACCTCAGCTACAACATCAGCTACTACATCAGCCACTACATCTGCAACAACCTCAGCAACCACATCTGCTACCACTTCAGCTACAACATCGGCTACTACATCCGCCACTACATCTGCAACAACATCAGCAACCACATCTGCTACCACTTCAGCCACAACATCAGCAACAACGTCGGCTACTACATCCGCCACTACATCAGCTACAACGTCAGCCACAACTTCTGCAACCTCAGCTACAACATCAGCTACTACATCAGCCACTACTTCTGCAACAACCTCAGCGACAACATCTGCTACCACTTCGGCTACAACATCAGCAACAACTTCGGCTACTACATCCGCCACTACATCAGCCACAACTTCTGCAACTACATCTGCAACAACATCAGCAACCACATCTGCTACCACTTCAGCTACAACATCAGCAACCACGTCTGCTACTACATCCGCCACTACATCAGCAACAACCTCAGCTACCACATCTGCTACCACTTCAGCCACAACATCAGCAACCACGTCTGCTACTACATCCGCCACTACGTCTGCAACTACGTCTGCAACAACCTCAGTTACCACTTCAGCAACAACGTCGGTCACAACGTCTGTCACAACAACGACGACATCTGCAACGACGTCGGCTACCACTTCAGCCACAACATCTGCAACTACATCAGCCACAACTTCAGCCACAACATCAGCAACAACGTCGGCTACTACATCCGCCACTACATCAGCTACAACGTCAGCTACAACTTCTGCAACTACATCTGCAACAACGTCAGCTACCACCTCTGCTACCACTTCAGCAACAACATCAGCTACTACGTCAGCCACTACATCAGCCACAACTTCTGCAACTACATCTGCAACAACATCAGCAACCACATCTGCTACCACTTCAGCAACAACATCGGCTACTACATCCGCCACTACATCAGCTACAACGTCAGCCACAACTTCTGCAACTACATCTGCAACAACCTCAGCTACAACATCAGCTACTACATCAGCCACTACATCTGCAACAACCTCAGCGACCACATCTGCTACCACTTCAGCAACAACATCGGCTACTACATCCGCCACTACATCAGCCACAACTTCTGCAACTACATCTGCAACAACATCAGCAACCACATCTGCTACCACTTCAGCTACAACATCAGCAACAACGTCAGCCACAACTTCTGCAACTACATCTGCAACAACCTCAGCTACAACATCAGCTACTACATCAGCCACTACATCTGCTACCACTTCAGCCACAACATCAGCAACAACGTCGGCTACTACATCCGCCACTACATCAGCTACAACGTCAGCCACAACTTCTGCAACTACATCTGCAACAACCTCAGCTACCACCTCTGCTATCACTTCAGCAACAACCTCCGCTACAACCTCAGCAACAACATCAGCTACTACGTCAGCCACTACATCAGCCACAACTTCTGCAACTACATCTGCAACAACTTCTGCCACAACATCGGCTACTACATCCGCCACTACATCAGCTACAACGTCAGCCACAACTTCTGCAACTACATCTGCAACAACCTCAGCTACCACATCTGCTACAACATCAGCGACAACTTCAAATATAAGTAAGTACATTTGTCATGTTGTGTGAGGTTTTTTACTAACATCTTTGGCTATGGTATGTGTACATGATGCACAACATGCAGCAAACATGACTTCGGATTGGATTGCAGACTGATATGGTTTCTTCTTGACAGACCGTGACCATATACCTTCCTACAGACTCCTTGACTTTACAGACGCGTATTGAGAATACACATTTATAGTCAATTCAGGTGTATTTTTCGTGAATCTGTGTAATACAATATCGACTGAGGACAAGGTATTGCCTATTTTGGGTCCATTATAACAGGTATTACGTTACAAAACAGTGAGTGAGTGAGTTGGATTTCACGCCGCTTTTAGCAATATTCCAGCAATATCACGGCGGGGGACACCAGAAATAAGCTTCACACATTGTATATATGTGGGAATCGAACCCGGGCCTTCGGCTTGACGCTTTAACCACTAGGCTACCCCACCGCCCGTTACAGAAATAACGTTAGTACTTTGCTATACGGTAAAAAGGCATTTTCAAAACATCAGTGCCAGGTATAGGACCGTTAGGAAGTTCCATTGGCTAAAGTTTCGTGATTACTATTTCTTGAAATTCCCAGTCTTTTGTAAGACCTAAATTGGATTCAATATTTATTCATTTCTTTCGAATGACTCATGAATGCATCTCGAATAATAAATATGGTGAAAATATTTCCTATATAACCAACAGCAATGAACTGCCAATATTTGGAATTAGATGAATTGCTAAGCCATGTAACTGTTTGTGCAGCCATGGGCACGTTGCGAGACACATGGTTCAACACCCATGTAGATCTGAGTTAGAACTGATCTTCAGCAACCCATGCTTGTCGTAAGAGGCGGCTAACGGGATCGGGTGGTCAGGCTCGCTGACTTGTTTCATACATGTCATCGTATCCCAATTGCGTAGATCGATGTTCATGCTGTTGATCACTGGATTTTCTGGGCAAGACTCGAATATTTACAGACAGCCGCCAGACAGCATGAAATATTGGTGGTGCGGCGTTTAAAACAAACAAAACACTAGGTTAGAGTAGTCAAGCAGTAACGGTTCGGTGTCCTCCATCCCCCTCGCTGTGACTGACGATACAAAGCGTAACAGTTATGTGGCCTCCTTATCGAATGCACTCAGCAATATTCCTGCTATGTGGCGTCGGTCTGTAAATAATCGAATTACTGAAGATCAATTCTAATCCGGATCTTCACGGGTCCTTATCGAATGAAAACAACTTGTGGACCAGGGACATTGATCTCCTCATCACAACGCTATTGTTACCCTAGGAATTATGTTGGTGGCGAAATTTACTGAAAGGATTATAAATTATATGACATACAATGTCCGTTATATGCCCTAATTTGAAATATGGAATTTGTTTAAACATACTTAGGCATATATTGCCCCGTTATACCGGAAGTGGGCGCGGGATGACTCGGTCATCTTTGACACCCGAATCTCCTTTGAAAATTTGCTTCCCTCAGGCGTGTCAGCAGGATCCAGTAATTGTGGGTACGATTCGAAGATTCGCCCAGACTATGTTCCAAGATTTGTCATCGCATACCACTCTTTATGGTCACCAAAAACGTCTAAATCGGCATCTCTTCAAATTTGTCTAAAATATGTCATGAAGCTGAAATGCAAATAACTTGGATGAATTAATCGCATCTTATGACTGGTTATAAAGGTTAGGGACTCTCAGTTATAGTCCGTTTGACTTCATTTGAGACTGAACAGCCAGGTAATCAACAAGCATGTGCAGTGAAATTTCAATTTCACACATACAACTAGCACACCTGGCTGTTCTACCAGCCAGTGGTTCTCCCTCGTAAGAAACAGCGAAAAGTGACAACAAAATAATGATCGTTTGTTTTTTCGGGTGTCCAATATTATGAGACAAATCATCAGAGTCGGTCTGTCGATTTCATGTGACTGTGCAAAGTTTGGTTTTGTTGCATTTATTAGATTTTGTGTTGGTGAGCAATTCATCAGTCTCAAATGAAGTCAAACGACTGTAGGTCTGACGCCATCTTTTATGGTATTTCTCATATATCATTCAGGAAAGTTGACGTTTTTTCCTTAAACTACAAACTGATTTTTATGCTTTATTCTGTTTTCCAGAATGTCTGTACACTACGTTAACGACAACCATGAATAAGCGTATGGTTGGTGGTTCTGACGTCACCTCCTGTACAACTCCAGGATTTGTGCATTTCAAACCTGATACTTTCCCTATTCCGAGTTGCTCGGGTATTCTGGTTGATGAAACGACCATTGCCACCTCCAGGCAATGTGCTGAGACATGGCTCAACCCGTAAGTAGAGACAAACACCGACCAAAAGTAAACTTACAATGAGAAACGTGTTGGATATCACGATGATTAGACATTGCAAGTGTCGATTAAGATGTTGATAAAATGTGTGAAGTAAATAAACTGAGGGAAAACGATAAGGGATCACATGAAAGCACAAGTGTTCCTTTATTTTTTCCCCGTTTTTTTCACAAGCTTTGTATCGCATAGCTTGTGAAGCAGCCTTGAATCAAATAAAGGAACACTTGTGCTTTCATGTGATCCCTTATTTTTTTCCCTCAGTATATATGTTAAAGTTTGAGAAGGGTTGCCTCTTTGAAACAAGAAAGGGTGCATTCTAAATGTAAATTGAAATCTTGCCTCTTTAAAACTCAACAGGACATTGGACTTTCAAGACATGTACGCTGTTATTGGAGAATACAACACCTTTGCTGATGGGGAAGATGCCTCTCAACAGCAGATCACAATACCTCGGTATACCACTCTCACCGCCTCCGGATCCGGAGGTAAGTGGCTGATGACGTCTATCTGTTGTTTAAGTCACTCACAAAAAACGGAGGTTAGTGACGGCTGACGTCTATCTGATTTTGACATCACTCAAAAAGAACGAAGGTTTGTGACTGATGGCGTCTATCTGATGTCTACGTCACTCACAAAGAACGAAGGTTAGTGACTGATGACGTCTATCTGATGTTTACGTCACTCACAAAGAACGAAGGTTAGTGACTGATGGCGTCTATCTGAAGTTTACGTCACTCACAAAAAACGGAGGTTAGTGGCGGCTGACGTCTATCTGATTTTGACATCACTCACAAAGAACGAAGGTTAGTGACTGATGACGTCTATCTGATGTTTACGTCACTCACAAAGAACGAAGGTTAGTGACTGATGACGTCTATCTGATGTTTAAGTCACTTACAAAGAATGAAGGTTTGTGACTGATGGCGTCTATCTGATGTCTACGTCACTCACAAAGAACGAAGGTTAGTGACTGATGACGTCTATCTGATTTTTACGTCACTCACAAAGAACGAAGGTTAGTGACTGATGACGTCTATCTGATGTTTACGTCACTCACAAAGAATGAAGGTGAGTAACTGATGGCGTCTATCTGATGTTTACGTCACTCACAAAGAACGAAGGTTAGTGACTGATGACGTCTATCTGATGTTTACGTCACTCACAAAGAACGAAGGTTAGTGACTGATGACGTCTATCTGATGTTTAAGTCACTCACAAAGAACGAAGGTTAGTGACTGATGACGTCTATCTGATCTTTAAGTCACTCACAAAGAATGAAGGTTTGTGACTGATGGCGTCTATCTGATATTTACGTCACTCACAAAGAACGAAGGTTAGTGACTGATGACGTCTATCTGATGTTTACGTCACTCACAAAGAACGAAGGTTAGTGACTGATGGCGTCTATCTGATGTCTACGTCACTCACAAAGAACGAAGGTTAGTGACTGATTGCGTCTATCTGATGTTTACGTCACTCACAAAGAACGAAGGTTAGTGACGGCTGACGTCTATCTGATGTTTACGTCACTCACAAAGAATGAAGGTAAGTGACTGATGGCGTCTATCTGATGTTTACGTCACTCACAAAGAACGAAGGTGAGTAACTGATGGCGTCTATCTGATGTTTACGTCACTCACAAAGAACGAAGGTTAGTGACTGATGGCGTCTATCTGATGTCTACGTTACTCACAAGGAACGAAGGTGAGTAACTGCTGGCGTCTATCTGATGTTTACGTCACTCACAAAGAATGAAGGTTAGTGACTGATGACGTCTATCTGATGTTTACGTCACTCACAAAGAACGAAGGTTAGTGACTGATGACGTCTATCTGATGTTTAAGTCACTCACAAAGAACGAAGGTTAGTGACGGCTGACGTCTATCTGATGTTTACGTCACTCACAAAGAACGAAGGTTAGTGACTGATGACGTCTATCTGATGTTTAAGTCACTCACAAAGAATGAAGGTTAGTGACTGATGACGTCTATCTGATGTTTAAGTCACTCACAAAGAACGAAGGTTAGTGACTGATGGCGTCTATCTGATGTCTACGTCACTCACAAAGAACGAAGGTTAGTGACTGATGGCGTCCATCTGATGTTTACGTCACTCACAAAGAACGAAGGTTAGTGACTGATGGCGTCTGTCTGATGTTTACGTCACTCACAAAGAACGAAGGTTAGTGACTGATGGCGTCTATCTGATGTCTACGTCACTCACAAGGAACGAAGGTGAGTAACTGATGGCGTCTATCTGATGTTTACGTCACTCACAAAGAACGAAGGTAAGTGACTGATGGCGTCTGTCTGATGTTTAAGTCACTCACAAAGAACGAAGGTTAGTGACTGATGGCGTCTATCTGATGTCTACGTCACTCACAAAGAATGAAGGTTAGTGACTGATGGCGTCTATCTGATGTTTACGTCACTCACAAAGAACGAAGGTTAGTGACTGATGGCGTCTGTCTGATGTTTACGTCACTCACAAAGAACGAAGGTTAGTGACGGCTGACGTCTATCTGATGTTTACGTCACTCACAAAAAACGGAGGTTAGTGACGGCTGACGTCTATCTGATTTTGACATCACTCAAAAAGAACGAAGGTTAGTTACGGCTGACGTCTATCTGATGTTTACGTCACTCACAAAGAACGAAGGTTAGTGACTGATGGCGTCTATCTGATGTTTACGTTACTCACAAACAACGAAGGTTAGTGACTGGTGACGTCTCTCTGATGTTTACGTCACTCTCAAAGAACAAAGGTTAGTGACGGCTGACCTCTATCTGATGTCTACGTCACTCACAAAGAACGAAGGTTAGTGACGGCTGACGTCTATCTGATGTTTACGTCACTCACAAAGAACGAAGGATAGTGACTGCTCGTGACTATCTGATGTTTACGTCACTCACAAAGAACGAAGGTTAGTGACTGATGGCGTCCATCTGATGTTTACGTCACTCACAAAGAACGAAGGTTAGTGACTGATGGCGTCTGTCTGATGTTTACGTCACTCACAAAGAACGAAGGTTAGTGACTGATGGCGTCTATCTGATGTTTACGTCACTCACAAAGAACGAAGGTAAGTGACTGATGGCGTCTGTCTGATGTTTAAGTCACTCACAAAGAACGAAGGTTAGTGACTGATGGCGTCTATCTGATGTCTACGTCACTCACAAAGAATGAAGGTTTGTGACTGATGGCGTCTATCTGATGTTTACGTCACTCACAAAGAACGAAGGTTAGTGACTGATGGCGTCTGTCTGATGTTTACGTCACTCACAAAGAACGAAGGTTAGTGACGGCTGACGTCTATCTGACGTTTACGTCACTCACAAAAAACGGAGGTTAGTGACGGCTGACGTCTATCTGATTTTGACATCACTCAAAAAGAACGAAGGTTAGTTACGGCTGACGTCTATCTGATGTTTACGTCACTCACAAAGAACGAAGGTTAGTGACTGATGGCGTCTATCTGATGTTTACGTTACTCACAAACAACGAAGGTTAGTGACTGGTGACGTCTATCTGATGTCTACGTCACTCTCAAAGAACAAAGGTTAGTGACGGCTGACCTCTATCTGATGTCTACGTCACTCACAAAGAACGAAGGTTAGTGACGGCTGACGTGTATCTGATGTTTACGTCACTCACAAAGAACGAAGGATAGTGACTGCTCGTGACTATCTGATGTTTCCGATCACCACAACCGACGAAAGTGAGTCGGCGCAAGTGTCAACCCTCATCACAATCCACACTACTGTTCGAGGTCTGACGTCTACGCTAGCGTATATTTACTCATGGGCTGGTAGATTTTACGTTAGCAGAAGTTGCCCAAGAGAGCTCCTAGCACTTGCAGCCAGTTATGAGGATCTATGCGAGGCAGCTGGCACCAAAATGAAAGTATCTGAGAAATTTTGTGAAGATTAATGATTGCTTTATTTTTGAGATTTCGGATTTTCTTCGTTTCAGAACTGTACCTGCTGACACTTTCCACTGCCGTCACCTTCGGAGCGGAATGTAGTCTGCCAGCCTGCATCCCCACTGCCGACATGAACATCGACTGGAGCACATGCAAGGCAGTGAGCTCAGGGGGTGGAATGGGAGGAGGTAAGTGTATTGATTACACTGTGGCATCGTTATTGTGAGAAAACAATTGTATCAACAGGTAATTTGTATATTACAAACACGTGAATTGGTTCTGAAGGCACTGAAGACCTCCAAGAAGATCAATGTACGGGTTTGAACCAGATATCTGATGTTTGGAATGTCAGGAAAGGTACATCCTCGATAATCTCCAGGGTATACATTCCGATAAATCTCCACTAGTACCCTGGATGCATTTTTTACATCTTTTCGCCCGATCATTTTATTACTTCCGTGAGTGAGTTATGATAGAAGCCTTGTGATTGGTACGCTCAACTTCCCAGCATAGACATCTGATTGGATAAATAGCCAGCAAAGGGAGGTAATAATATTATCGGACCGAGCCAAAAATGCATCCAAGGTACTAGTGGAGATTTATCGGAACGTATACTCTGGAGATTATCGAGGATGGGAAAGGTAAAGCGTTCTGCTTCTATTTTTCAATGTCGAATTTATTATGCTTAAGCAAGTTCGGTTTTTTAGGAAAACGAAGCATAAGACAATCTTGACAGGTTCTGATATCTTGAAAGTCAGGAATGTCAAAGCTTTTTGCTTCTGTTTTTCAGCACCGAATATCTATGTTCAAGAAGGTTCAGTTACAAGGGACACATCCTGCACTGGAGATCAACTCTGTACCACAGGATCAATCGACACGTGTGACGTGAGTTTTGCGATCGATGGAAATCTTCTCTTTCCTCCAAAATCATTTCTTAACTAAAACCAATAGACCATCCACTGGCTGTGCCGGTGTGAAAGGAGTAGTGCTCTGTCTCCAACACAAAATCCCTGCTCACTATCAGAATGTCAGTACTGTGTCTAAAACAAAAGATTTTGGCTGTCTTGCTCAGTGACTTCGTGTGTCATCGAGTGCCAATGGCGACTGGTATTTTCACTGATATGTGCTTGCGTAATGAAAATGTATAATCGCATGGGTTAGAGCCATGTGCAGATTCCCATATCCAAGGGGTTGTCACATGGTGTTCGGTAGCAATTTACGAGGTCAGATCGGTAGCTTGTTGTATACTATTCACACTTTGCTAAGGATCAAATCATGGATTCAACAGAAAACTATGGTGTGGGGTCAAATTTGTTTTAAATATCTAAGCTTATTGTAAGCATGGTTCCTAAGTTTCAGTATGTCATTGCATCTTGTTGATCCCATACCTGCTATTGACAGGTGTTGTCTATTTGTCAATGACTCGTTCCATGATTTGCAAAATGGTTGATTGGTGCCATGAAAACCATTTTGATGGTTACTCATGTATCAAGTGCATAAGGTTAGAATGAAGTGGCTGTCTGCCTAAAGAGGGGTTACCATATTATTATTTATCCAGTTTTAAATGGATACAATTTCATATTATAAATCTACGTTTAAGTATAGCTGTGATTTTTTGTGATCCTTATCAAAGTGTAAGTAGTATATTTTAAGTCCTCCTCTCAATATATATAGCTACAAGAAGCGCTTTCATATGAGTCAGGTCAGGACACTTAGGTAGGGTTCGTAGTGCACCTTACCTGACTGTATTCTGATTCTCAACGGAGACTATCAAACGTCTAGGACGTTGAAGTCCAGAGAAAATATTGTGTGGCCCGTAATCAAAATCGATGTAGCTGAGACAAACAAGCAGGGGTGGAAATAACCCATTGCCCGACGCCCGAGTCCAGTGTTTTTTTCTGCCGGGCAAGCAAATTTGTATATCACACTGTACCGGTGTCCAGTTGACTTTCCAATATTTATTATGTTGTTTATTTAAAAAATCAAAAGAAAACGGCCGGTATAGTGGAAACATTATCAGGGCAAGTGATTTCACATGTGCCACTGTACTGGAGTACACTAGCAATTTTAAAGTTCTTTCCACCCCTTATAAGTGTTTTAATTAACCAATTTTTAACATAGGCCAGTACTGTTTACAACCACCAGTAGCTAAACTGATGACCTAATATTTTTATATTTGAATATGTATAACCAATTTGATTTTGAATTTAATCAACTTGTTTAACCGAACTTCTGTTCGAAGCTGCACATCTTATATCTCGTGTAGTGTATTGATATTAGGTATGTATAAATACAGTGTTGTGTTACAGTTTGATGTGGGCGGTCCCATGATATGCACAGAGGCAGACACCTTGGAGACTATTACAGTCGGTCTGATCAACTCCAGCGAAGGAACGTGCGATGGCACCCTCGACTACAGCATTGAATACGTCAGTCTACTGACCGACTCTTCCTACAACCAGTATCTGCCTAAGTACGGACAATAGCGACTTCCGGCGTGTACTGACATGCGCAATGTAGTCTCAACTAACGATACGTGTTTGTACGAAACAGAGTATTGTTTCATTTCGTGTAGGTCCATCGTTCTAATATACGCATTTTCGGTAAAATTACACGATCAATATAACAATGAACAATATGAAGATAGCTGCTTCATTGAGTTTGGCCATTTTCTGATATTATAAGCATGCTAATGCATTGCGCTGTCATGCCATACAAACAGATTTGTCCATGGACTTTGAGAAATTTACTAGTGACAGTGTTGTTGATTCACATGGTGTTAAATTGATAGGTCCTTCGAACAGAATAAAATATTTCATGATCATGGTCGTGAATTTTTAAAAAAGGCAATATTTCCGCTTTATGGCGGCGGTCATAATCGAATCTTGACTAGTCAAGCTAGTGCTCATGACTTCGATCAATCGATTATTTAAAGACCACCACCATATACATGAACTATTGCTGAGTGCGGCGTAAAATAATTAAAAAAAACAAAAATAGGATGTCAAACTCCGCTTCTAGAAGAATTTGGGTTTTTTCTTCACACATTTAGACTGCATACAAGAACGAACTGAGTCACGTTGCACATAGTAAAGGATCCAATATAATGCAACGTCATGTTATTGCTTTGCATTAATTACATGATTAACATGATGCGCCAACATGTCACTGTGAGAGCAAACCTATGAAAATAAAATATGCAATCAATTCTTGTCTTTTCCTCATTACAACAAATATGTAAGTACATGCATCGTGGTATTTTACACGAACAAGTTTATAGAGAATGGACTGAAATAAAGACAACATGTTACCAAGAGGTTCGGTGCATTTCGGAAAATATCAGTAACGACAAGCAAATACAAATACTTCAGTTATTATTATATTCGTTTGCAAAGTATAGACCCAGTCAACTAGACATCGTGAACATCTGGCAACAAAATTGATGGACATCCAGAGGCATCATTTGCACTGCAAAATATCCACACAAACCTCAAGCCGCCGGACGCGTAAACAAACTCGAAAAATGTTCATAACTATCAAAAATCCTATTTAAAATTCAAACATCTTCAGAATTGAAGTTTGTACAAGCGACTCCGGTAATTCCGCGAGTCCGGTAATTCTGGGCAGCTGCAATAACGTACTTCCGTATCGAAGGTAATATCGTCTGCTACCACATTTACGCTTGAAATCGGGACATTTCTACTGGCTTTTAACCACTAAAGGTAAGTAATGAACGCAAAAAGTTACTCTTTGACAGTTTTATGAAAATACGTTTTCTTCAGACTTTTAAACCTTTTTCTTCATTATTCATAATTGGATTTAATATGAAACACTCTTCCTTACATTGATGAAGTGATTTTTGAAAATAATCTGGCCCTAATACACTTCCATACTTTGGATCTCCAGCTGGATGTTATGCGCGTCAGTTGCTGCGCAGAATTATCGGACAGCAAGCGATGTAGTCAGAACGCCGGTAAGGTCAACCGTATGGCATAATGCAACGTTAGAATCTCATAGTCGTCAATGAAACTTATATTTCTCGGTAAATATGATGCATACCAGCGTGTTTAGTCATGTAAACCACAAAAAATTAAAGAGTCGTTAGTTGCCGTGTTGCGATCGATGTGCTTAGGTGCGCGGAATTACCGGACGACATTGTAGATTTGTTTGGAGTTTTCGCTAGTAATTATCTGGTTACACAGGTATGTCCGTGTCGAACAGTTTTACACTGAGATATCAACTTCTATGTTACGTCAGACGAAGCAAGTATCTTGCAAGCAGTTCTTTTTGTCAAGACGAATGAAACCATCAAACATTATATTACAGGTTTAAATATACTTATGAGGATGTTATCACATCACTATGTTATCATTGTGATAGACCTGGTTTTCAGCATCCCATGCCAACGGGTTCCGGTGGTCAGGACTTGGTCGACACATATCATCGTATCCCAATAGCGTACTTCGATGCTCATGATGTTGATCACTCGATTATTTCCATACTGCCGCCATATAGCTGGAATATTGCGATCATTGTGATCACAGTTGTATGAAAACATTTCATTATCACTATTGTATTATTATCATTATGATAACCACATCAAAATATTATATAACCACTATATGATAACCACATCAAAATATCATATAACCAGTATATTTTTATCATTATGATAACCACATCAATTATCATATAACCACTATATTATTATCATTATGATAACCACATCAAAATATCATATAACCACTATATTATTATCATTAATATAACCACATCAAAATATATAACCACTATATTATTATCATTATGATAACCACATCAAAATATATAACCACTATATTATTATCATTATGATAACCACATCAAAATATATAACCACTATATTATTATCATCACAAATTCACAATATTAGTGTGTGTGTGTGTGTGTGTGTGTGTTGTGTTTGTGTGTGTCTTGTTGTGTGTGTTGTTGCGTGTGTTGTGTTGTTGTTGCGTGTGTTGTGTTGTTGTTGTGTGTGTTGTTGCTGTGTATATGTTGTATATGTTGTGTGCGTGTGTTGTGTGTTTTTGTTGATGCGTGTGTGTTGTGTGTTGTGTGTGTTGTTCTGTTCAAAATAGCGATGAACGCAACTCACTCACCCACTGTAGTTGATTAAGGTGATGCCGATTTATGCTACAGCTGACCATTTGTTCACAAATCGAAACGAGGCGACACGCATCAGCTGTGACAAGTCTTGATGTCATCATGATTCGTGCCATGTTCTATCCGACCTTCACATTACTCACACCAAGCCTCGTAGATACCGGAAGGGCGATGTGGTTTAATGGGGAAGGGAGGTAACAAAGAAACACCACTAAACAGAAAGTCGTAGAAACATCCACGGTAAAAACATGCCACTTCAAGATATTTCCCAAAGAAGGGACTTTCCTAAATACACCGGTGACACTGAAAACAAATCCGTGAAGATTCGGATTAGATTGATCTTCAGTAACCCATGCTTGTCGTAAGAGGCGACTAACGGGATCGGCGGGTCAGGCTCGCTGACTTGATTGACACATGTCATCGTATCCCAGTTGCGTAGAACGATGCTCATGCTGTTCATCACTGGATTGTCTGGTCCAGACTCGATTATTTACAGACCGTCGTCATAGAGCTCGAATATTGCTGAGTGCGGCGTAAAACTGAACTCACTCACTCACAGAAAACAAAACTGTAGATGGTGTGATGATATGCGCTGGGTGCACAATGGTGCACAATAACTCGGAATTGCCAAAGGATCAAATGAGATAGCAGCGAGATAATCAGCATGTGACCTTTTGAGTTGGACGCGGCGTAAATCTCAATTTCCTGTCATGTAACAAGGGACTTCAGTCCAGTAAAATGCGTCTTGTTCAGGTTGTGTGAGGTCATGTAAAACCTTTCGTTAACACTTATTTTCAAATTACGAAATGCTAGGATGATTTTTAGTAAATAGGGTTTTCTATTTAGGTTTATATCTCAAAAAAACACGAGCCGATCCCCTGTCTATTCAAAAATGATTTATGTATCTTTTGTTATAATTGAACACATTATAAGTAAATGTAAATATATTATGTTTCGGGTCACATCTTTAGTACTGGGAAATACCCATCGTTACGTTTTGAGCCAAAGAAATAGGAAACCAAATAGAACATACACACAGAACGAAAATATTTCTTGCTTTATATAGCTGGTTGATGTTTTATGTCAATAAGTGGCTTTAGGGTATCCTAGCGGTTACAACGTTCACTCACAATGTCCAAAGCTCGGGTTCGTTTCCCCACATGGGTATAACGTGTTAAGCTCATTTCCAAAGTCTCCGGTTGTTGCTGGGATAGTGTTAAGATCGGCTTTAAACCATATCTACGCACAAGAATCTCTTTTCACTGAATTAATGTACAAGCCAATACTGTTATGTTTTACATAAGATATTTAGCAAAAGTGAATGTACTGTTACAGTAACCGAGTGACCTGATGCCCTAGTGACCTGGTGACTTGATTCCACCAACCACTGATCTGACCAGTTCTGCATTTCACTGCATTCCTTTCCACTAGTTAAGATCAAGCAACATAACAATTATGCTTCGGGGTTTAGTGGTGACGTATTAACAATACCGGCTATTGTTTATTTACGATCGAAAACACAACACCTCTACTTAAACCTACATATGTTGTCTACAACTCGAGTTCTGACGATACAAGACGGAGATTCCGGTCCCGTGGAGATCCCTGGATAAAGCCGGGGGCAGACATCTACAGAATGTCGTCACTGAATAGCAATCAAAAGCCGGGGAGCTAAGTGACAGAGGACTGACGCACACAATAGATAAATACTTTCGCCTACAAAGCAACGCGTTGTCCATTGAGACACAAAAACTTTACACGTACAATCTCACCAGTAGCAAATCGCCTAACTGTGTGGCAATGATTAATCGTTCAGGGGGTCTACTTGACGAGTAGCTACCCAACGCGGTGTTGACTAAATCTCACGTTAAGACAGATATCACTTGAGAGACGTCGGGGCCGGTTGTTGAGAAGGGTTGCTAAAAGAGAAAGGATATCGACTCGTAATTAGTGTTTATACCTTGGGACTTTCGTTTGATTGGTGTGGATTTTGTACCTACTTGAGAAGTTCCCCCATTGTGGGTGTCCCCTCGACGTGAATGGGGGAGTAGAGTCCTGCCTCGTCTCGTGATGAGTAGCCATCCTGTTGTCAAGCTGGGCCCTGTCTCATCTATCTCATCCTTCTACGAGCTATCGGCGCCTCTCATCGACGGGCGAGTGGACCAGTTTAAAGGATTTGAGGGACGACTGACTTTGGTCGTGAACATCGCGACGGCCGACTTTAACACAAGGAACGAACTTAAGCAGGTGAGTGAGGGGTCTGTGGAGGTCGTTGTACGTGGTATGATTGGCTCAGCCGAACGTATGCAGTATTCATACTATAGGGTCAATGTCTGATTGAAAGATTGATGTTTAAAGCGGCTTTTAGCAGTATTTCAGTTATATCACGGCATGCTAGCTTCGGTTTTTACTCAGTGAATGTTTTGCAACCACATGAGCTAGATCCCGAGCACTCATACGTCATACTATGGTGATCGTGGCTCATACTGTTGGCCGCTATTTGTGGCGAAGCATAATCAAGCTCAACCTGGATTCGAACCCCCGATTCGGTTTCTGGCACGTCAAAGGGACGCAACTCTTCGCAGTGAACTCCAGTCTTTCAAAAGACTGGACTGCCCCTGATTTTGTTTCTTAGGCTTCTGTTCCGTGTATACCGTAGCAGGCAAACAGCAACAACATGTGGGAATCAACATATGATGATTGTGATTTAAGTGGGAAATCAGTGTTGTTCACTCTGTAGAGTATGGAATACGGTTAGAGGAAATCTATATTTATTTATTTATTTATTTATTTATTTATTTATTTATTTTTATTTATTTATTTATTTATTTATTTATTTATTTATTTATTTATTTATTTATTTATTTATTTATTGTTTGTTTGTTTGTTTGTTTGTTTTGTTTGTTTGTGTTTGAGGGAGGGGGTTCTTGAAAACAAATTGACCCATGAAGATCCGGTCAGAATTGATCTTCAGCAACCCATGCTTGTAAAAGGCGACTAACGGGATAGGGTGGTCAGGCTCGATGACTTGGTTGACACAATATCATCGTATCCCAGTTGCGTAGATCGATGCTCATGTTGTTGATCACTGGAGTGTCTGGTCCACACTCGATTATTTACAGACCGCCGCCATATACCTAGAATATTGCTGAGTGCGGCGTAAAACTAAACTCACTCACTCACTTGAAGACAAATTACTTGTTTCCGTTTGTACTTGGCCATTTGTTTTATTCATCCCAGTCCCCCTGCATCCATCCTCCCATCCCTCCTCAGCTTTCAAATAGTTGTCCCTTACAAGCAACTGGGCTCCAGAATATTAACAACCCTGTAGACTGAATCCCCAACCTTCCTTTGGATCTGACCCCACAGCACCGAACCCATGACAACACAAACTGATATCTTAAATCATTTTCTTTAAGTATTTCCCCATGAAAGATTCACTGTATGTGTTGTGTATCCACAGCTGAATGAACTGCTGTCAACATACTCCTCCAAAGGCCTCAACGTCTTCGCCTTCCCATGTAACCAGTTCGACGGCGAGCCGTATGAAAACGATGAAATATTACCCATCATGCACTACGTCCGTCCCGGGGGAAAGTTTGAGCCTCGTTTTAAACTCTTTGCCAAATGCGACGTTAATGGGCTGAAGGCTGCACCTGTGTTTGAGTACCTGAGGATGAAACTGCCTCGACCTGACAATGATGATGACGTCATAATACCACGTGAAAAACCTGTGCCATGGACTCCTGTGAAACGTCAGGACATTGGCTGGAACTACGAGAAGTTTTTAATCAATTATGACGGCCAGCCTGTCAGACGGTATACCCACAAGGCTGATATAGAGCTACTTAAAAAGGATATTGAAACTTTCCAGAGGAAAATACCACGGACAGTCAAAGAACAACACGGGTTGCATTGAACGACCTTGACCTTATAGTATTAAATGTCGCAACACAACGACTACTTCTCTGAGACTTAAGTGACCCCTCAGCCTCGTTTGAGAACTTGATCGTAGGGATACGACTACCGTAAGTCGGCTTGAAAGTTATTTACGACAGTCGTAACCTAATCGTAGTGTCTCCAAGTGCATGTCAAAGTATGCAAATGACCCAAAGACATCCGTCCATTGTCACTTGTCAGGGTGACTGACTTCCACATAACTAAATTATTTTTGTATTCTTGTTTTATTCACAGTGAAGTAAACTGCATAAAAAAAAAAGAAAACTCAGTTTCGGTGAATACTGGCTTCTGTCAATTTGCCATGGAGGAAGCTTGGGAGGGAGAGGAGGAGTGGGGTTGGGGGCGGGGAGGAGAAGGGGCGCGTCGAATTTTTGCTTTGCAAGAACGGGATGCGAGTAGAAATAATATGCAAAGAACGTGTTTTGGTCAAACATTGTCTCAGAATCACACATTTACTCGGGGACTTCTTCGAAGGGGCACTATGCAGCAAGGCGGTTTCCAGAAGAAATGGATGGAGCTGACAAACCAGAGGTGATAGGGTCAGCATCGAACCACAACCATGCAATAATTCCACACACAAGCAATCTAAGATGTTATGTTGTTATGTGTTGTTCAACAAAGAGAACAGTGTTTGTTGAGTGAAAGTGGAACTTGATAATTCGAAAATGGTCCTATATATGTGATATTGTCAAATACAGTATTAGCCTGTCTGTTGTCACTGTTGATGCACATAATACATCATGAATGGTTTCCGTGTCTTAGAAGCTGTGTAAATTATGTTAATAAAAGTTTCTCACAATAAGTTTGGTTGTTTTTTTAAATGTGAATTAAAGTATATCTTAACTGATAAAATCCACACGTATGATGTTTTACCCAACACATTGGCACGAAGGGTCGGTAGACTAAAACGTTTGCCCATCTCGCCAGAATTATGGTTCGACTCTGAGAGAGGAACATATGAAACCCAATCGTAGAATATTGCTAAAACAATGTTTAACCACTCACTCATTCACTCACTCACTACTACACCTTTGTAGCTATTACATATAACAATTGTGAATACCAACAGGGAAAATATGTAGCAAGTCAGTTTAACCGCAAGCATCTATGTTCCATCAGCCTGGGACCGCCTCCGTGGTGTAGTGGTTAGAGCGTCCGCCCGGAGAGCGGAAGGTCGCGGGTTCGATCCCCGACCGCGTCAAACCAAAAGACGTTAAAATTTGGTACTTGTTGGTCCCTGCCTGGCGCTTGGCATTAATGGGTACAACAAGGACTGGTCGGCTCGGAGTCAGTATAATGTGTCTGAGTGGGGTATTCATGCTTCACTGCGGCATGGTATCTCAGTGGGCTAGCACTATAAAACCAGCTTCAGTCTGGGCTAGTACAAGCAGCCGCACATACACATACACACACATGCACATCGTCATATGAGCGAAATATTCTCAAGCACGACGTAAAACCCAACTTCACCTCACCTCCATCAGCCTGGACCAGGAAAACCAATGATCGATAATATGAGCATCAATCAAACGACCGCAATAAGCACATAATCAGACAAGTCACACACCAAAACCACCCAATCCTCATAAATCTGCTCTTAAAACAATGGATGACAGGTGCGTACAGTCTAGTCTACCCCGAATTGTTTACAAACTTTACTAAACAAAACGTATTGCGCACAAGAACGATGAGCTCTTTTCCTTTATTTAAATCAATAAACGTTAATGTACGTATCAAATGTCAAGATAAACTTTCCATTTTTACCACATGTCAGAATAAATCTGACATTCGTCCATAAAACATGACGCCACAGTAAGTGAATACCCCCGGTGGCTATGGTGACATACCGAATGAATGCATTGTGGAGTGGATATCTTGCATTACAATGATCTCTAGAGTGACTCTTACAGGGTCGGGTTAACCCTGAGTATACCCTGATTATACCCACTCATCTGCTGGTATAGGCATATGGTCATAAACATCAAGTGGAACCTGCCATGTCGAGACAAAAATTGTATTGATGTGGAAGTCGACTAAATAATACGACTTTATTGTCCCAGTGTCAAGGGACATAAAACGGGCCTGTGAAATGTACGGGGTGCATGCTGGTACACGTACTACAGTAGGAGGTGATTAACCTTTAAGAGCCGCATGATAGACATGTATTGTGCATATCCACGGCGAGTTCTGTGTGTATGTAGTGTATGCTTATATCCCGTGTGCGAAATAGCCACTGGCCCTCTAGCCCGTGGCTAGTAAAAATCCAGTCGGGCCAGTAAATCTCCACAGTCACTGGCCCGACTGGCTAGTGAATTTTCATGGGGTCATTTTGTAAACATATCACTCTCTCCGATTTGTTAAGTTATAACACATTTTAAACCATGCAAAATTATGATCAGATACAAATGCTCATCATATTTGCAGCTTAATGATGAAACCCGTGTCTACATTCAAATATCGGACCAGCGAATAAATTTGTGGGCTAGTAACTTTCAGGCATAGCTAGCCCGACTGGCTAGCAAAAATGGGAAACTATTTCGCACACTGCTTACATATTTTATGTGATGCTCCATGCAAACACACGGCTCCCCTCTACTCGCAGCTCCTGGTCTACACATGAATATCTGGCCTACCAGTCTATGTGCTCCTAGTCAATAGATTACTGACGGATCGATGTCTACTTATTTCATATTGCTAGGTAATAAGTGCACATGATAACTGCCTTCTGCTTTCTGTCGACACACAGACCCTACCCCGCTCACAACTCCTTGCCTACACATAACTGTCTGGCCTACACGCAGCTCTCAGCCTACATACACATGATCAACAGCTTAAACACAGATCCATACCTACCTATTTCATACTGCTGTGTAATATATACACATGGGCACGAATAACGGAACACCTGAAAGTACAAGTGTTCCTTTATTCTTTTCCAGGTTTTTTCACAAGCTTTCTAAAGTTTCTATTAAAACTATGGGGAATTTCTGGAAAAGAATAAAGGAACACTTGTACTTTCAGGGGTTCCATTATTCGTTTCCATGGGTATATGTAATTGTTAACTTGTCGACGTATGAGCTTCTAGCCTCCACGCCGCCCCTATCCACCAGCAGCTCATAGTTTACACTTAGCTATCTGACCTAGCTCACATGCATCCAACATACATGTATACCTTCCAGCCTGCAGTTTTGTATATGTAAAACTGCTAAGAAATGTGTGGCAGGGTTAGTTATAGTCTCAAATGAATTCCTACATGGAGCTCATTTCACGATTGTGAAAAAACCCATCTGCTTGTTATTTGCTTCTGTAAATGATGGACTCTGGACCAAACAATCCAGTGAGATACGATGGCATGTGCCAACCAAGGCAGCATCACCCGATCACATTAACCTGTTAGTAATACCAAACAGAAGATTTAGTATGTAAATAAAGTCAAGTGGTTGAAATGAGCTGACGGGCAGAAATTCTGCTTATTAAATATACCAAAAAAATGTATTTCGATACATGTCGGCACATTAACCCCCAAGACCATACACAAACGTAAACCCGTGAGGATCCGAGATAGAATTGTTCTTCAGCAAGCCATTCCTGTCGTAAGAGGCTCACGGGGTGGGGTGGTCAGGGGTGGAAATAACCCATTGCCCGACGCCCAGTCCAGCGTTTTTTTCTGTAGGGCTAGCAAATTTGTATGTCACGCTGTACCGGTGTCCAGTTGACTTTCCAATGTTAATTATGTTGTTTATTTTAAACATCAACAAGAAAATCAGCCAGTATAGTGGAAAAATTATCAGGGCAAGTGATTTTACATGTGCCACTGTACCGGAGTACATTAGCAATTTTTAAGTTATTTCCACCCCTGAGTGGTCAGACACGCTGACTTGGTTTGACACATGCTATCATATATCAGTTGCGTAGATCGATGGTCATGGTGTTGATCACTGGATTGTCTGGTCCAGAATCGATTTGTTCTACAGACTGCCTTCATATGGCTGGAATATTGCGGTGCGGTGTTAAACAACAAGCAAACATTGGCAGACCTGATGTATGGATATGAGTGAGGGAGTTTAGTTTTACGCCGCACTCAGCAACATTGCAGCTATATGGCGGCGGTCTGTAAATAATCGAGTCTGCACCAGACAACCCAGTGATCAACAACATAAACATCGATCTGCGCAATGGTGAACCGATGGCATGTGTCAACCAAGTCAGCGAGCCTGACTACCCGATGCCGTTAGTCGCCTTTTACGACAAGCATGGGTTGGTGAAGATCAATTCTAACCCTGATATTCACGGGTGTATAGATATGAAGTACAATGTGAATTCCAGTGTTAAGTTGTTTTGAAGCATGCGTAAAATCACGCCCAACTTCCTTATTTCTTAATACAATCGTGTGGTGCTTTGATCGCGTGGTCATCACTGCAGCAGCTCTATCGCAATGGAAGGAAAGATCTGCCAAAATTTACGTGAATATCACAAACTTGACACTGAAATCTCACCCGCGTTAATTCAAAACGTGTCTAAACGCAGCCACCATTGCACCCCGGGCAAGAACTTATAGTGGGCTGAATTCATTTGCATATAATTCCAAGGTCTCACTCATTGGGTGCTTTGTCAAAAACGATTTATACAGATTTCTTCAGGCTTTTGGGGAACGGTTAAGGCTGCACATGCAAATGCTATGTAAATATGATCAATTATTTCCCCCCTTAGATATACTTCTACTTTCGATTTTTTTCCACTATTTGATTCTTTTACTGTAAATGTTTTAGTCCGCGTGTACATGGTATCAATTCAGACGTTATATATTCTGTCCCTTGGGTGAGTGGGTGAGTGGGGGCGGTGGGGTAGCCTAGTGGTTAAAACGTTGGCTCGTCACGCCGAAGACCCGGGTTCGAATCCCCACATGGGTACAATGTGTGAAGCCCATTTCTGGTGTCCCCCGCCGTGATGTTGCTGGAATATTGCTAAAAGCGGCGTAAAACCAAACTCAGTCAGTCAGTCAGTGGGTGAGTGATTTTAGTTTTACACCGCACTCAGCAATATTCTAGCTATATGGCGGCGGTCTGTAAATAATCGAGTCTGGACCAGACAATCCAGTGATCAACAGCATGAACATTGATCTACGCAATTGGGAACCGATGACATGTGTCAACCAAGTCACCAAGCCTGACACCCCCCGCATCCCGTTAGTCGCCTCTTACGGCAAGCATGGGTTCCTGAAGATCAATTCTATCACAATGATAATAGAGTGATGTGATAATATCCTACTAAGTATATTTATATCCTGTAATGTAATGTTTGATAGTTTTCACTCGTCTTAATAAAAAGAACTGCTTGCAAGAGAAGGACTTGCTTCGTCTGACGTAACGTCTTCCGCGTGACGAGCGATCACTGTAACCACTAGGCTACCCCACTGCCCGTCAGGTGAACATTTCTTAATTTTCAAATCATTTTGGCAATTTTTCTAGTAACAAATTATTTAATTACGCATCCCCTCGGCATTCAGTTATATGTATGTGACTTGTGCATCAATACTTTCAGCCTTGTCAATGTCACATGTGTAACAATTCCAAACGGATATGTTCGCAGATGTCTCAAACATCTCGGACCCTGGTTTTGTGAAATTATGCTTTTACGAGTCAAATTTTATATGGTTCGAAAAATTGTTTCAAACAGAAAGCAGGCGTTAAATAGTTTCACATGGCTATCACATGACAGTAGCACGATATTTACAACCGTGACTAAATTTAGTGGCAGTGAACGACCTCGTAATCTAACGGAGCAGCTGGGTTGTTAATATTTTATTGATAGACTAAACCCCCCAAATATATGTGCCCTCAATTCAACAATTCTCAATACATTCATTACATGATGAATACCACTTTTTAAGGCAGATCAGTTTATCTGTTTCGCGTACTTCCTTAATTTTGACAATAATTAAAACCCGTTTTGGTTTGCAAATAATTATGTTTCATTACCAATTTCATTCCGATTACATATTTTCAGGGTGTTTTTTTTTTACCCCAGATTGCTTAAAACAAGAAAATAACACATAAGAGTGAGTGAGTGAGTTTAGGTGAACGCCGCACTCAGCAATACTCCAGTTATATGGCAGCGGTCTGTAAATAACCAGACAATCCAGTGATCAACAGCATGTGCATCGATCTGCGCAATTGGGAACCGTTAGACGCCTCTTACAACAAGCATGGGTTACTGAAGATCAATTCTAACCCGGATCTTCATAACGCATAAGAAAGCAATTCTGTAAACGTGAATATGGTACCGACAACGAATACGAGCAAAATTTCCAATGAATTCCCAAACATTTTTAACATCATAAAAATACAGACACGTATATAATAGCATGTCTGTGTATAATAATATCATCCACACTTTCACAGGAAAAATAACTTGGTGACGGATATGAAATGGAAACTTAACTTTCAGTTAGGTTTCCGGACCGTTTCTCTACATTTCCTTCAAGTTTCCGGTAAACGGAACTTACAAATTACCCAGAAACCGGTAGGGCTCCAATGCGTTTCCGTTACCCAGATTCCTGTAAGGCTCCAGTGCGTTTCCGTTACCCAGATTCCTGTATGGCTCCAGTGCGTTTCCGTTACACAAATTCCTGTAGGGCTCCAGTGCGTTTCCGTTACCCAGAAAACTATTAAGTACAAAATGTAGTAGAACCGTATCTTACGTTCGTATGCTATGTTACCGCAAAATTACGTTGAGACGTCAATGTATCTGTGGCATCAAAGAACTAACTTTACCAGTAGTACATGCGGCAGGGCGGGTGCAGTATAAATTACAAGGATTTCTTATAAGTATTTTATTAGATCTAACTCTCTTACCTTGAAACACATGTCTAATATTTAAATGCTCATGTAGTGTTTGGTTACATAAATATATTATATGTCGCAAACGCCAAGGCTTGGAAATTACAGAAATAATTCCTTCTAGAAATTAATCCGTAATTCGGGATTATTCTTTATGAATGTGGGTTTCCAGAACTGAAATTGGAACAGCTGAGTTACTTTGGAACGACGTCACATAAATCGCCATAACGTCATGAACATTGTATGGCGTAATGAACAGAGTATTTTTTATTTTATTTTTTATTATAGGATATTTATATAGCGCACATATCCACGCACTAGTGCATGCTCAAGGCGCTGGTATTTTTTCCCTCGATCATTGGATGTATATCTCAAGTTCTCAACGGCACATCGCATTATCAATTTCAACTCCCTGGGGAGTATACAACTCTTGCAGCCACTAGGCGCACCGAGTTATTGTGGCTTTCTCGTCCTAACGAGGTATCCATTCACAGCTGGGTGGACTGGGACACATAGTCACAGTACTTTGTCCATGTTCACTGCACGTTGCTGTACCCGCAACTAGGTGTTTGCACGTATTCATGTGGCCACCATCTGGTCAAATACCAACGGATTCGTGAGTTCTGTAAAGTGCACAGGGTTGTGTACTGTACACTAGGGGTTGTGACAACACTGAAAGAGTCTGCACACAAAGTTGACTCCAAGGTTTTTACACCCGGTCACAGGTGGGCTCGATCCCGACACCTCAACATCGCTTGATCACTACTAGCCTTGCGCCTTAGCCAGCTCGCCCACCGCGCCCCCTAGAGTATGACGTCATCTTCAATCATTTGCGACAATGCGTTCATATCACGTGACGTTCCTCGTGGCCTGCTCGCAAACAATGACAATGGAATAGTTGTTATAATGCTCGGTATAATTACTGTAATGTGGGTGGTATATAGAAAATGCCCCCGGAATGTCTTTTGATATGGACCCGTGAAGGTCGGGTTAGAATTACCTTCAGTAACCAATGCTTGTCGAAAGAGGCGACTAACGGGATCGGGTGGTTAGGCTCGCTGGCTTGGTTGACACATGTCATCGGTTCCCAATTGCGCAGACCGATGCTCATGCTGTTGATCACTGGATTGTCTGGTCCAGACTCGATTATTTACAGACCGCCGCCATATAGCTGGAATAATGCTGAGTGCGGCGTAAAACTAAACTCGCTCACTCACTCTCTCACTCACTCTTTTGATATGGAATATATCAACACTAGGCCATAAAAGTTTAAAACTCTCGGAGTGAGTGTTTTGTGTGTTTTTTCTTTACGAGTTGTTTGTTTTGTTTGTTTGTATCTATGGAAACCAATGATTGTTGTTGGTTTGGGGTTTTTATTCTATTTTTTTTGGTTTTATTTTCTTTTTTATTTTTTATTTATTTTTATTTTTTTCATTAATTATTATTATTTTATTTTTTTATTTTTGGGTTATAAAATACATGTACTTCGATCATCTCTAACACTTAACCTCTCTACAAAGCTACAAATCAATCCCACAATGTTCTTGAATATATAAAATATATGTACATGCATATCTATCTATCTATCTATCTATCTATCTATCTATATAGATATATGCATAAAACAACTGCAAATACGTATAACGTATACTTTAATCAAGACTACAATGTTCAACACCATACTGCCACCATAACAGGTTTCCAAAATTATTCATATTTCGATCTGTTTGTCTAAGGGAGAATTCAAATCGATTTGACATTCGTTATGAATGTAATGTACCCCTGAGGTCGTTTTGTTATAAATGTTCATACATATCACACACACTGATAATAACATGCTATTTGGCTGTGATCAATATCGATCAGCCATTCAATCATGTAAGTAGAAAACGATTCACACAAAATCGGCCCAATGATAATCCCAAATATAATACCTCCAGCGATGGGGTTGTCGGGTCGACGGCTCCACTGTGAGCGTTTAATCAATAACTAAAATTGTGACACGAGCTTTTATTAAAGTTTGAAAAAAAAAACCAATAGGTTTTATGTGTTGCGCGTCTCCTTCCTTCCAACAGCTATAAGCTGTTTATTTATTGAGTCGTCGAAGCGTGTAACCCCTCTGGCCGCAATGCGAACGCTCGCTAGATATAACGGTAGATCTGTCGGTCAACTCGCCTAGCGTTCATAGCAACCAATCACAGCTAAGCTCTAGGCGAGCACGTTAGTTCCTATGATCGTATAGCGATATGAGCAACATGGCCGAAAAGTGACTTGCCACACAAAACGATTGTTGTCGTTGGATGTTGTGGATGGATGCGACGTCGTTGTTGTTGTGAGGGCAGACGAGGTAGGTGTTGTCACAGCGTTAACGATGGAGGTGGTGAAGGTCAACTAACCACAACAGCTTGGGGCTTTGTGGACAGGGGTTGTTTATTGCGATCGAACTCCCAAGCAATTAGTAAACACGGTGAGAAACTGTCCAGACACTTTGTCTTAGACACAGATTGTATGGGTTGACATTAGAATAAGTTCAGGGAGATCTGTCACATAAAGGTCATGCTGAGGTTTTAATATGTCTTCTTTCCATAATCATTTGTACTCTTTGATTGTGTGAAATTTAATACCTTTAAATCAGGTTTCGGAATATTAGTCGAATTGTCTTATGATTGTAAGAAATTGTTACTCTGGTAAACACTTTTCAGATGATGGACAATTTCTATCATCAATACATCATTATATATTATATGTTTTATCTCATTTTTATTTTGTCATATCATTTAAAATTACCTTTTATATTTATTATGATTATTGTATATGAAATGAATACTTATGTTGTTATGGTATCAGAAACGCAACTGATGAAAAATGTTTAAAATACCTATATTCATGGAAGCTTAACAAATACTTACATTTATTTAAAAATTATGCAACAATGTAGTGAAAAATCTCATGAGACATAAATGGACATGTTCATGTATCTTAACAGCATTGAAATGATGTCAATATTTCATTTGCCAGACAAACTTGTGCCACTATGATATTTATAACACGTTGGAGCTATTATGTTGATGTAACTAAGATTACAGAAAGGGAAAATATAATGTTTATGTTTCGTATATTATTAATGGCCTTAAAGCGGCCTTGTGAACATCATATTGATGTGAATATGATTATATGAGTATGGTGCTAATGCAGTATCTTGAGACATCACACTAGGGAGCTACCACTGATACAGGGGAAATCAATACAAGTAATCTCATTGATCTCCAATAAACAGGATCATTAACTCTCACTGATTGAAGCAGCTGGGTTACTTTTGGGATTCATTGATTTTTGCCAATAAAACGTGATTTGCTTCATCTAACAGATTGCTATAAGAGGCAGCTTGGCAGGATAAGATTGTCATGTTCACTGACGTGGTTGGCATGTCATCATGCCCCAGTTGAGTAGATCGATGCTCGTTATGTCGGTCACTGGATCCGGTGTTCTCAACCTGTCAAAGTTCATATGTTGTGAATGGTATGAACACTGTTTCTCTCTTTTGGTCTGTAATCCTTGAAATGACAAAAAAATAATAATAATACTTGATTTGAGTTGGAAAGTTCATTTATTATGCCCTGCCTCCTGTGTTAACATCTGAGGCATTGGGGTAGCCTAGTGGTTGAAGCGTTTGCTCGTCACACCGAAGACCCGGGTTCGATTCCCCACATGGGTACAATGTGTGAAACCCACATCTGGTGTCCCATGCTGTGATGTTGCTGGAATATTGCTAAAAGCGGTGTAAAACCATACTCACTCAATGTTAGCATCTGTAGATGCCACTTTCAAAACAATGACAATATAAAAATATGTCAGTATTAATATTTAAACTAACTTTATAAATATTTGTGAAATGTTTAAAACATAAGTACCATAAGATTGTTCAAAATCTTTTGCCATTATCAGGTTGAAAAGGAAGGATTATATATTATCTAATATTATTAATATAGTATACAGTATAATAAGTATAACAGTGCTAAGAGGATGGATGAAAGTCTTGTAAATGTTTTGGCCTAATGGAATCCATGCACTAATCCACTTATAATCCACTTAGCTGTAAGGTATAGTTAGTGTGCCAAGTGTCCAACACGAGAAGAAAGGTGTAGGCAATGCCAGTTTCTGGCATGCATTGGTCCCTGCTTTTCATGAAATCCAAGAAAATATATTTGTCAGGTAATTCTTAATGTGGTATTAGTACAACTGGTGTGGTTGCTTCAAAGGATATAATGTTTGGTTTGGTTCAGTTTGTTGTTTAATGCCACTCTCAGTGAGATACTCCAGGGAATTGGGGTTGAGGGGTGGTAGGATGGGGGGTGGGGATATTGGATAGTTAGGGTGAGGTGGTATGGGAGTGGAGGGAATTGGAAAGTTAGGGTGAGGTTATGAGGAAGGGAATTAGGAGTTAAGGTGAGGTGGTATGGGAGGGAATTGGGAGTTAGGGTGAGGTGGGGAGTGAGTGAATTTAGTTTTATGCCGCTTTTAGCAATATTCCAGCAATATCATGGCGGAGGACACCAGAAATGGGCTTCACACATTGTGCCATGTGGAGAATCGAACCCGGGTCTTCGGCGTGACGAAACGAACACTTTAATCACTAGGCTACCCCACCGCCCCCTGGTATGGGAGGGAATTGGGGAGTTAGGGTGAGGTGGTATGGGAGGGAATTGGGGAGTCAGGGTCAGGTGATATGGGAGGGAATTGGGGAGTTAGGGGTGAGGTGCTGTTGTACTGGAGGGAATTGGAGAGTTAGGGTTAGGTGGTATGAGAGGGAATTGGGGATGTCACCATCATGCTATACTCATAAAACCAATCTTGAAAAAGTGTAAAGCCATTATACCGTTGAAAACAAGAATTGATTTTTCATTACTCGAGAACAGCACAGTGAGGATTTTAAAACCATTTTCAGAGAGACAGCCAAGAAATTTCACACAAATAAACAGTCTCACCCCACTTACATGAATGGTCCCACAATCAACTGACTGACTGACTGAGGTTGGTTTTACGCCGCTTTTAGCAATATTCCAGCAACATCACGGCGGGGGACACCAGAAATGGGCTTCACACAATGTACCCATGTGGGGATTCGAACCCGGGTCTTTGGCGTGACGAGCCAACGCTTTAACCACTAGGCTACCCCACAGCCCCTTCCCACAATCAAGCACTCAAGGTTGTAGCATTATCATCCCAATCCATGAACTGAAATATATCAATATTTGTGCTCCATGACGTTTTATGATGCCATGTTAGTGCCATGTATGCCATAAAGCCGTTTAAATATTGGCTTAACCAAATGTCATACTGACTCAACAAACACCACTGTAAAGCAGTGGAACTGGAAGTAAACAGAGTTTGCACTTTGGAAAATAATCAATGAACTATTTTTCTGTGCATCAGAAACATACAGACCTGTTTTGTATCTTGATCAACTTGCATGCAAGGCAAAGCGATATAGATTTCCTTCAGGCTGAACAGGTCAGACAATTACGTCGAGTTAGCTTTGAGGGAGGGGGGAGATTTATGAATTTTCATCATGTTTTGTATGAATCATTGGGAGGATTTGACTCATTTATTCAGTATTGTTATTGCTGTTATTGTTTTTTCATCATTTTATTCACATTTCTATGAACATTTTACATTACAGTAAATGATATACTTCCCATCAAAAGTTTAGACTCATTTAAAACACTCACTATATGTTATGTATATATATGAGGTTACATCGAAGATTGATTTCTCCACTATCTTGGGGAAACCAACTGCAAACCTTATGCAGATGAATTGCACGAGGATCATGTATCAAATTGCTGAAAAGCATGTGCAAATATCGTGCTTGTGAACAGCCGTGTTTTGGTGTAAAGTTTTGTTACAAATTCGCCAATTTTCACTGATTTTTATCATTTATTGCACTCATGACAATAATCTTTTCAACGTTACGAATTTGTTTTACAATACATCAGTTTATGTGTAAACAGTACCTTTAAACAGTATGGAATATTTTGCAAAATTTAGTTTAGAACAGTTGCCTGAAGTAAGTGGCTATAATTACACTAGTGAGTATAAACGTTGGATGAGAAGTATATATTCAACTGCAGAGTGGATGTATGCCTATCACATGCACGCACGCATTCACGCATATATAAGTGGAAAGGTAGTTGACAGGTACATGAGTAGAGTACGTATCGTTAAGTAGATGTTTTTTTAAGTCAAGTAAACTGGTAGATTTGGCTAAGTAGATAATGAATAAATGGCTAGCATATTGTTGTTGTTTCTAACAAGGTACTGCCGCTAATCATTTAACACTTGCTTGATAACGGTGTTAGTACCTACGCCAAAACGTTGCACTCAAGGCAATAAAGAAGTTGACTATTCATAGAACCTGGTTTTCCTTCATGTTTACAATTTCTAAAATGCCTCTCAAAGAAATCATCTAGTTCCTGATTATTTTTGTCATCTCAAAATCTAAGATACTTATCAGATGAGTATACTTGCCTCATCCCTGTTTAGGGTTGGTCTAGCCTTGTGGTTAAAGCGTCCGCTCGTCATGACGAAGATCCAGGTTCAATTCCTCACATGGGTATAATGTGTAAAGACCATTTCTGGTGTCCTCCGTTGCAATTTTGCTAGAATATTGCTAAAAGTGGCGTTAGGTTTCACTCACTCACTCATCATTGTTTGTCTTGGTGGCCAACATATTTGTCAAGCTGTGCTGGGAACATACTATTTCTTGGGAGTTTACCTGAAATGACTTTCATGCATTGAAATATCAAGACTATAAATCACCAATGTCCCCCTAAGCATTGTTAAGTCTAGCAGCGCAGTCTCAAGTGCTTCAGATCAGCTGTTTGCTTAAGGAGTTTATATCTAGTATTATCTACTAAACTTTCATGTCTAACCTGGACTTCCTCCTTAGAAGTCACATAGCAGTATTGTGTATAATGTACTGTTGTGCAGTACAGGCTCCTACAGGTGTTGTTTTTCACCTGGGGTAAATGAGTTAGGATTATATTTGTTTTTTAGAGTTTTTGATTGATTGATGAACTGAGAGTCTGTGGGGTTAATGTGCTGTTAGCAATGTACTTTGGGAGAGGGAAAAGGAGGGGTTATTGGATGCAAGGAATGGTGACTTTGGACGGAGGAGAGAGAAAGAATGGGGAAGAGGGACAGGGAATGTGTAGAAGAGACCGATGAGGGTAGACAAAGAATGTGGAGAAGACACCAAGGCTGAAGAGGAGAAACTAACAATGTTGAGGGAAGACAAGGACTGAGGCATAAGACAAGGAATCTAGATGAGAGACACTTTAAGACTATGGAGGCAAGACAAAGGGGGAGACCAAGACTAAAGAAGGGAAATAAGGACTAGGGAGGAGAGACAAAGACTAAGAAGGTGGTACAAGGAATGGGGATGGCAGACAAAGACTAAAGAAGGGAGACAAGGAATGGGGGGGTCAGACAAAGATTAAGAAGGTGGTGCAAGGAATGGGGGGGTCAGACAAAGATTAAAGAAGGACACAAGGAATGGGAGGGCAGACAAAGATTAAAGAAGGACACTGATTATGGGGAGGGGAGACAAAGACTAAGGAAGGGAGGCTGGGATTATGGGGAGCGGAGACAAAGACTACGGAAGGGAGACAAGGAATGGGGAGCGGAGACAAAGACTACGGAAGGGAGACAAGGAATGGGGAGGAGAATGGAAAACAAAGACTAAGGAACAGACACAAAGACTAAGGAAAGGAGACAAAGGAGACGGATGAGAGAAAAGCAGTATTGGGAAAGGAGACACAGCTCATATACAAAGTCAATTAAATTAAGTTGATGTGAGTAAGTGAGTATGGATTTACGCCGCTTTTTGCAATATTCCAGCAATATCACCGCAGGGGACACCAAAATGGCTTCACACATTGTACCCATGGAGGGAAGGGAACATGGGTCTTCGACATGAGGAGTGGACGATTTAACCAGGAGGCTACTCCACCATCCAACAAGTCGATATGTTGGTGTGCTGTGAAGATCAGATACCACCTTGTTGATAGAATACAACGCTGTCAAATAGCACTTAGTGTTCATTATGCAAGAAAAACACATACAAACTATCAACATGCCAAAGATCTAACACCTGCTTATGTCCCAACTTATGCAAAAGAACAATCACCAAACTGAACAATATTTCTTTCCCTGAACGGGTATTTACATAATGCTTAAAGGCATGACTGACATTATACGTTCACACTGGCTCATTAACCACTGCTTGGAGCGAATTTACTCCTGGTGCTTGACAAACAATGCCAGGCTTTAGGATTTCTCCATTGTCAGACTAAACTGACTGAGTTGCAGTCCAGGCTGGAGATTATTAAAAGCTTCTTTACAATGGCGATATTACCATCATACATGAGACTGCAGGTGGTGAGGGCAGGTTCACAGACAGACATATATTGACATGGTAGGGTCTTGGAGTAGAACGTGCCAAGGCTCCATATCTGGGTGTATGAGGAACCTGAATGGATTACAGGTTAGAAAAGGATCCTGCAAGTCATATGAGTGAGTGAGTTTAATTTTAATGCTGCTTTCAGCAATATATGGGACAGCAGAAATGGGCTTCACACATTGTACCCATGTGGGGAATCGAACCTGGGTCTTTGACATGATGAGTGAACGCTTTAACCACTAGGCTACCCCACTGCCCACCGGTCATTTAAAAGAGGTGATTTAATGATTGGGTGGTCATGGGCAGTGACTTGGTTGTTTGCATGTCCACATGCTTCAGCAATATTGATCAGTGCTCACAATATCAATCATTGGATCGTCTGGTACAGATTTGATTGTTTACAGGACACTGTGATATGTCTTGATATTGTTGAAAGCAGCATTAGACAAGAAACACACACATGCATATAGTGGCTAGAATTTTTGTATTTTGTTTGTCAGTTATTGTTAAGTATTATTAGAATTGCTCTTAGTACCATTCCCACTGTAAATAACAAATCTGGAATGTAAATAACCCGGGAACCTGGGTCTTCGGCGTGACGAGCCAACGCTTTAACCACTAGGCTACCCCACCACCCTCCAGTTACAGATAATGTGACATTGATCTCCACCATCAGGTCACAATGAACCCATGAAGGTCCGGGTTAGAATGATCTTCAGTAACCCATGCTTGTCGTAAGAGGTGACTAACGGGATCGGGTGGTCAGGTTCGCTGACTTGGTTGACACATGTCATTGGTTCCCAATTGTGCAGATCGATGCTCATGCTGTTGATCACTGGATTGTCTGGTCCAGACTCGATTATTTACAGACCGCCACCATATAGCTGGAATATTGCTGAGTGCGGCGTAAAACTAAACTCACTCACTCACTCACTCAGGTCACAATGGCACACAATCGACCAATACATGGAACCTGACCACTGAATGATCGAACCAGGGGAGGAGATGTAGCCTAGTGGATAATGCATTCACTCATCCCCCGAAGACCCAGGTTTGATTCCACACATCGGTACAATGTGTGATGCCCATTTCTGGTGTCCCAGAATTTGCTGTACTATGATATTGCTGGAATATTGCTAAAAGTTTGTAAAGCCATACTCACTCACTCACTCACTAACAACCAGTACAAGTTGTCTAGGGCCAACTCCAACCAATCACAAGTGCTGGGAGAGCAGAATCAATTCCTGCTGCCTGCTCCACAGTTAGTTCCTGTATCAGGCATTATTCAGTGGGAGCGCTAAACATCACACAGTACAATGGGCACATATAGCATCATATCCTATACTGCTCAACATTCAACAGGGACATCTCTGTATGTCAAGAAATATTCTTATCAAGAGTTGAGTTAAGCGTTCAATCAGCAATATCCTTACACAAGAAGACTTGCTGTAATATGAATTGTGATATTTTGCTTCTAGTCCTTTACCTTCTGTGAAACTCTAGATCTTCCCTGGAGTTTATAAAAAAATATGATTGTCAGATATCCTTTAGCAAGATAAATAGATGTGGTCTTTTGATCTACAGATAATCAATAATGATGAATGCGACAGTACAAAGTAATTTTATTGATTCTAACTGACTAGAGGCTGAAAAATAGCTTAGGACATGCCCAAAATATGAGCTGACATTTGGAAACTTGTGAGCGTAAAATAGAAATTATTTTACACCCTCAAAATAATTTGTATTAAAATTAAAGGATAATGTTCCTTTTTTACCAGCCATGCTGCTTAAAACATACTAGGTATGATATTTTTAGCAACTGCCCAAAGAAATAGAAATTCAGGAACTGAAAAAAGACCTTGAGATATTGATAACTGTGCATTGGTTCTATGACTCTGTTGTTGTTTCAGATAGATGGTATCTAGCGGTCTGTGAATCTTCATCAAAATGAATGAGTATGACGAGAGGGGATGGGCTCACATCCACCAGGCTGCTTATCGCGGCTACGTCAAGTCCATCGAGCGCTTCGTGGAGGCCAACCCTGATCAGCTGGAGCTGGAGACAAATGACGACCTTCACTCCACCCCGTTCCTCCTGGCTGTCAGCAGCGGCAACATCGACACCGTCAAGAGCTTGTTGTCTCTAAATGCCAAGATAAATGTCATCAACACGCAGAACCATGGAGCTGTGGAACTTTGCTGTATGAAGCAGTTCGTTTCTCTGCTTGAATACTTCATTAAACGCAATGATGAAAAACTTCCTGTATGGAAGCATCTTCTTAAGATGGTGGGGTCGGATAACGAAGAGGAGGCAGAAAATTCGGGGAAATGTTTGAGGACGTTGACTGACCGTAGTGAAGCTGAAGGCATCAACGCTAACTGGGAATATGTTTATAATAATGGCGGAATTCCAGTGATTGTCAAAGTGGTCAAGGGTACTCTCAATGATGATGCTAAGATTCCGGCCCTTCAGGCACTGCTCAATGTCCTTGAGAAGACAGAGGTGCAAGAACAGATGGTAAGCTCGGGAGGAATTCCTGCATATATCAAAATCTTAAAATCTCAGAATCACTTCGCAGTTAAGCTGGCAGCAGAGACGTTACAAGAATTGGCCAAGAAGAGGGAATATGCTGATATACAGATGCAGAACCAAGTTGCCCAGGCTCTTCTGAAGGTGGCACAGACTGTGTCCGACTACGAGGTACTCATACCTGTTGTCCACTGTTTTACGGTGTTGTCCGAAGTCAGCAGTACCCATCGGTCAGCAATAGGAGGTGTTGCGGGCTTGATTTCAACTCTAGTTGGTCTTTATGAAAAATACAGTGAGCAGCAGTTACTGCTTGCCTTGACATCAGCTGTGGGTCTGATAGCAGAGGACACAAAGTCCAATCAGAATATGTTCGTTGATGAAGGAGTGACTCCTCACTTGAGGGACGTCATCATGGGTCAGATGAAGCACAGGGAGCTGCAGCTGACAGCTGTAGAAGCTGTTCACCTCCTGGCACAGGACAATCCTCACACTCAGAAGGAAATCCTTTCCAAAGGAATAGACAGAATCCTGTTCAAACTTCTTTCCAAAAGCAGGGCAGACGTGCTTCTGGAGAAAACTGCTATGGCACTGTGGGCTTTAGCAGGGACAAACTTGGATGAACAACGTGAAATGGCGACAGGGATGGGTGTGCAAATGTTGATAGAGTTTCTTAATTCTCTGTCGGAGAAACTTCACCTCATTGCTTCAGAAGGTCTAGGTGTTCTTGCCCAGGGCCCTCTCAACATGCAGACTGAGATAGCTCAGAAGAATGGTATTAATCCTCTAGTGAGATTGTTGAAGTCAGATAAGGACTACATTGGTCTGAGTGTGATCCGGACGCTCAGGTATCTGTCTGTGGGAGTGGGGAATGTGCCTCACAATCAGAACCAGAAGGCAATCTCAAAGTCTCATGGCATCAGATACCTGGTGGCTCTCATGGTTCACTCGGCCAGTGAGATTCTGCGGGTGGAATCGGCTGTCACTCTGGGATATGTGTCCATAGGTGAGTACTGTGTTGAATGTGTTTGGCAAGTTAAGTTGATGTGAGGTGAGGTCCGGTGAGATGTGTGACCCCCCAGTGTTTGTGTCTTCAGGTGAGTACTGTGTTGAATCTTATGACATGTGGTGAGGTGAGGCCAGGTGAATGTAAGTGAATAAGTGAGTGAGTGAGGGAGGGAGGGAGAAAGGCTACTAAAAATCCAGTCTGGCCAGTAAATCTCCACAAGTAAATCTTGTAAATCTCCAGTAAGTCTCTGGCCCAACTGGCTAGTGAATTTTCATGGAGTCATTTTGTAAATATATCACTCTCTCCAACTTGTTAAGTTATAATACACTTTTAAATCATGCAAGATTATGGCCTGATAGATAATGGTATCTTACCTTATTGTAATCTTTTGCTTAGTTCCTACATTCAAATTTCGGACTAGTGAATTATTGTGAGGGCTAGTAACTTACAGGCATAGCTAGCCCGACTGGCTAGCCAAATTTAGAATCTATTTCGCACACTGGTCAGCATATGTGTCCACAGGTGAGTACTGTGTCAAATCTGTTTCTCAAGGTGAGATGTGCTGATGTGAGGCTAATGAAGGAGAGAGTGAGTGAAGGAGTAAATGAGTGAGTGAGTGAGTGACACACCAGCATATGTGTCCAGAGCTCAGTGTTTATATATGTATCTCAAGTTCTTTGTAATTGAGTGTCTGAACGTGGTTTCCATGGCAACCGAAGTAGCTTGAGCCACAATATTCAAACACAAGCTGATTGTGTCGCTGATTGTGTGTCATCGTGTCCTGTCTACAGTGTCAAAATATTCAAACACAAGCTCATCGTGTCGCTGATTGTGTGTCGTGTCCTGTCTACAGTGTCAAAATATTCAAACACAAGCTCATTGTGTCGCTGATTGTGTGTCATCGTGTCCTGTCTACAGTGTCAAAATATTCAAACACAAGCTCATCGTGTCGCTGATTGTGTGTCGTGTCCTGTCTACAGTGTCAAAATATTCAAACACAAGCTCATTGTGTCACTCATTGTGTCGCTGATTGTGTGTCATCATGTCCTGTCTACAGTGTCATACTATCAACCACTGGTTTAAGTCAGTGTATTGAGGTTCATGCTTCTTTTTAAAATTATATACTTAAATGATTGTATGTCAGCACAATGTGGGTGGAAAGCTCCGCTGTTCTGACAAACCTACAGGTTGTTCAGCTTGACCTGATCAAGTGAATACTAATGAATTGCGTGACCGTGTCACAACTGGTTGGGTCTATTATTGTGAAGGGGTGCACCTTTGTCAGATGATTGGTGTAAACGAGTGGACTGATTGTTGTGCCCATGTTGAAAATTTGGAAAGCGACTACTGGGACAGAAATATTGCAGTTGAACATGAAATAGAAAAAGTGATAATTGAAGTGTTGTTTTCCGGGACAAGTTCTGTAACGAATCTGTGTATGCATGCCTCGCACGGATGCTACATTAATAACATTCTCTGCACCCCTATTTAATGAAGATAACCCGATCTGCCATTTGACCTCCCGGGTCATGCAAATGTAGAGTAGCTCAGGTCAAGCTGAACAAGCTGTAGACCCATAATCATTGCAAATCCTAATATTACAAACCCATGATCATAAGCTTCTTGCCCAGGACGTGTACACAAAACAAAAACTCAACTCATTTATTATATGAAAACAGAGGCGGTGGGGTAGCCTAGTGGTTAAAGCGTTCGCTCGTCACGCCAAAGACCCGGGTTCGATTCCCCACATGGGTACAATGTGTGAAGCCCATTTCTGGTGCCCCCCACCGTGGCATTGCTGGAATATTGCTAAACTAAACTCACTCACTATTATATGAAGACAAGATAGCTTGATTCGAACAAACAATTTATTTGTTATGGACTTAAAATTACATTGGAGGAAAAAGCCTTTGTATTTAATAAATATTTTTATGTAGTCATTATGATTATACTTTGGCATGGTTAAAGGTGTAAAGACAGGTTTCCAGCTAAAGAGCTGTGACAAGGATTACTGTAATGCATTTAGCTAATCTGTACCCTATGTCAGATTGCATTTCCATAACATAATCTGATTTGAAACCACTCTGTCTCCTGAGACTTAAGCTAAGAGCTTTATGTGACCATTACCTCATTAATATTCTTCCCCACATGGGTACAATGATCCAGCCCATTTTGAAAGGAGGGATGTTGCTGGAATATGGCTAAAACCGCTGTGAACCCAAACTCAGTCAGTCAGTCATTAATATTCATCTTCAATGTGATCTTCCAGTCATTTTGAAAGGGGGGTTCAACAGGGGTTGAACCCCCATTGGCTCCCCACCCTACAAAGAAATCTTCCTGTGATCTTAAGTCATTTTCTCTGGATCCGCCACTGCCTCTTATAACATACTGGAATATGAGAGTTTACCAGCTGGGGTATGTGGAGCTCTGACTTGAAATTGATATGATTCTTTATCCAACAGTCTATACCATACCCACCTCACCAGATTCCTTACTCCCTCCCATAACCTTACCAGTTTCACCATGGTGAAGCTATATGACTGGTGTCACATTTAGATGTAGTACTCCTTGTGTAACCGACTCACCATGTACTACTCCTTGTGTAACCGACTCACCATGACATGCTACTCAAAATAAGTAAAGGATCACTGGATATTTTCAAATGTATACAGTTAACCTGTTATGGCCTTTAAAAATATCTGACACAGCGTGATAGACTCTCTCACACAGTTTGTCTGTAAGGACTCCCATGATTGACTAGTAGGTTTTATTTCATGTGTAGTGTCATTAACTCAAACCATGCACAGGCATGTCTGTCACATAAGTTACATTTGGGGTTATAGGTTCTCAGTAAGGAATAGTGGTGGTCCGATTAATTGAAATAATCGAAGATTGGTCGCAGTGACTAAACGACCAAGCAATCGATCATGTTTTCTCATAATTGAACACAAACAATTCTAGAACACTTGTTTTCATTAACAGTATTTTCACTAGGTTGGTTTTGTCTGTTACATTTCATAAGCACTACAAGCTCGTTCCAAGTCATGATTGAATTTATCTTAAAGACTCTAAGAAATTTATGTTCCTCCATACTAGTCATCCTTTAAAGATGTGAAATTTTGCCAAAAAAACCCAAAGAACTACATGGTTTTTTCCTTATTTTTGTGTGCATTAACACATTTCATAAATGACGCTAACCAATTATTTTCGATGATTGATCGGTTGTAATGAACCAATCATCAATTATGAGATTTTAACCAATTCCCAACACTAGTAATTCTAGTAGGTTTTTTGGGTGGAGTCACATCTGGTAATCAAGCCCACTTTCTCAGTCAGGCTGAGATGGTTACGGTGGGGTAGCCTAGTGGTTAAGGTGATCTCTTGTCACGACAAAGACACAGGTTTGATTCCCCACATGGGCACAATGTGTGAAGTGCATTTCTAGTGTCCCCCCACCGTGATATTGCTGGAATATTGCTTAAAGCGGCGTAAAACTTAACTCACTCATTCACTCAGTCAGGCTGTAGGTGTCTGTGTCAATTTAGACTTGTCAAAGGGATACACTAAGTTAGTGGTCGAAACTACCTGTTGCCAGACTTAAACTTTTTATCTAAGCTACAGTGGCTGAGTGGGTTAGATCGCTAACTTTGTGTGCTGATGATTACATAATAAAAATAATAATAATAGTGCATGTTTATAATGCACACATATCCACGATCAAAGCATGCTCGTGGCGCTCACACATTACTACACCGGATAACCCAAGCTGCCTGTTGGGCACTAGAAGGTTATAGTCCCACCGGGTACCCATTTTCTGCTGGGTGAACAGAGGCAGTTTTGCAGAACTCACTTGCCTAAGGTGAGGCCACATGTATCACATGTGCTTCGTGGTTAGGCACCTAACTGGAGAGTGTGGTTTTGAATCCCAGATCATGGGACTAAAGGCTAAAAAAGTACAGTAATCTGTCCTTTACTGATAAAGTTTAATCCCAAATATAACATATGTTACATTTGACCACTTTTAAATGCAATGGTGTGTGCTCATGTCTGTCTGTCAACATTGGCACAATACCAAATCTTCATGAAATCAATCTTTTAAGGAACCATGGCTCACCGATTCCTAGTATGGTTCAAGAACCATAATTATCTTATCCAAGTACAGCTTACCCTGCCTACAAACACAACACGAGACACGCTGGTTATTAGCGTCATCATTGAATATTTATCGTACAATCGCCATGCAGAGTGTCCCCGCTTGTTCGATAAGTGAGATTAGGAAGCAGATAAATGTCCCAACTAATAATCTTAGATAAGGTACACGGAAGATATAGCATTGAAGTTATGAAAGATTAGACATAGGCTGTGCTTATTGCTGTCTGGGTTCTTACCGACAGATATATGGTGTCGAGTAGTGGTCGGTAACATCGCCAGTATGGGGTCATTATAGTAAAAGAATTAGCTCATAGATTTTCTATTGGCTTTTGAGCTTTGATGGTGATACTTCTATGTACGTCTGATAGATATATTACACTGACATCGTGTGAGGGCATTTGTATAATATGTTCATTGACACTTCAGGGAAAGGCTCTGTTCAGTTTCTTTACACATATTTTGTTTGTGGCATGCCCAAGGTATCCAGCTCTGCTCAACAACTGGGGCGGACATTAGACAGGAGCTGTATTCATAATGCCTTCTCCATCTTTTCATGGTTAGGCCAGACCAATTTTATTTCTTGTCTTACGGATCCTCCGGTCGTACTTTTTCAAGAATAAGAAAAAAAATTAATTAATTTTCCCCGCTCAAAAAATAAAATTCTCATGTTTTTATTGGCCAAAAATGTAAGCTTACCCCAAAACAATTTTGATTGTTTTTTACGCCATATACATTTCATAACTTCATACTTTTAGTATTTAAAAGGAATATTACTTTGATTTGTTATTTATATTTTTTATTTTTTTCGCTCCTGCCTTTAGGTTTTCTGAGAACAAAAATCTGTAAAACAAGAATCAAAATTGGTCTGGCCTTTATGATTTATTTTAATGTTTGGTAGCATGTTGGTTGTTTCTTTTCATTTTGCTTTCCTTCCTAAAATAATTTCAAGTTTCAAACTATCAGCATTAAAATATGTATTAATTATATAAATTCATTTGACAAAAATGAGATACATTTAAATGAAGTGTTACTTTATTTACTGTTCACATATTACCTAAAACAGACAGATCAGTGTTGACAGTCAAACAAATTGGTCATCATCAGTTAGGCCAGAGTTTACATACAACAGCCCTGGATCTATTGTCAATTACTCAGATGCTTGCCAGAGTCGATAAATATTTTCAGACTGGCCGTTACTAATATGTTTAAAATGACACTCATCAGGTTTTTATTATTTCATGCGCTTTTCATAATGTAGGATAGACTAAATTTTAGTTTCATTAGTTTAAATAATCTTCATGATTTGATTTTGTGTCAAAAAGAAAAAAATACATTTCTTATAATTTTTCTTAGGTGTTATTCATTAAGATTTTTATTTTTTTAAGACTCTTATTCTTTTTCTTACTTCTTATTCCTTCAGATTTCATTATACTGTTTTATGACAAAGAAAGAAAGATACCTACTATTGTTTGTTTATAATACTTACTATCTACTCAAGTTGTTTATTAGTTGATGTTATAGTAACTGAGGTTAGTAAACTCTTTATGTACCTGGAATTATGGCACTGCAATAATGTTTTCACGTTTCTTTGAAGAACTTAACCTAAATATATCCTAATAAATAGCTCTCAGTAGTATGGTCGGGGAAGAATGAGAACTGCAAATACCCATACATATCGCCCTGCTTTAGTTTCATGGCTGGCTGGATCAAGTGCTTAAGGATCATTGAAAGTAATTACTCCTCATGAATAAGCAAGCAAGAGGGCGAAACAGAAACTCCGCTATGGGAATACAATGCATCGTGGCGAGATCGCAATCTTTCCGAGATCTGATAGATTTAATGAAGTCTGGCCGTTTGAATAGACTTTGTGGATTATTTAGATAGCACAAGCTGATTTTAAGGGAATTGTATCGTTCGGAAACCTATGAATTAAATATGAAAATGTTGAGATACTAGCCGTTGCCAAATAGATAGACTAAATAATGTATGGGGTAGTGAAAGCAGGTGAACTGATACAGGTAGTTTTTTTAAGGTTTAGACTACAACACTGCTGTTTACATGAGTCATTTTGTGTCTTTCTCAATCAACACTGCTTCAAAAATTTATTTTTTTGTTGTATTTTTTGTCTAAAGTTTACTATATATTTTTTCATAATATAGTTGTTTAACCTATTCTTATAATATTATACAATATGAATGCATAAGCAAGAAATTTGAATACCACTCATTGTGTATTCCATTTTCTGAATAAGAAGTGGTTTTAATATTATTTTGTAATTATTATTATTATTTTTTATATCTTTTTCTCTGAATTTTACCTTAATTATTTTCTGAGTTTTACTCTATATCTTTTAAGTAAGTATTGTCCAACATGATGTATAGTTGCTTGACCTTTAACCACTTTATTTCTTACAAGTTTGTAATTTCTAAATATACTTGAAAGATGTTTAATAATGCAGAAATTAAAAAAGCCTCAATAGCTTTTTATATTAATGTTTGAAAAATGAGAGCAGGCTTATCTCTTATGAAATGGATGAAGAAGATATGGTTTGTTTAGCGTTGTGGTAAAACAAATGTGTGCTCTTACTGATATTTTTTAACCCATCTTGATCAACTGAAAAATGCATGATATGTATCAATAATGCACTGACTTCCCCAAGTATCAGGTGTATCACGATACGGATACATCAGAAGTGATGACCCAGCCTAAGTAATGACACTCATAGATATTATATCAGCACCTAGCCAGTGTCCTTCGCTGGTCTGTTCACTCAACCGTTCCGCTTCACGCCAAGCATACCTGGCGTTGTGATCAATATTGTTGCACGTACATGACTGCCGCGTGTTAATTCCACCCCTGGGACAATGATCAATGCTTACAAGACGACAACAAAACACGTCGCTAAAACACAGACAGGCAAGGTCCTTTGTGGACAACTCTCTGGAAGGGAGCCTGAGAGTCTTTGCCACAACAGCTGTGATTTTGTTGAGATGCTTATCACGACTTGTTGTAAAGAAGTTTTTTGTGCAGTAGATATAATATCTTGTGTTATCGATACTAGTTTTCTGCCTGATTATGTCAGTGGGAACACTGTTTAGAGCAAATAGGGGATAAGGTTTCAGATGATTGATTATTGATCACTATTTTTTTAAACTGACAATGATTTGTGTAGTTGTTGAAGTACAGTCATTGATCTATTGATTATCAGTAATTCCTGTCCGGTTTTGTTTACTTAGAGATGAAATATTGTGTCTTCATTTTTGGATAAGCTACAAAGATTGTATGATGTCAGTCAAAGGATTATTGATTTTATAACCAATAGGTATTTGGCCAAGAAAAAGTGTTAATCTCTGGTTAAACTAAGTAGACTGATTAGTGCACAGGCAAATATTCTCAGTATGAATTGTTTTCAATAAATTGAAGAAAAAATAATAATTTTGAGTCAAATTTCCAAAAAAGTCATTGCCCCATACCTCTGGCTGGTGTATTTGACTAAGTTTGAACATCTTTTTATTTCAGCATATTTCCTTTGATGCATTAATGTAGATGTATATATACTGAGAGAAACAAATAAAGGATCACAGGAAAATGCAAGCGTTCCTTATATATATAAATTTCCAGTTTTCATCACCAACTTTGAATAGCACTGTGGTGATGAAAACTGGAAAATTATAAAGGAACGCTTGAATTTTCCTGGGATCCTTTATTTGTTTCTCTCAGTATATATTGGAATACAAAATATGGCTACTATAAAAATTCTGTTTGGATCAAACTAAAATTATATAAAGGTAGATTGTTTGACAGGTTAGTAAGAAAATAACTTTCAAAAATAATTAATTCTTTCAAAAAACATTTTCTCCATTATTTTGAAATAAAATATTTTTTATTTTCTTGCTTGAGTGATGACTATTTGAGACAAAGCCAATGAAAAGAGAAGTTTTGTATGAAGAATAATGTTACAGACGTGCCACTCCATGTCATAAATTCAAGCACGTTTTAACATTGTATATGTCAATAGTGAGTGAGTTAGTTTTATGCCGCACTCAGCAATATTCCAGCTATATGGCGGCGGTCTGTAAATAATCGAGTCTCGACCAGACAATCCAGTGATCAACAGCATGTCTGTGTAATTGGGAACCGATGACATGTGTCAACCAAGCCAGCGAGCCTGACCACCTGATCTTACGACAAGCATTGGTTACTGAAGGTGCATTCTAACCCGGACCTTCACAGGTTTAAAAGATATGTCAGTACTGGGTATGTGGGAGTTACCTTACATCATGACACCCACTATTATGCAGGTAATAACAGCTGTTTACACAGGTAATGAATCTATCACTACAAGATCAAAATATATTTCTTGGAAAACATTTGTCCGTGACAATCATCACAATTAGATCTATCGAGGTTAAGTTCAGACAAGAAAGTGGTGTCACATCAAATTCTTTAAAGTTTAATAACTTTAATCCCATTAAACGGCAAGCTGACTATAATGGTTTTTTTACAAATTGGTTATGGGTCTTTCTTCTTTAGCAAGAAATAATAAAATATTATCCAAAATACATAGTCGAGTCTGGCATACCACCAAGTAATCTTGGGCTAAGACTGGTAATTCCCGTACCAAAACATTATAAGACTTGCGATTATAAAACTGAGATCACTTTATAAACAGGAACTGTTCCTAGATATCAGTTAAGTCCAAGAATAAGTCAAAATAACTCAGGATCATAAGATTCTGGCTTTGTCTTAAATCTGGTTTGTATGACACAATGGTGACCGTATCACACTGTCATTTGACGACCAAAACAAACAGCCATATCACTGGTTCTTGACGTAGCAGCCATCTCAAATACATCTGCAGACGTTGTAGAAGAACGTCAATCCCTCACTGCTCAGAAAACCTCCTCTTCCATCTAAGAGTTACATTTTTAAACAGTCCATTAATAAAATGAGGGTCAGTTGTCCAAGTCTGAGATCATGAATGATTTTGATATAATCAACTTTGGTCTATTCATTGTAATGTACACAAACATCTTGCACTATAGGTTGGTAAATTAGAGAGATGGACATTATGCAATTATTACTTACTAAATACTAAAAAAGGCAGTGGCGGACAATTGGAGCTTATTATAATCAGTCAGAGTAGTGAATGAGTGAGTAAGGTTTTACGCTGCTTTTAGCAATATTCCAGCAATATTACAGCAAGAGACACTAGAAATGGGCTTCACACATTGTACCCATGAAGGGAATAGAACCCGGGTCTTGACAAGCTAACGCTTTAACCACCAGGCTATCGCACTGCCTTCTGTTTGAGTGAGTGAGTTTGGTTTTATGCTGCTTTTAGCAATATTCCAGCAATATCACGGCAGGGGACACAAGAAAAGGGCTTCACACATTGTAACCATGTGGGGAATCGAACCGGGTCTTCGGCGTGATGAGCGCTTTAACCACTAGGCTACCCCACTGCCCCCCTCTGTTTGAATTTGATACATTGATACCAAGGATGTATGAGCATGTGATGGAGACAAGATGTCAGCATGACCTGTTTCCTCTGCAGGTAACCAAGCAATCCTGGATGAGATCCATCGCTACCCTGACTTCAGCTTCGTGCGGATCCTGCGGATGATGTACTCCACAGAGCACCGGGTGCGACTCCTGGCAGGGGAGGCGCTGGCAGCCTTCGCCTACAACAACATCAGCCAGCAGCAGGATATCCTGGAGCAGGGCGGGGTCAGGTTTGCTGCGTTCCTCCCTTTCCTGAAATCCCATGATGAGTTCTACAGATGCAATGCTGCCTATCAGGTACTTTCACCTTTGTCAGGTATTAGGTTTTACCATTTTGCACCAAGTGCAAACTTTTGTTTTACCTGGGAATAAATGCATTTACTGGTGTAAATGAAAGAACAGAGAGTTTGACATCATACAGAAATGTAACATATGATATATTTGCGAGTACAGATTCTAGTACTTTTGTTGGGTTGAGTCCCATCCACGGTGACTGAGTTGGTTAGGCGTCTGACTTTGTGTGGTGGTGAATAAGTGCCTGACCCTGAGGGTGTGGGTTCGAATCCCGGATGGGTGAGTGAGTGAGTTTGGTTTTACACCGCTTTCAGCAATATTCCAGCAATATCACGGCGGGGGACACCAGAAATGGACTTCACACATTGTACCCATCCCGGATGGGACTCAACCCAACTAGAATCTGTACTTTACTGAGAAAGTGTAATCCCAAATATAACATATGTTACATTTGACCACTTTCTAAATGGCATTGTGTATTCATCATGCAGAAATGTGTGTCCAGTCTGCAGAAATATGTGTCCAGTCTGCAAAATGTGTGTCCACTCTGCAGAAATGTGTGACCATTATAAAGAAACATGCGTTCTATATGCACACAAATGTATAAAAATTATGCAGAAAAAAGAATATGTTGTCTCCGACGAGCACACAGCAATATTGAACGTATCAAATTCTTGACAAGAAATACAAAGGTCCTGTGAGCAGTGTAATTGTCAAAGCATACAAAACAATCTACTGCACTGTTTAATTACTTTACAATATCTTCATATTTCATGTAATGGTTCTTTGTTTTATGAGTCAAGGTAAAGGGTTCAAAAAACAAAATATCTTATCTGAAATGTCTGTTCTGTTTTATTTATTTCCATCGGAGACATTTCACAAAATAATCTGCAAACCATCAAATTGATCTACCAGCGAGAGAAAGAAATGTTTCAAGAAACAAGATTATTAAAAAGTTTGGACGTTGTTATGATATCAACCATTGGTTTTTCTGGTTCGGACTTGATTAAACCCAAACCGCTGTCATACACCTGTTGTGTGGCATTCATCAAGAAACAGACATACTGAGTTCTTCATGTCTGTGACAGATTGTAATCCTGGCGCGGATCATCCCTGATGAGGAGCAGGCCAAGTCCTCAGCTCTGGGCATCAAGCTGATTATCGACCTCCTCCAGGACTCCAAGGACAACAGCATCCTGGCCCTAGCCAGTGACTGTGTGGCTAGACTGGCACACACACGAGCAGGTACACTTGTCCCTTCAGCATCGGTGCTTCACACAATACTTTATTACCTGTGAATACATACTGGTCTGGTTCTACTGGTGGGGAATGAGTGATTGCTTAGACTATATGAGTGAATGAGTATGGTTTTACGCCGCTTTTTAGCAATATTCCAGCAATGTCACGGCGGGGGACACCAGAAATTGTACCCATGTGGGGATTCGAACCTGGGTCTTCGTCATGACGAGCGGATGCTTTAACCACCAGGCTACCCCACTGCCCTGCTTAGACTATATTAGAGCTTAGCTTATGCAGCATAAATAATTTTTGCTTGAATGCGATTGGTATCACTTGAGTTATAATGGCCTCTTTTAATTAAATGTCTAAAATTTGCAAGGATTCCAAGAAACGATGCTTCTGTACATTTTACATTCCATTTATATAGTGAGGGCTCAGTTGTAAAGCCATGAACACATGAAACTTGTTTACTGTTTGTAAGGATGTTTCTGGCTTCTTCCTGACTCTTCACCCATGAAGATGCAGGTTAGAATCGGTCTTGATTAACCCATGCTTAATTGGTAAGAGGCATCGGGTGGTCAGGCTCGCTGACTTGGTTGACACATGTCATGGTATCCCAAATACGTAGATCGATGCTCATGATGTTGATCACTGGATTGTCCGGCCCAGACTCGATTATTTACAGACCGCCGCCATATAGCTGGAATATTGCTGAGTGCAGCGTTAAACAAGAAAACAAACAAAATTCTGACCGTTCATCGGGTTAGTACTGAATAGGTGTATTGAGATAATATACATGTACGTGCACATTTGTATACACATGGTAAGACACAAGTTTGTATACACTTGGTGTAAGTTTGCATCCTGTAGAATTTGGTTGTTTCTGTTCGTGTAGGTGTTCCCTCAGCGATTGTGGCTATAGAGGCTGTGCATTACTTGTGCAGCCTTCTGTCATCGACTGCTGAGCAAGTGCGCGGATGTGCAGCCATTGCACTGGGCTATCTCACCTTCAACCACGAGGGAGGCAGAGAACTCCTTCACAGGTGAGATAAACAAAACTCTGCATAATGTGTACTGTATATATAAACTTGAAGGGTGCTTCTCACTATATATTAGACATGGATTCTTTTCCCGGAATAACCACACTTGAGGTTTTTGTTTGCTCTCAGGTTTTACTTTTTGTGAGTAAGACCTATTTCCCGGTTTTACTTTTGTAAGTAAGACCTCTTCCCAGATTTTACTTTTTCCTTAGTTAATTCTATATTAACATCAACATTCAAATTATATGTGAGTGTTTTGAAATCAATTGAAAAATATCGTCAAACATCAACTTAAATGTGCAAATGTTTTCCCTAGCAGGATTGGAACCGATACTATATTTTAGATTCGTAGCAGATGCTCTACCTCACAGCCACCGGGCCGACAAAGAATGAGGGTTGAATTATCTATTTATAGTTAGGCCTACTGTCATTCAATTGCTTTTACTAGCACTTCAGTTACTGTTATGTAGCTTCATTACATGATCATCTAATTATCCATCATTGACGGTTTATATGTATAATAAAGCACTCCTCCTCGGTTATGGTTGGGAAAGTAAGCCCTCGACCATCAGGTGGAGAGAAGTAAGACCTCGAGCGCTAAACGCTCTCGATCTTACTTCTCCCCACCCTCCGGTCTCGGGTCTTACTTTCCCAACCATAACCTTGGAGTCGTGCTTTATCCTACTAATAATGTCCTGATCATAGAGTGAGTGAGTTGAGTAGGGGTGACTACTGAGTGGCACACAACTATTGTGATAGCGATAGTCTATTGCGACCAACTATTGCAGTACTATTGCAATAGTTTTTTCTCTCCTTGAATTGTCTCATTTGAAGCCATTTCCCAAATGAACGTATAGTTTATATGAAATAAGAACAAGTTGAAGTAGTTTCAGTCACTTTTAATAACTAACAAGAAACTTGAAACCAAGATCAAGTAAACAGTTAAAACATAAACTTATTGTTATTCGCAGTTTCAAACTCCGAGTCGAATGCTGTGTTTGCCACCATGTTTGTTTAAGAGGTAACGGGGCGGATAACAGTAAATCAAAGTGAATGAATCTGGTACTTCCTATATTTTGTGCTGTGTATTTATCAACGGAACTCAATCACTAAACTATCGATAGTCACACATACTATCGATGCATCGATAGTTTTTCGTTTCTACTATCGATTAATTGCTATCGGAGACTCAACAATTGCAATCCATCGATAGTCTGATGCCTCGTTACAGCACTAGAGTTGAAGTTTATGCTGTTTTTAGCAATATTCCAGCAATATTCCAGTGGGGGACACACCAGAAATGGGCTTCACACATTGTACCCATGTGGGGAATCAAACCCGGGCCTTTGGCATGACAAGCAAATGTTTGAACCACTAGGCCCCCAGATCAAAGATAAGAACAGCATGTGTTTTCATGTGTGGGTTAGGTACTGACTATTTGATACTTTGGAATAGCATCAGTTAACTGAAGGTTTCAAATAAATAGAAATTAAAGCACCTAGTGAATTTGTTTGGTGTCAAAGGTTGAAATATTGTCCTTTGTCAACAAGTTATTAAACCTAATTCAAATTTATCACCTCTGTGGTCTACTGGATAGAGTGTCTGCCAGTGGAGGGGAATCTGTTGCAGACACATGTGAGTGAGTGAGTTTAGTTTTACGCCGCACTCAGCAATATTCCAACTATATAACGGAGGTCTGTAAATAATCGGGTCTGGACCAGACAATCAAGTGAACAACAGCATGAGCATCGATCTACGCAATTGGGAACGGTGACATGTGTCAACCAAGTCAGCGAGCCTGACCACCCGCCTCTCAATATGACAAGCATGGGTTACTGAAGGCAGCCGGGAAAAAGAAGATCAATATTCTAACCCGGACCTTCACTGTACATATCGAGATGAGATTACAACCAAAATCACTTGGTGGATAGCTCATTAATGCACTACAGCATGAATCATTGCTCATGATGTCAATCACCGGTTTGTCTGGTCCAGACCATATAGGTTGAATATTGTTGAGTAAAGCTTTACACAACAGACAAGCATACTTTTGCTCATGACTTTTTAAGTGGTCACTCACACATGGGACTAAGTTTTTGAGTTTGTAAGATATCCATGTATCTATCTTGTTCCTCCAGTTGCCGCAAGAACCCCTACCTGATGCAGGTCCTCAAGTACTACTTCACGAAGCGGACACGCCTGTCTCCGGAGTTTGTCGAGGGTTGGAAACACTGCAAGAGGGTGGGCCTGCCAGCGATACCGTACGTTCTTTTTAATTTTTATGTAAATTCAAGGCAGTAAAACTTCAAACATGTACTGCTTGTTTTTTAGACAAGGTAAAATACTAAAGGGAGTTTGAATCTGAGAATCATTGCAGGTGTTTATACTATCAATCACGGGATTGTCTGGCATAGGTTGGTTGGTTGGTTTGTTATTTAACACCGCACTCAGCAATATTCCAGCTATATGGCGGCGGTCTGTAAATAATCAAGTCTTGACTAGACAATCCAGTGATCAACAGCATGAGCATCGATCTACACAGTTGGGATACGATGCCTGGTGCAGGCAAGGTGTTACATTACAACCTGTAGTTATCTATACCGTAATAAAGACTTTAATAAATTTGACAAAAGTCGTCAAATCATCTGATTGTGTTACATTGTACAGCGTAATAAGGCCAGACAAATTTTATTTCTTGTTTTACGGATTTTTGACCTCAGAAAACTTAAAGGCAGGAGGGACAAAAAATAAAAATAAAATCACCAGTCAAAGTAATATTCCTTCTAAATACTAAAGTATTTTACTTTTGGCAATTTATGAAGTGTATATGGGGAAAAAAACAATCTAAAAAAATCTTTTTTTTGTATGTTTACATTTTTAGCCAATAAAAGCATTAAGATTTTAATTTTTTATCTTATTCTTGAAAAAATATGACAGGCGGATCTGTAGAACAAGAAATAAAATTGGTCTGGCCTAAAGACTGTAATAAATTTGACAAAGTTGTCAAGTCATCTGATTGTGTTATATTTTACTTGCCGAGTGTAAGTTAATTTGATTTCATATTGAGAATTTTTTAATCCACAGAGAAGGGAAGACTAGTCTAATACAGTTTCGACCACATGAGGATGCAATTCGACCCGTGACCAACTTGAGTTTCGATGGAACGGGTAATAGCTCCAACATCCGGAGCTCCACGTCCAACCTGGTGGCAGAGGAGGGCAACCTGACGGGCAGGTCCTCACGGTCCTCCAGGACACAGAGGACGGGGTCAGTCCACAACAGTCACTTGTCCTTGGACAGTCAGAGGACACAGAACTCTCTTATGGTTGGAGGGGAGGAGAGATGATGGTGAAGCAGGGCCAGGGAAGATGAAGTGGGCTTGAGAAGGATAAAGTGGGGCAAGGGAAGATGACATGGGTTTGGGAAGGATAAAGGAAGAAGTTATAAATTATCGGTAACTGCCAGTTGTCTTGTGGTCTCAGTTGGCAGCGATTAGGACCCCATCTCTGGGGGTCGACTTATGTATAAAACATACCATTTTGATACTGGTTTTAAGGGTCAAGTTAGGAGGTTGGCTTATCTACTGTAATATATGGTAAGTGGGCTTGGGAAAGATAAAAAGGGGCAAAGGAAGATGATGTGGGGCAAGAGAAGGCCAAAGTAGGGCAAGGCAAGATGAAGTGGGCTTGGAAAGGATAAAGAAAGATTAAGTGGGTTTGGGAAAGATAAAAAGGGGCAAAGGAAGATGATGTGGGGCAAGAGAAGGCCAAAGTAGGGCAAGGGAAGTGAAGTGGGCTTGGAAAGGATAAAGAAAGATTAAGTGGGTTTGGGAAAGATAAAAAGGGGCAAAGGAAGATGATGTGGGCAAGAGAAGGCCAAAGTAGGGCAAGGCAAGATGAAGTGGGCTTGGAAAGGATAAAGAAAGATTAAGTGGGTTTGGGAAAGATAAAAAGGGGCAAAGGAAGATGATGTGGGGCAAGAGAAGGCCAAAGTAGGGCAAGGGAAGTGAAGTGGGTTTGGAAAGGATAAAGAAAGATTAAGTGGGTTTGGGAAAGATAAAAAGGGGCAAAGGAAGATGATGTGGGGCAAGAGAAGGCCAAAGTAGGGCAAGGCAAGATGAAGTGGGCTTGGAAAGGATAAAGAAAGATTAAGTGGGTTTGGGAAAGATAAAAAGGGGCAAAGGAAGATGATGTGGGGCAAGAGAAGGCCAAAGTAGGGCAAGGGAAGTGAAGTGGGCTTGGAAAGGATAAAGAAAGATTAAGTGGGTTTGGGAAAGATAAAAAGGGGCAAAGGAAGATGATGTGGGGCAAGAGAAGGCCAAAGTAGGGCAAGGGAAGTGAAGTGGGCTTGGAAAGGATAAAGAAAGATTAAGTGGGTTTGGGAAAGATAAAAAGGGGCAAAGGAAGATGATGTGGGCAAGAGAGGCCAAAGTAGAGGGCAAGGCAAGATGAAGTGGGCTTGGAAAGGATAAAGAAAAGATTAAGTGGTTTGGGAAAGATAAAAAGGGCAAAGGAAGATGATGTGGGGCAAGAGAAGGCCAAAGTAGGGCAAGGGAAGTGAAGTGGGCTTGGAAAGGATAAAGAAAGATTAAGTGGGTTTGGGAAAGATAAAAAGGGGCAAAGGAAGATGATGTGAGGCAAGAGAAGGCCAAAGTAGGGCAAGGCAAGATGAAGTGGGCTTGGAAAGGATAAAGAAAGATTAAGTGGGTTTGGGAAAAGATAAAAAGGGCAAAGGAAGATGATGTGGGGCAAGAGAAGGCCAAAGTAGAACAAGGGAAGTGAAGTGGGTTTGGAAAGGATAAAAGAAAAGATTAAGTGGGTTTAAGGGAAAAGATAAAAAGGGGCAAAGGGGAGAAGATGATGGGGCAAGAGAAGGCCAAAGTAGGGCAAGGCAAGATGAAGTGGGCTTGGAAAGGATAAAGAAAGATTAAGTGGGTTTGGGAAAGATAAAAGGGCAAAGGAAGATGATGTGGGGCAAGAGAAGAGGGATAAAGAAAGATTAAGTGGGTTTGGGAAAAGATAAAAAGGGGCAAAGAAGATGATGTGGGGCAAGAGAAGGCCAAAGTAGGGCAAGGCAAGATGAAGTGGGCTTGGAAAAGGATAAAGAAAGATTAAGTGGGTTTGGGAAAGATAAAAAGGGGCAAAGGAAGATGATGTGGGGGGCAAGAGAAGGCCAAAGTAGGGCAAGGGAAGTGAAGTGGGCTTGGAAAGGATAAAGAAAAGATTAAGTGGGTTTGGGGAAAGATAGAAGGGCAAAAGGAAGATGATGTGAGGCAAGAGAAGGCCAAAGTAGGGCAAGGCAAGATGAAGTGGGCTTGGAAAGGATAAAGAAAGATTAAGTGGGTTTGGGAAAGATAAAAAGGGGCAAAGGAAGATGATGTGGGGCAAGAGAAGGCCAAAGTAGGGCAAGGCAAGATGAAGTGGGCTTGGAAAGGATAAAGAAAGATTAAGTGGGTTTGGGAAAGATAAAAAGGGGCAAAGGAAGATGATGTGGGGCAAGAGAAGGCCAAAGTAGGGCAAGGGAAGTGAAGTGGGCTTGGAAAGGATAAAGAAAGATTAAGTGGGTTTGGGAAAGATAAAAAGGGGCAAAGGAAGATGATGTGGGGCAAGAGAAGGCCAAAGTAGGGCAAGGCAAGATGAAGTTGGTTCAAGGGAAGAGGAAGTGGGCGTGGGAAGGGTCGAGTGGATCAAAGGAAGATTACGTTGAGTAAGGGAAGATGAAGTGAGTTCCGATAACATAAAGTGTGCATGTGAAGGATAAAGTAGAGCAAACAAAGATAAAGTTGGGTGAGAGAAGATGAAGAAAGCATGGGAAGGCTAAAATTGGGCATGGGGAGGATAAAGAGGGCATGGAAAATATAAAGTATATAAAGGAAAGATGAAGTGGGCATGAGAAGATGAAGTTGGTCCAGGGAAGATGAGAGACAAAGTCAAGCTAGAGAAAGCGTGACCTGAGATAATGTCATCATGGATGATGACAGTGGTGAGATACGACAAAGATATAACTGCTAAAATGGTATACCTGCTTCTTTTTACTGCATGAATGAGTCAGTTTACAAGCTGCTATGTAAAGCTCAAGACCTATATTTATTCAACATATATTTAATTTGGATATTATATATCCTAACTATAAATGGTGTGCTTATTTATTGTGCTGTGGAGATTGCTGAACATACACTAACACATACAGCTTCATCAGTAACCAGTCAGATTTGATATGATGAAGAATTCTTCTCCATCACAACCTTTGCATTTAATTTAATACTGATCATTTAAGTGAAAAACATAAATGAAATGTTGATGGTGAAGCTATGTCACTCAAGTAGTCAATAAGGATCATTTAGTTGCTGTTTCCACTCTCTTTGATACATCATAGTGTATTGTTGATCCTATGAATCATTTATTTATTCACACTGCTCATTTAAACTTATTATCCGTTCAAAAACCAAATAATGTAGAACTTTAAAGTTTAGCATAAAGAATTATTTTACTTAGTCAAGGATTATATTATAACTGCCAATATTTATACATTTAAATATTATTTGGTAGTTAGGTTAATATACCAGTATGTCAACATCTGCCTATAAGAAGCCTTATGTGAGTGAGTGAATATGGTTTTACGGCGCTTTTAGCAATATTCCAGCAATATCATGGCAGGGGACACCAGAAAAGTGCTTCACACATTGTACCCTTATGGGGAATTGAACTTGGGTCTTTGGCATGACAAGCGAAAGCTTTAACCACAAGGCTACCCACCACGCCAGAAACCTTATGTATTTCCAAATATAATTTCGCAGACTCATGATAAATCAAATTTCATTTTTGAACTTTTGTTAAGTTTGATAAAAGATTTATATAAGCTAGTATGTTTTGTTACTAGGTAGTAAAGAAAATAGCAATGTCAGCATTTATTATCTACCTCTGTGTTATCTAATCTTTCTGTGATGTTGAGATTCATTCCAAGCTTATATCACTTCATCTTGCTGACAGGTCGAAGCTAATGATGTCAATCGCTTGATTGACTTGTCCAGATTTGATTATTTATAGAAGCAAAATAAAATAACAATAATAACATATTATAATAATAATAATAATAATAATAATAATAAGTGCATTGATAATGCACTAAACTCCATTCACTAACTGGATGATGATAGCGCTAACAATCTGACCATTATTTCCCCGGATAACCAAAGCTGCCTGTGAGGCGCTAGAAGGTTAATAGTCACATGACATATCCCACCTACATGAAAGCACCTTTTTTTCCAGTTTAAGACCATTTTCCCCAAAAAGTAGACCATCCCAAATGAAAAATACCTCAACATGTAATTTTGAATGATATTGTCTGAGAACGTATGATTCTGATGCATTCTTTCTATATTATTTTTGTATATTTGCATTATGAATCTGTCCATCCTTCAAGTGTCATGTTACAATGATGTTTCAGTGCTGTGTTTAGTTTATATATCGCATGGGTTCTTGAGGACAACGGACAGGTACTTGATAATCAAAACATTTGTGATATTTTGTATATATAACAACCTGCTGGAGTGACACTGTTATGTATATCTGCTGTTTCTTGTGTATATTTGTGTGAATATATAACCAATTTTTGACATGTTGAGAATAAACTGTTATATTATACATACATATGGTCATATTGTTTTTGAGACTCTGGAGTGAGCGAGTTTAGTTTTACGCCACAGGAAATGTCCAAGGTCTGCCGATTAATCTGACCTGATTTGATGAAACTGATGCATATCATAGACGTGAGTGAGTGAGTGAGGTTTTACTCTGTTTTTAGCAATATTCCAGCAATATCACAACGGGGTACACCAGAAATGGGCTTCACACATTGTACCCATGTGGGGAATCGAACCCGGGTCTTCAGCGTGACAAGCAAATGCTTTAACCACTAGACTACGCCACCACCCCCTTAGGCACTGAAACACTTTAAATGTCTATGAAATATCTAATTTCTTTAGGTCAAAGACCTATTGTAAGACAGCTTGTACTCCAAAAGTTTAGATGTTGAAGATGTTCGCACCTGTACTTCTCTAGGTGACATCGAGTCCTAAATGTTTCAGGTGTATATGCAAGAATCTGTAACTGGCACATGTAAGATGTGCCTATATTTTTGTGAAACTGTCAACACACCTAACCTACTTCTTGATTACAACCATAGATGACCAAGTTGAGAACTACAGTCATCCCTCGCCATATATATGTGATCACTGGGCAACGTATTTATGGGAGCCACGGATTACCCCGCGGTTTAACCGAATCCGCGGTATCGCGAAGAGCTTTATTGCGAGGGATGACTGTACTTTTGCACACATCTCTTTACAATGTTGTTTGTTTTATGTTATGTTTCAATACTCAGCAATATTCCAGCTATATGACGGCAGCCTGAAAAGAACTGAGCCGGGACCAGACAATCCAGTGATTGACCTCATGAGCATCGATCTACACAGATGGGATACAGTGACATGTATCAACCCAGTCAGTGAGCTGTAGTGTTGGGAATTGGTTAAAATCTCATAACTGATGATTGGTTCATTACTACCGATCAATCATCGAAAATATTTGGTTAGCGTTATTTATGAAATGTTTAAATGCACATAAAAATAAGGGAAAAAATGTTGTTTATTTCTTGTTTTTTTGGCAAAATTTCACATCTTTAAAGGATGACTAGTATGTTAGGAACATAAATTTCTTGGAATCTTTAAGATAAATTCAATCATGACTTGAAATGAGCTTGTAGTGCTTATGAAATGTAACAGATAAAACCAACCATGTGAAAAATACTGTTAATGAAAACAAGTGTTCAAGAATTGTTTGTGTTCGATTGTGAGGAATTATGATCGATTGCTTGGTCGTTTAGTCACTACGACCAATCTTTGATTATTTCAATTAATTGGACAACCACTAGTGAGCTGACCTGATCCTGTTAGTCACCTCTTACGACAAACACAGGTTGCTGATGATCAGATCTTCAGTTATATACAATCTAAAATATAGACAACAAAACACTATGAATGGCCCACAAATGTACTTACAAATACAGAAGTAGATTCCTTCCACATGTTTGTACAGGTAGGCTTTAAGTCAGAGTACTGAATGGAACTGCAGCTTAATAAATGACCAACTAATAATCATTATCCATATTTTATTTACATATAACATATTAACTATGTACAAGACAGTCACCATACACTATATTAATGATATACTTCCTTTCTGTTTATGATGAGTGACACATTTATTACAGAGTATATAGATCATGTGTAACAAAAACAAATTTACATGTAATTCACAATATCACAACTATTTTTAAGATTTGTCTTGATTTTCTTCAATTTCCACTCTGCCTTTAGTCATATCGTCCTGAAAATCTGTGGAAACCATTAAAATGACTTGGGCGAAGAAAACATTTACAACATATGATTAACCCCAAAACATGTCCAATTGATTACTGCAATTCTGGAAAGTTTTGATAGCCAAAGATTATGCAAATACTGTGAATGACACACATGTGCACTGACATCATGATACAGTTATTTTTGAAGACCAACCCCCCCAAAAAAATGTAAACAGGCACATTTCTTGTATTAAATTCCACATGCTGTCAAACCAGCCAATAAATAATCACTCACATTCTGTTTCCTGAAACACACAACGTCACTCACGAGTCAAGAGTCATCTCGAGAGTTCGTGTAAAAGTATAGTAGTAAAACGCCTACCTTGTCAACTACAACAACGCATGCACCCTTAGATTACAAATCACATACACTGGGTTGACCTTTTATCATGATAAAAAATTACACATGCGAAAGAAACTTTTCGTTTTTGGTAATAGGATGTTGCAAAACTTTCCAGACACAGTTCAGGCTACTGATGGTCGCTCATAATAATTCAGGGCTCGATTTAAGAGATGTTAACCTACTTGCACCAGGTGCAACCTAAGATAAAAACCTAGTTGCACCAGTCAAATTCCAGTTGCACTGTTTTTATTGCAATATGTAATATCAGAAATATGCTATTGAAGTATTTAGATGTTTTATTCAGAAGTTTACCCACTCAAAAATTGACTTGCACCTGGTGCAAGTTAGACTAATAACTAGGTTGCATTTTGTAATATTGGGTTGCACCAGTGCAAGTAACAAAGCACTAAATCGAGCCCTGTAATTTCACAGTGTAAAATGTCCAGATGTAAATTATATTCATTTCCCTATCAATGAGAAGCATGTTCTGGTTGTGGTGATAAATATATTTGTGCAGCAACAATCTGAGATTCCCATCACAATAATCTCACTCAAACTGATGATGATCAAACATTTTACTCTCTAATAATACCTCTCTGCATGAAGATTTGAAAAGAACGTCAAACACTCAGACATGATGTGGAACACCCACACGGAAGAAATAAATGCTCTTGTTAGCACAGTCTTGTGTGTTGATGTCATGGTGTACAAAACATCCACGCTATATTAATGGCTCTTTTATTTATTGGCACTGCATATTTATGTCTATTTTGTGATATAGAAATTATGTTTGCAGCCTGAATGCATGCCTTGCTGCTACAAAGAATTACAAGCCTCAGTGTTGACTGGTTGATTTGTCAGTACATCTGACAGAGTCGAAGGAAAGTTTGGCATCTTCATGCAAGAGCTATTGTATGGGTGAAACTGATTAGATATCCCCTCAGTGCCTATCTCCGTGCAGAAAGACACTGGTTGACCACCTCCAGCAAGTGTGAGTTTTCCAGGGCTGCTGCAACTCTCTCCTTGTCTGCCAGCTGCTTGTTTACTGAAATAAACAGCCCTTCAGTCATAAACACCACAATGTGTCTGTTCTCCAAAGATGGGTCTATAATGGTGCTCATCAAACCAAGTCCCTAATCAACAAGCTGTCAAAACTATACACCACTGAGGGTTGGTATGAATGCTGATTGTGTCACTGTAGTTGTTCCAGACTTTGGGGGCAAGTCAAAGAAATGCTACTTCCCTAAAACTTATCACGAGACTGCAAGATTCTGATAAATAACAAATGGACAAAAGGGTACCACAAATATTATTCCTGACACTAGGCAAAGAATGTGTTTCCTGAGTTTGAATTAACTACCTGCTGGTCTAGTAGCAACTAAATGATGTTAATGGAAAGTTGAGTCATATTCAGTTAGATGAAATTGTGGATTAAATCCCATTCTAAATGTAAACATCAGATAAGGAGTCAGTGAGTATGGTTTTACGCGCTTTTAGCAATAATCTAGTAATATCACAGCAATCAAGTGAAGAGACAACCAAGTGAAGAGAATCAGAGACAACCAAGTGAAGAGAGTCGGAGACAACCAAGTGAAGAGAATCAGAGACAACCAAGTGAAGAGAATCAGAGACAACCAAACTGTACATACCTGCTTCTTCTGATGCATGGGTTCCTGGTGTAATGCTCACATCAACCTGCAAACCAATAAAAGAACAATTTAGGAAGGGCCTTTTTGGACATCTTCTTTTCAAGAGTTATTTATATATTAAAACAGAAACTCACCATAAAAGACCAAAGTTTCCAGTCAAGCCTCAGAGCTCCAGATAAGATTTAGCTCATGTGGGTACTGTACCCACTGTATTTTTTTTGGAGTGGGTATTATGAATGTTGAGTGGGTATTTCATTTTCCGTTACCCACTGCTTTCAAATATGTGCATATTTCAGTCATTTTACTCACCTTAAGTATATGCCATTGAGTAAGTTTACTAAGCAGGTATGTTCTGCCTGATGTCATACCTAATCAAAACCAACTTTAATATAATGGAAATGATTTCATAAAAAATCACTCATCCTATACTGACAGTACAACTTGATAGAAATTGATGTCTTTTTCATTACGCAAGCGAGTTTTATAAATATATTCCATACGCATTTGTTTTAAACTTTTTGCGTATCTAACATTTTAAATGTGTAATTGGTACGCAACAATTATTTTTTCAATGCGTAATTGGAAATTTTCTATGCGTATTTTACCCGGATACGCAGCTTATCTGGGCCTCTGAAGCCTTTCAATGATTATCACAGGGCTCCAGCCTCTGAGTACTTACATGTCATCATTTATATTGATTGGTGTCTGTAATGGAATCTTACTCTTTTGGGTCCAGTTTGCTCACAGACTCTTGCTCACAATATCAACCACTTGATCATATGATTAGAACTCAACTATTTACACGCTTCCATCCTGTAGCTGTAATCTTGCACAGGGGGTAAAAAACAAGATAAACATAAAAAGTCACTTGATTTTATGTAAGCTTCATTTATATTTGATGTATTGATCAAATGTACAACTCAAATATATGGTATGTACATGTATATTAGTCTTGTTATCTGTGAAATACAAGTAACCCCTGCCATATATTAATTATTAGTATAACTATAAATGCAGGTATCCTCAATTATGCATTAGTTATAACTATAACTACTATCAATACAGGAAACCTCTATCATGAATTAGTTATGAGTGAGTATGGTTTTGTGCCGCTTCTAGCAATATTCCAGCAATATCATGGGGGGACACGAGAAATGGGCTTCACCCATTGCACTCATGTGGGGAATCAAACCCGGGTCTTTGACGTGACGAGGGAATGCTTTAAACACTAGGCAACCTACCACCCCATGAAATAGTTATAACTATAACACAAACTGGTACCTCTTTAAGACTAGTTTGGTATTTTGCACTGCCATTTGCAGCAGACATGGGGCAAAAATATTGGCTTCTGAAAGAGATAACTCCCTATGGTATTCACTACCATGGTGGAGTAGGCTAGTGGTTAAGGCATTCGCTCGTCACGCTGAAGGCCCGGGTTCCATTCCCAACATGGGTACAATGTGTGAAGCCCATTTCTGGTGTCACCGTGATATTGCTGGAATATTGCTAAAAACGGCGTCAAATCAAACTCACTCACTCACTATCATGGTAAAAACAAATGCCTGAAGTCTCTGTGACCTACCTTGAACCTAGCTGGCAGTGACCTGATGAGCTTGACCCGAATGGACAGTCCGATGAGTGTAGCCATGCTGCAGTGAGGGATGGTGGGGGTGAACTCAATCTTCACATAGTTGTCCTGGTCACTCACCTGAACGTGAACATGATCATAACTGCATCACAATCAGCTGATCACAATACTTGATGGTTATTTTTATTGCATTTGTCACTTAATTTCCGACATAATAACAGCATTGGCAGATGAAAAAATCAAATGCAGTGTCAAATATATTTCCACAGATTGCATCTTTTTATATTCTTTTGACCAAGTTCATTTTTGTCGGGATTTATTATGCTTCAGCTATTACACCATCATCACATTTTCCATAACATTAAAATTTTCCAGCATCTCAAGTAGCCATCAGATCTATTCTTCAACCTGTAACCATCTAGACATATAAGTATCACACAGATTCCCACATGATGGCTTACCTGAACTCTTGACTCTTCCACGACCTTCAGCTCCTCAAGAGACAGGGGATGTTCAGGGTCATTAATAATGCGAATAAGATTTGGTCCAATTAAGGAAGCATAGCATTGTTTCAGATTGTTTAGGAGCATGGGAGATGGGACACTGCTTAAAACTGATATCAATAAGAAAGATTGTTCTACATCCTTATCCTTGCCAGCATCATTATTCTCAAATCAACTGCTTTTAATTGGTAACCACTCATTTGCCCAAAATTATTTGCCAAATAAAACATGTACAGTACATCAATTATTGTAAAAATATATATATTGGGAGAAAAATAACTACTTACCAAACTTATCAAAAAACCTGTGTTGACCAAAAGAGATGTTTGATAGATGTTACTATCTCAGCATTTTCAGATGACTGACTGAGTTTGGTTTTACGCCGCTTTTAGCAATATTCCAGCAATATCACGGCAGGGGACACCAGAAATGGACTTCACTCATTGTGCCCATGTGGGGATTCGAACCCGGGTCTTTGGCGTGACGAGCCAACGCTTTAACCACTAGACTACCCCACCGCCCCCTTCAGATGACACACCCAACAGCAAGGGCTGTTGCTAACAATGTCAAACACTAGTTTGTAAAGTCCAGATTTTATTACTTGCAAGCCCCAGGAATACTACTAGAAACATTATTGTAAAACAACAAAGCTGACTGACTGAGTTTGGTTTTATGCCTGCTGTTTACCCTGTCACGTTGATCGAAAACTGAACAATATTCTATTGGTATCAATTATATCGATCTGTAGCTTACAACAGAATTAGTTTGAAAGGATATCAAACACTTCTCTTGTGTCTATTTCATCAACTACGTCTTCGTCTTCATTTTCTGGCAGAATATCCCTGTCCTTGGCTTTTTGATAAATGACAGGGTTCGCATTGTCGAGGTCCCCGGCCATTTTGAAATACAAAAACAAAAATAGTAAATGGAATAAGATTGTTTTGCTTTTCGCTGTCCATACCAGTAATCATATAATATTGATTGCAAACATTAACGTAAAATTCTTTAAATAAATGTGTGTGTAGATTATCTGTACAAATTAATGGTGTGTCCTCTAAAGAAAAGATATAAACCTAATTTCGAATCCGAAAACAAATTACAAACCGATACATTAGTCGTACTTTTGAAACTCGCCTGTGAAGTTCACAAGTTCCCGCACACAAAATTAGACTTGGGAATTATTTCCATTTCCGAGTCACCGCGAAAACTTGCGTAAAGTTTTGTCACCCACCCGGCCTATAAATAAAGCTGACAGCACTGAGCCGTGCGCGCTTTATTCAAATGTCTTTTATCATTTGTTTCCAGGTTAGTGCACCCACCGTTGCGCATGAAGATTCGGAGGGACTGTTTATACATAGGCGCCCGTCTCTGATATATTTATAAGCATGACCTATATATATAAGATATACATAGGCGCCTGACTCTGATATATTTATAAGCATGACCTATATATATAAGATATACATAGGCGCCTGACTCTGATATATAGGTCATGCTTATAAATATATCAGTCGGGCGCCTATGTGTTTATAATGTATGGCTGGTGTGTGTGTGTGTGTGTGTGTGTGTGTATGTGTGTGTGTATGTGTGTTGGGGGGATGATGATTTTTTTATGGAGAAGCATGTACAATGTGAATGACCCTCCCTAAAAATTATGTACAAAGTAAGTGGCACCTCTGTCCACCCCCAAAAAACAACAAAACAAAACAAAAACACATGTCATGTACAAGATCAATGCACCCCCCTCCCAAATTTTTTAAGCATAATTATATTCATTACTCTTTAATACTCTGACACCCCCATTCCCAAAATGTCTCATATGCAGAGTAGCACCAATTTTTAAGTTCTTCACCCCGAACCCAAAATCTGATTAATGTGACTATACCTAAACAATACACTGCTGTCAGTTGGATTGGTCAAACTTGCAATATGTTAACTTTCAAGACTGCATTTAGGGTCTATTGCACTATCAAGTTAAGCCATGAATAGCAATCAAATGTATGAAAGCAGAGACCATATAATAGATAATATAATCTATTATTTGGTCTCTGATGAAAGTCAAGCACTGATTTTCTACACCCCTGCTGTGAGGATTCCAAGTTTTAGTCAGTCATCACCTTACCAATGGATGTCATATGATGCAATTATAAATATCTCATTGTGATGGTGTACGATTTTGTGAGAATGAGAAATTTGTGTTTTGTGAGAAATACTTGAATTCAGTTTGCTTATAGCATGTGGATTACAAACAATATGTTTTTACAGAAAATGGAGATGTAAAGTATGACCCACAGATACTGACAGATGAGAAATATGTCTCAAAAAGTGAAGAAAAAGCACTACTACAGGCAGAAAGATGTTGTTGCCATTGAAGAGGATGCAACACACGAATTTAAAGGTCACCGCAACCTGGCAGTTGAAGAGTTACCTCCCTGGACGAAAGAGAGAAAAACAATGAAAGCATCAAGAAAGGCTGTGTCAAGGTACTTTCATTGTTCTACCCAGTCTCACTACTGAATGGGTTGGCAGTGTTGACTTCCCTAGGTGTGCTAGTTGTAACTAGACTGACCCATGAAGATCCGGGTTAGAATTGGTCTTCAGCAACCCGTGCTTGTCATAAGAGGCGACTGACGGGATCGGGTGGTCAGGCTCGCTGACCTGTTTGACACATGTGTAGATCGATGCTCATCGATCGATGCTGAGTGCAGCTTTAAACAACTAACAAAGTAACTAGATTGTGGGTTTGATTCCCTGTACTCATTCTCATGGGTTTCACCAAATGGTAGAAGTTATGAGCAATGCATCCTTATGGGCTTTCATTTTTCGTTCTAGGTTATTGAGTTATGTACTCGCTTGTGCTCATCTCAATTGGGTATCTTAATTTTCCTTTGAGTAACCAAATAAATTGTACTCACCTCACTCAAACTCAATTGGGTATTTTGCCGTTGTCCATTAATTTAAAAAATATAATATAGTTTAAATGGTAGTGTTTGTTATGTACATTTGATATGTAATATGAAAAACGATAAGAAAGACTGCAAGTTGCCATGTTCATGCCCTGAAATAGAACCTCTCAATATACCTCAGGTATTTTATCTATCCACCGCTACGTAAACGAATGTAAGCAAAGATTTGACATTTTTGTGTGTATGCATGTAAGATCACATTTATTGAATATTAACAAAAATTCGAGCATACTTGTACGCAAGTAGTCTTTATAGGGATTGAGTTTTTACATAAATATTTGCGTAATTTACGCAGATACGCAGCTTATCTGTACCTCTGTGCAAGTACCTTTCAAGCAGTGTTCTAGTATACATCCGGAAATACCTTGTTATCTATAAGATAGAAACATTATTAAAATATAGAGATTGTTGAGTATGTGCCTTCTGATGTTAATGAATATACACATCCTGAAGATGATTAAATACAAGGCTTTCTCCACAGATCTCTGAATGCATTCCTCAATACTGGTAAAGGTGGCACTGTCTATCTTGGAGTGATTGATAATGGCACCGTTCTTGGACTGAAGCTCACACTCTCTCAGGTTTGCTTCATGCAGTTTTTAATGATAGGTGAAAGATGTTTACTGGTAAAGTTGTCATTTTTAACAGGGTACACAAGGGTAGATGATGTCAAGGTTTAGTGTTTTGAGTTGTATCCCTTTGTGGTGAATTGGTAATTTGCAAAGAGAAACTCTTGGTTCAAGGTCATCCCAGCAACACTTAAATTTTATGGTCACCAAATGTTCATGATTTATGATAATCAGTCAGATGGTATTCTAGGCAACAGTATATGAATCAGGACCGAAACATTGCACGCATAAAAAACATGAAGTTGTTATCCAATAAATTCTAAAATGCCCCTCAAAGAAGTTATGGAGCTACAGGGTTTATCAGTGAACATCATACAACCTTTGTTTGAGGGTATCATTTTGTGATAGTTTGGTCCTTTTTGTTGTCAGAAAGACCATGTAGTAGCCAGCTTACAGGACCTGTTCTCTCGCTACCATCCTCCCGTCCCATCACACAGGTACAAGGTGAAGTTTGTCCCGGTGTTGGGGCAGAGCAGCACTGAGGAGGAGGTGCTCAGGCTTATTTCTAAGACAGACAGGTGAGTTTTTGTGTTAGGACAGACCAGGGGGTGTTTGTGTGTTTGTGTCAGGATAGACCGGTTAGTATGTGTCAGGACAGACCGGGGTATGTTTGTGTCAGGACAGACCGGGGTATGTTTGTGTCAGGACAGACCAGGGTATGTTTGTGTCAGGACAGACCGGGGTATGTTTGTGTCAGGATAGACCAGTTAGTATGTGTCAGGACAGACCGGGGTATGTTTGTGTCAGGACAGACCAGGGTATGTTTGTGTCAGGACAGACCGGGGTATGTTTGTGTCAGGATAGACCGGTTAGTATGTGTCAGGACAGACCGGGGTATGTTTGTGTCAGGACAGACCGGGGTATGTTTGTGTCAGGACAGACCGGGGTATGTTTGTGTCAGGACAGACCGGGGTATGTTTGTGTCAGGATAGACCGGTTAGTATGTGTCAGGGCAGACCAGGGTATGTTTGTGTCAGGACAGACCGGATATGTTTGTGTCAGGGCAGACCTGGGTTTGTTTGTGTCAGGACAGACCAGGGTATGTTTGTGTCAGGACAGACCGGGGTATGTTTGTGTCAGGACAGACCTGGGTATGTTTGTGTCAGGGCAGAGAGGTGAGTTTGTGTCAGGACAGGTGAGAGTTTGTGTAAGGACAGACAGGTGAGTGACTGTATCAGGTCAGACAGGTGAGGGGGCGGTGGGGTAGCCTAATGGTTAAAGCGTTGGCTTGTCATGCCGAAGACCCGGGTTCGAATCCCCACATGGGCACAATGTGTGAAGCCCATTTCTGGTGTTCCCCGCTATGATGTTGCTGGAATATTGCTAAAAGTGGCGTAAAACCAAACTCAGTCAGTCAGTCAGACAGATGAGTGTCTGTGTCAGGTCAGACATGTGAGCTTGTGTCAGGTCGGACAGGTGACTGTGTCAGGTCAGACAGGTGAGTGTTTGTGTCTGGACAGTTAGGGGTGAGTTTGTGTCCAGGTCAGGCAGGTGAGTGTTTGTGTCAGGTCAGATAGTTACAGTATGGGATTTACAATACTTGTGACACTTAGTTCACTTACTGGAATGAACAAGTGTCTGCAGGGGTGGAAATAACTTTAAAATTGCTAGTGTACTCCGGTACAGTGGCACATGTGAAATCACTTGCCCTGAAATTTTTTCCACTATACCGGCCGTTTTCTTGTTGAATTTTTTAAATAAACAACATAATTAACATTGGAAAGTCAACTGGATGCCGGTACAGTGTGATATACGAATTTGCTTGCCCAACAGGAAAAAACACTGGACTCGGACGTCGGGCAATGGGTTACTTCCACCCCTGGTCTGGTATGTCGAGATGGAAGTGAACTGCCTTACAAATTGTCTGTGCATAACAGCAGCACTTACCATTCTACACACCCTCTTATTTCAGTGACTACTCCGACACCTCTCAGAGACACCGAGCCCACGAATTCCGTACCCACCACTACTGCTGGTGTGATAAAGACTATGTTGCCCAGCTCAACATGGTAGGTAGCAGGAAATAACTGTTTTCTTTCATGGAATCTTTCCACGTAGTACTTTCCCAGAGTTTCAGGGGAGGCAGATATGTGCGTCCAGTGTGTACAAATGAAATGAAAGATGCCCAATAGTTTGCATTGTTACAACTACAATGTTCCTCTAATCGTGTCCTGTATTGTTGTCTATAGTGATATCTTTTTATGATAGCGTACTAGTTTTAAATCAAGAGCTGTGATACTCTAGTAGTTTTACTGTCCTTCGATGACAGATTATTATTTTTTTATGTTCTAAATTTATTGATTTTACTGTTGATATAAATTGTTCTCATCGTAATATGGCTGAAATATTGCCAATGTGACGTTAGATATTAATTCACTCACTCACTCTAATTGTGTCCCCTGTCTGTTCTTGGTTTAAAATTGAGACCATGACCAGAGTTTCAGATAAGTTGCAAATCTGCATAAATTACTCAAATATTTATGTGAAAACTCAATTCCTATGAAGTCTGTTGCATACATGTACGCTTGAATTTTTGCAAATACTCAATGAATTTGATCTTACATGAATACTCACTAAATAGATAAAATAACTGAGGTATACTGAGAGGTTCTATTTCAACACATGAACTTAGCAACTTGCAGTCTTTCTGGTCGTTTCTCATATTACAGATCAAATATAAACAACAAAGACGTAAGTCAACATTTTAACTTTATTATATTTTTACAATTAGTGGAAAATGGCAAAATACCCAATTTAGTTTGAGTGAGGTGGGTAAAAATTTTTCCTTATCCTGACTCATGCTTATTGCTTGTCTCTTTCCTCTTGCGAACTTAGTGGAACACTTGTATCTCCTATTGAAGTTCCCATCAATAAAACAGACGTAAAATCACTACCCACCAGAGTTGTCTCTGTTTTCATTTTGGCGGGAAACCGTGGCGCCACCGTTCTCCCACGCTTCACTCTCCCCTTCTTCGCCCTGTGAGCAGGATGTGAGAGCGCCTGTGTCTCCTATACGGCACTATATCCTTTTATTAATTAGTAGCACTACTCTCTCCGTTATTACTACGAAGTGGCAGAGTCGGTTGGGTCTTCTCAAGTCAGCACAGGACATGACCCGCAGAGGGAGTCTACAACTACGCCTATACAGGTCTTCGTGAATGTACAACTATACAATCCGGACCCCTTCGGACTCCCGGACGGACTCAAACCGTATCTAATATGGTGGCCTCAGAGATCGGATGGTTGCAGACGCACCTATTTTAGCAGAGCCGGAGTGCAAGATGCATCTCCATGTGGACGCATCTCTTCAAGGTTGGGGAGCACACCTCAACAACGAAGTGTCAGCTAGGATATGGTCCATAGAAGAGAAAGATCTGTACATCAACATGCTGGAAATGAAATCAGTGATAAACGCCATACTCTACTGGACCAGCATTTTGAAGAATGCCCATCTGACGGTACATACAGTCAACTCCACAGTGGCGTTCTACATACACAGAAGGATCAACAAGGTCGGCGATCCTTCTGGACATCTGCTTTCAACTGGCCAGCATAACAGACAATCTGAACATCCACATAAGAACATGCCACATTCCAGGAGCCAAGAATGTGATAGCAGACGCACTATCCCGTCCAATGCAGCCATCATGGATGCTACATCCAGGGATCTTCAAACAGATCATACCAGAGATGAAAGCACCACTAATAGACCTCTTCGCCACAAGGGTCAACTGCAACATCCAGGGATCTTCACGCAGATCATACCTGAGATGGAAGCACCACTAATAGACCTCTTCGCCACAAGGGTCAACTGATAACATTTGTCACCAGATCCACGAGAATGGGCACCGGATGCTCTCAGCACCTCCTGGCAAGGACTAAACGCTTACACTTTTCCACCACCAGCTCTAATACTGAGGGTGTTGCAGAAAATCAGTCGGACGAAGGACCTCCAACTGATTTTGGGCACGCCTTACTGGCCAGCGAGAATATGGTTCCCTATTCTCATACAAGACCTAGGCCTGCCACAACTGCAACTACCAGAGTGGACAAATCTACTAGTACATCCTCCCACAAAGCAGGCGCACGACAACCTAGAGGTATTCCGGTTACACATGTGGACTGTATCAAGGCATGCTTGAACAAGAGAGGATATTCCGCCAGGGCAGCGAAAGCAGTTACACTAGCTTTACGCAAGTCTACATGCAACTTGTACGACGACAAGTGGCGACGCTTCGAGACATACACTTCGAGGACCGGATTCACAGCCATAAAAGCGACACATCCTCAAGTGGCGGACTACCTTTGTCACCTAGACAAAGGAAGCGGTCAAAAGGGTCAACACTCTCAACATACCTAGCGGCATTGGGCTCAGTTATCCCATGAGGACGAGTGCAACTGACGAAAGTACCAGAGTTACTGGCCTTAGTACGCTCTTATAAATTGGAGGACCAACACCAGAGATTTAAAGCTCAGGCGTGGGCCTCAACGTAGTTCTACGACATCTCACTAGTGTCATCTCCGAACCATTAGAGTGGACATCCTTCGAAGTTCTTGACGTAGACGCTGCTGTTCCTGATCACCTTAGCAACAGCAGCAAGGATGTCAGAAATAAATGCTCTGGCCTTCGAGAAAACATGATTTGATGAAGATCAAAACATTGTGCATGTGGGACTGAGATGGGACTTCATAGCAAATAATCAACTGCCAGGTCATCCAGACAGACAGTTCCACGTCCCAACACTATCATCAGTCCTTGGACCACAGGATACGCAGGACCTATCCTTGTGCCCAGTGAGAGCATTGCAAGTCTACCTACAAAGATCCAGGTCCAGGGGATGGAAAATTCAAGCGTCTTTTTCTCCCGATATCGACAGCGACACAGACGGAGGTCTTCCGCACTAAGATATCAATCTGGATCAGAACTGTCATACTCCGGGCCTACAGAGCAGCAGGACTTGATCCTCCAACCCACATGAAGTTAGAGCTCTGGTGTCAACACTCGCTCTACATGGGAATTGTTCTATCAGGACGATAATGGAGGGCTGCTTCTGGAAATGGGACATGGTGTTTGCCAACCACTACCTGAAGGACATCGCCACGGAGGTCGGCTCTGGCATTCACCATTTCGAGTTGTAGCACAACAATTGACAGTCTGCTGAGACATTCACCATTTTCATTGACTTGCAAAAGCCTTGTTCAGCTTTAGAGTCTATATGCACGTCTAGGACAGACTAGCATTGATATGACCCAGTACCATACACAGGAAAGGTGCTGATGCTCGCGAGATCTCCACATAAAATGTTAACAGAAGTCTCAAAGACCAGAAGTTAACTATTGTGGTCCCTTCATCAGAGAAAGCTGAAAGTGAAGGGTTACAGCAGCAGCAGAGCCTGGCAGTAAAAGAAGTACTACCAGGAAGTTCTCATTTCGGGCCGTTGGTTGTAGCACAACAGTTGACAGTCCCTTAAAGAGGTTGAGACGAAGTCTCGCCCTTTATCACATGACTGGAAAATAGCCTACACTCCGGAGAGTTCTGCTTCAAGTCTAAATGCACGTCTAAGGACAAGCATAAGTGATAAGACCCAGTACTTGTAAGAATACTCGTACAGGAAAGGGTCGCTTCTCCACTTGGTGCTTGCATCAAGGGATGGAGTCGCAAAATCCACATAAAATGTTAACAGCAGAAAGGACCAAACGTTAACTATTGTGGTCCCCCCGTCAGAAGACAGCTGGAAGGACAGGGTCACAGCAGCAGAGATTAGCAGTTAATACAGTGCTAATACGAATTTCCGTCGGATTCTGACGTAAATCACTACATGGAATCCTAAAGTGCTTGCCCGAGTCAGGATTCTACAAGCAATAAGCAATAAGGAAAAATATGTAATTTTCTGAGTAAAATTGATATTTTATACTTATCCTGACTCATGAAAGCCTCCCAACCTCCACTAGACACTTTGGATTTCCCTGCAAATTCAAGTGTCGGGCTCATAATCAGGAGAGAGTGAAGCGTGGGAGAACGGTGGCGCCTACGGTTTCCCGCCAAAATGGAAACAGAGACAACTCTGGTGGGTAGTGATTTTACGTTTTATTGAGGGGAACTTCAATAGGAGATACAAGTGTTCCACTAAGTTCGAAAGAGGAAAGAGACAAGCAATAAGCATGAGTCAGGATAAGTATAAGTATAAAATATCAATTTTACTAAAGAAAATTACATATTTTATAACACATACGTAAATCTTATAATTTGAATTTAAATGAATCTATCTATTTTTTTCAGTCACTCTTCCAAATGTCCAGTTACCAAACTACGACCTGTGAAGATCCGGGTTAGAATATTGATCTTCAGTGACCCATGCTTGTCGTAAGAGGCGACTAATGGGATCGGGTGGTCAAGCTCCCTGACTTGGTTGACACATGTCAGACAGCTGCCATATAGCTGGAATATTGCTGAGTGTGGCATAAAACTAAACTCACTCACTCACTCTACCAAACTACAATAGTAATGTGTTCCTTGTCTGATGACACTAGGGGGTGCTGTCTCCAGACTATGTGGTAGAAATTACCATCAAGCCGTGGGACCCGGATGACCCCAGCAACACTGATGGGGTGGGGATGGTGGTAAACCTGCACCCCATGCATGAAGATGAGGAGGGCAATGTTTATATGAGGAGGCAGGCCAGTACTGTCAAGGTAACAGCCAGTTTTTTATATGTTATGTTTCCAGCATTTTTAAGTTTAATTTAGTGATGCTGTAAATTCATGCGTCAGTGATTATCGATAAGCTCAGGAGTACAATCGATATTCATGAAAAATGAAAATCAAATACTGCAATGTAAACAACTTACTCTTGTGCGTTTCTCAACAGGAAGTATTCTTGATTGTCTTGATTGTGGTACAATGTATTAATAGGTGCCCGTTCTGATTTCCCACATGAAATTTGTGGTGGGATTTATGATCACTGAGCTCCGATTATCGACCGGCTTATTGTGAGCAATAACCAGCACTACTGTACACACAATCATTTAAACAAGCAGGCAACACATTCAGGGGTGGAAATAACTTTAAAATTGCTAGTGTACTCCGGTACAGTGGCACATGTAAAATCACTTGCCCTGATAATTTTTCCACTATACCGGCCATTTTCTTGTTGATTTTTTAAATAAACATAATTAACATTGGAATATCAACTGGACACCGGTACAGTGTGATATACAGATTTGCTTGCCCGACAGAAAAAAACACTGGACTCGGGCGTCCGGCAATGGGTTATTTCCACCCCTGACATTACAGGTAAACTTATAAGTATATGACCAGGGTTTGTTTTTTTCTTTATTCACTGATAGATAGATACACCATGCTTATATTTTTGAAAAGTAACTGTGCTGAATTTCCATATTTTTCTTTTGCATGGTGGGGTAGCCTAGTGGTTAAAGTGTTCGTGTGTCACACCAAAGACCCTGGTGCGATTCCCCACATGGGTACAATGTGTCAAAACCGTTTCTGGTGTCCCCCGTTGTGATTTTGCTGGAGTATTGCTAAAAGTGGCGTAAAACTAAACTCGCTCACTCCAGAGTCTCAAAAACAACATGACCCTACGTGCATATATTATATAATATAACAGTTTATTTTCAACATTCAAAATTAGTTATATATTCACACAAATATACACAAGAAACAGCAGATTTACATAACAGTGTCACTCCAGCAGGTTGTTATATATACAAAATATCACAAATGGTTTGATTATCAAGTACCTGTCCATTATCCTCAGGGATGGAAATAACTTTAAAATTGCTAGTTTACTCCGGTACAGTGGCACATGTAAAATCACTTGCCCTGATCATTTTTCCACTATACCGGCCGTTTTCTTGTTGATTTTTTAAATAGACAACATTATTAACATTGGAAAGTCAACTGGACACTGGTACAGCGTGATATACAAATTTGCTTGCCTGACAGAAAAAAACACTGGACTCGGACGTCGGGCAATGGGTTATTTCCACCCCTGTATCCTTCTCTTTTGCATAAATGCCATGTTTCAAGGCAAATTGTATTTCTTTTCACAGTATTCACTGAACGATATTGCCCAGTTGACACGGCAACAGGTGAAGGAAGAATGTGAGGCGGAGATCAGAAGGTAGGATAAGTCATGCTCTCCATAATCTCGGCAACTGGTTCCTCACTACTCATCACTGTCTGAGCAGCCCTGTGAAATGTTGCTTGGCATGTCTGTTATCAGGGAATAAGATTGGAATAATGTTGATGCGTCGACCACCTCCGTGGTGTAGTGAGAGCAGAGAGCGGAAGGTCGCAGGTTCGATCCTCAGCTCATCATACCAAAAGACATTAAAATATGGTACTTGTTCATCCCTGCCTGGCACTCAGCATTAATGGGTACAACAATGATGGGTGTCAGTATAAAGTATAATGTGTCTGAGTGGGGTATTCATGCTTAACTGCGGGAGGGTATCTCAGGGGTCCAGCACTATGAACTCAGCTTAAGTCTGTGAGCTAATACAAGCAGCCACACATACACATATGAGCGATATGAGCGAAATAATCTTAAGTATGGCGTTAAACCCAATTTCACCTCACCTATTTCATCAGTACTATTTGTGTCATTACCTTCAGCATCTACCCTGTGAAGATCCAGGTTAGAATTGGTCTTTAGCAACCCAGCTTGTTGTAAAGGGCAACAAACAGGATCAAGTGGTCAGACACACTGACTTGCAGTTGCTTGTGTCTTGACATTGTATCCCAGCTGCATAGATCAATACTCATGTTAATCACTGATTGTCTGGACTCGATTATTTACAACCGCCATCAGACAGCTGGAATATTGCTGAGTGTGGCATAAGCGAAAAGAAACACAACCTTCAGCAACTTTTAAATCTCAGTTTGGCTTTTCTCCTTTTGATTCTCCCTATGAAAAGGCTCATTCGCTTTCCCACCACGTTAGCCTCAAAACAAAGGACTATGTCGCTGTTCACGTTTTGCTTTTGAGACTGTCATGTGATTCAAATCATCCAATGGTTAAACTTGGCTAAATATGGACAAGAAATATCATAGCCACTTGCAACAATAGAAATGATATGACATTGTTCAGTTTTACAGAAGCATTTAGTAATAAATGTACAGACCGCCTCCATGGTGTAGTGGTTAGAGCGTCCGCCCGGACAGCGGAAGGTCGCGGGTTCGATCCCCGACCGCGTCATACCAAAAGACGTTTAAATATGGTACTTGTTGGTCCCTGCCTGGCGCCCGGCATTAATGGGTACAACAAGGACTGGTCGGCTCGGAGTCAGTATAATGTGTCTGAGTGGGGTATTCATGCTTCACTGCGGTATGGTATCTCATTGGGCTAGCACTATAAAACCAGCTTAAGTCTGGGCTAGTACAAGCAGCCGCACATACACATACACACGCATGCACGTCGTCATATGAGCGAAATATTCTCAAGCACGACGTTAAACCCAATTTCACCTCACCTCACCTCACATTTCGGTTTTGTCAAGGTTTCTAATTTAAGGTAGTTAAGTCAACTGCCAGTCCAGTGAACTGATTGGATTCAGCCCATGGCCTATTCTATTCATAAGTGTACATATGTGTACATGTCATCACTTCCCATGGTCCACGGCTTATTGTACCGATAAATTACTGAAAATAACTAGGAAATTAAACACATCAAATGTCAGTTAAAATTCCTACTTTCAACAAATAATCTAATGTTTTGATAGCAGAAACTTGTATTTCATTGGTACAGGACCAAACAGAAGGTGATGAAATTATAAGTTTTAAAGCATCCCTTTTTTGGCAGAAAAACGTGTGTCAAATGTGCTTTTCAAAGGAAATTAATTTGGAATTGATATAAATCCCATGCTGATGATTGAAAACAAGGTTCAGTCAAGCTTCAAAATCTTTTGTTTGACTATTTGATGTTGTACATATGTGATTATGTGCCTTAAAAGTTCTGTAATTTGAAAATACTGATAAGTGGTTCATATGAGCAAAAGTACATTACACTTCTTGCAGGTTAAAGACAGAAATAGCAAGCTTGTCCTGCCAATCTGATTCTGAAGATCAGAACACAAACCACCAGCCCTGATGTCTGAACAGTCATGTTTGGTGTGGCCAGATGACCAGACAGGTTTAAACCATTATGGAGTACAGTCTCACTTGATGAAAAGTGTGTTGCATGGTCTGATGGTTAGTGTGGCACATGATGTGATGGTTTTGGTGTCATGTGACCTGATGGAACAAGAGTCACATGATGTGCTGTGTCATGGGATCTGATGGTTAGTCTGTGCCATGATGTGATTGTCTATGGTATCACATGACCTGATGTAACAAGTCATGTGATGTGCAGTGTCATGTGATCTGTTGGTGAGTGGGTGACACGATGTGACGGTCATGCAGAGATGCCAACCCATACGATTTTATCGTATTCGTTACGAAAAAACAACACAAAATATGTGTCTAAGATAGCAGTAAAAATATTCGATTAAAAAATAAATACATTAAATAAATTATTAAATTAAATTTCGATTTTATTCAAATCGGGCGGTGTGGGGTAGTCTAGTGGTTAAAGCGCTGGCTCGTCACGCCGAAGACCTGGGTTCAATCCCCACACAATGAGTGAAGCCCATTTCTGGTGTCCCCTGCATTTGCTATTCACCAAACTATCAAGCTATTCACTATGTGGATACATATTACTGATTTAGTTGATAACAACGCTACAACGTTAATAACAAGGTCTTAGACTATATATTTAATTTTTATTTAATATGAAAATTCTTTGGAAAGTTAATACTAATTTTGGCCAACAAATACTAATTTTTTAATCAGTTTTTGGCCGAAATAATAATTGGGCTAAATTGGGGTAAATTGTCATGTTGATGGGTCATCTCTGGGTCATGGGGTGGGGTAGCCCAGTGTGACCTGATGCAATAATGTGTTACCCAGTAGGTATTGCTGAATATTGCTAAAAGCGGCGTTAAACTAAAACTCAGTCAGTCAGTCAGTCAAGGTACCTAGTAGGTCACGTGTTCCATGATGTTCAGTAATCAGGAATTAATACGGACCTGTGTTAGAATTGGTCCCTGGCAAGCTATACTATGCTATAGGTGATCCACAAGGTGTTTGTTGGGTGATAGAAGACACAGAAAACAAGTTAGATTTTATCTCTATGTCAGGCATGCAAGAAGAAAGTGAGAAGTTATCACCATTTATCTGTTATGTATATCATTACTTATCCATTGAGTCACCAATAGTCAATGTATCTCATGATTTGTTGGCTCATGTGTCACATGATCTGTTGGTCAGTGGGTCAAATGAGCTGTTGGCCATCATGTCACATGTCTGATGGCCAGCGAATCTCATGATCCAAAAGTTGATGTGTCACATGATCTGTTGGTCAGTGGGTCGAATGAGCTGTTGGTCATCATGTCACATGGTCTGATGGCCAGTGAATCTCATGATCCAAATGTTCTTGTGTCACATGATGTGTTGGTCAGTGGGACGAATGAGCTGTTGGTCATCATGTCACATGGTCTGATGGCCAATGAATCTCATGATCCAAATGTTCTTGTGTCACATGATCTGTTGGTCAGTGGGTCGAATGAGCTGTTGGCCAACATGTCACATGGTTCCACTGCCAGCTAATCTCATGATCCAAGTGTCGTTGTATCACATGATGTGTTGGTCAACATGTCACATGGTCTGATGGCCAGCGAATCTCATGATCCAAAAGTTGATGTGTCACATGTTTCAACATTCAGTATATTGCATCAGCTGTTAGCCATTGGGTCAAATGGTCTGATGATCCATTTTAAAATCTCATCACATCTGTCCAAAGTTTATCAAAATAAACACAAATATGAAACTTTTCCAGTGTATTTTATTTATGAGAAAATACAACGTCAATGAGAACTGAAAACAATATGACAACATAAGATCATAACAACACCATAACTGACTGATAGTTTGTACACCATTTGTAATGTGAATATAAGGCATATGTCAAGCGTACATGAGGGTGTCGCTTTAACCACTAGGGCTACCCCAAATCGCCCCATTTGTATGCAATGAAAACAGAACTTTCTATTCCACATTTTATATGGCAATGACACTGACAACATATGGTTTCTTTATGTACAGAAAATGACAGCTTTAACTGTCAGGCTTTAAAGTTAACTCTGAAAGTTAAGTGTACTAGACATTAACACTTCCTTTGTGGAGAAGTAACTTAATTTTCACAGATAAATATATACAAAACAAATAATCTAATGGAATGAATAAGTAATCATCCCCAAGCAACCATTATATAATCTATTATAAACAATAGAACTGTATTTCAGATGTTCCAAACTGGAATAAATGTTTCAAATTGTGAAGTCTTATTTAGTAATGCTTACTTCTATGTTAATTAACAAGCACAAAATTAAATTGGTGTACGAATCCTTTTAAACTATTCAAAAAATATTAGAACTTTCATTAACCTGTTCTGAAATGTCATACTCAACTTCAAAAATGTTAAAAGTGGGCTTTTAAGAGTATTATCAGAGGGCTTTAAAGTTCATATGGACAAGGCGTTTGGAACATCAATAAAATCCACCAAGGAACAAAACTATTGTGACTTTTGACTACCATTTGTTATTTATCTATTTCCAATTTTAATCATTTTATAACCATATCAGAGAGTCTTCCAAAACCAAACGATAAATGAATGTCAAAGCTCAAGGTTTTGATTCTGTCAAGAGTAATATGCTAGCACCACAGCAAGGAGGATTTCAAGACTTGTAAAGCCTAAGCAAAACCTAAGGGTCAGCTCTAAATAAGGTGTATACCTCTGCTGAGGCTCATCCGAGCCTGAGTGTGTGAGTGAGTGAGTATGGATTGATCAGCAATATCGCAGTGGGGGACACCAGTAATGGGCTTCACACATTGTACCTATGTGGGGAATCGAACTCGGATGTTCTGCCTGACAGCCAACGCTACAACCACTAGGTTAGCCTGGATGAATAAGCTTAGCCAATTCGTCAGTGAACATTGAAACAACAAACAAACAACAAAACGTCAGTGAACAGGTAAAACGCCAGAAGCCAGGCCATCACAAAGATTTTGCTTCGAAAGCGTGTGGGTTTTCTGCAGGTATTCGAATGTGAATAGGGAATATCAAAATCCATTGAATGCTGAATGATTCTGACAGTACAATACGTGCTCAAGTATGATTTATGATGTTCCAAACAATGTTCTGTATGAGTGAGTGAATGCGTTTAGTTTAACGCTGCACTCAGCAATACCCCAGCTGTACTGCAGTGGTGTGTAAAAATCGAGTCTGGACCGGACAATCCAGTGATCAACAGCATAAGCATCGATCTACACAGTTGGGATACGATGACATGTGTCAACTAAGTCAGCGAGCCTGACCAACCGATCCCGTTTGTTGCCTTTTACGGCAAGCATGGGTTACTGAAGACCAATTTCTAACCCGGATCTTCGCGGGAGCAATGTTCTGTATCCTATTACTAGTCAACGAGAATAGGAAAATAAAGAACATTTTTTAAAATTTTAAAATGTTACTTTAAAACAACCAATACAATTCAAATTATGTTTTGAAATGTTCAAATGTTACAGAACTATACAATGAAATGTGAGGGAAATGTAACAAGTGTATATTACAAAAATATTATTTGCTGGCAAGAAGAGGAGGCCCTCTAAATATCAGATCAGTAGAAGAGGTTGAGATCATCGAATCTGGAGTCCCACTGTGAAGAGTTGCAATATTCCTTCCTGAGCTTGGTGCTGGACACGCCTTCTGTGTATGGCAGGAACTTGATGGTCATCAGTTTCTCACACAGTTCACGAGCAGGGAAGTTCTGCATGTCGTCACCTCGCACGTAGAGGGCGCTCTCGGTTTTGTTGTCGAAGATTGCCCGGATGTACGGGGTTGGATCGGTGCCAGCAACACAGAAGACCTGAGTTGGAGAGTGAGTGAGTTTAGTTTTACGCTGCACTCAGCTATATTCCAGCTATATGTCTGTAAATAATCGAGTCTGGACCAGACAATCCAGTGATCAACAGCATGAGCATCGATCTGCGCAATTGGGAACCGATGACATGTGTCAACCAAGTCAGCGAGCCTGACCACCCGATCCCGTTAGTCGCCTCTATATTACCGTAGATAAGCCGAGCCTTAACTTGACCCTTAAAATCACTGTCAAAATGGTATGTTTCGTACATAAGCCGATCCCAAGCGATGGGGTCCTAATCGCGGCCAACTCAGACCACAGACAGCTGGCAGTTACCGATAATTATAACTTCGATCCGCATTATTCACAGAATTCACAATCATATTGCGCCTACTCACGCCTCGAAATGAAGTGTAGTTGACAGAAAATGGATAATATATTATGTTTCGCTAAATATCATACATGTCAACAAACTGACTTGCTCATGGCCTTCATCCAACCCATTTTGTCGTCTTTTGAAACAAACCCAGCTCTACAACACTCGTAAGCCCAAGTTAGGTATGGGAGTAACGTGAACCTTAGCGCTAAGATCGCTTTGTCAAACTGCACCCAGATCAACGAGGTCGTAATGTTAGTAAAACTACGAAACTGGTTATTGTTAACTGCAAAGACGCCACAACAGTTAGATCTAACTACACATAAACGGCATCAGCAGACAAACAATGTTCAGTGATTACAAGTTCGAGTTTCCCAACCGCGTTAACTGGAGGACCGCTGAATGACTTCACCATTGCGTTTGAATGGGTCCCCAGTAGCATATGCATGTCGTAAGAGGAAAGCAAAAGGATCATGAGAGTCTGGTGATAGGCAATCATCACCACACGCCCCTTGCCGTAACCTCCCAGAATAACACGAGTTGGTCATGAATTGTGATCTGGTTTAAAGGTGTCAGAGTACCCAGATGCTCATAATATTACTCACTAGTTGTGAGCTACAGCTCGACACATTCTCATTCATTTACTGGTAATAACATGGATATTGTTCAGGCGTTAAATAAGAAACGAAATACAAATAACAGTTGATATGATCTTACCACGTCAGCATATTGCTTGACATTCATCATCCTGGTGTGGGTGCTGTCAATGGGAACCCGTTTCTTCAGTGTACAGATACTTCGACTGTCATGCACTCCGACAACGACCTGATGACATAGAAGTATACCATCACTGTGTCGTCTTCACTGATAACAAAGAGGGGTGTTTTGTACAGCCATTTACACAGGGCATGTCTGAAGATTGTGCAGCATTCTTCCATATGCTGGTGTTGATCAGCACCACACCAAAAGAATTCACCAAAGGGTACACGTCTAAGATATGCATCAGTTTTTATCAGATCATGTCTGATAAAGGTCGGAGGAGGTTTCATACAGGATAGGACTTGGGCGTTTCCCATGTCTGTGAAACCCGTCATCACAGGTATGGTGATGACGAACTGTGGGTTGTTATCATGGGGACTCTCAGATTGGTATCAACGTTCTTGGGAACTATATATACCAGTGACGTGGGAGGGGAAATTGTAACGACTTTCAGTAACCGCAAATGATTGAAGCGTTGGTAAAATATCAAATTCTGTCATAACCTGATTTTACCAGCACACACAGGCACAGAGTAAATTGACTGATAAAGGTTCTGTCGTTCCGCAAGTTCGAGAAGCTGGTTGTAGCCATAGGGTAGCATTAGAGACCCAGAGCGAATCCAGGAAAATTTCAACCCGATTAAAGTTCCATCTACTAAGTGCGGACGGTATACCTATCTGGAAACATCAAATTCCTGCCAGCTTCTAACACTTTTCTTGGTTTGGGAACCAACAGGTGTTTATACACACTAAAAGTGGAAAAAGCCATCATTCGTCATTGCACTGACATATTGTAAGGTCTGTCCATTTTGTGCTGACACATATATTACCTTCACGTTGACTTTGGGTTTTGAAACCTAAAATTGTGTGTTTTAAGTTACTTTTGACATAATTTGTTAGATAGTCATATATCTTGTGTGGACATGTACTGATTTCCAAATTTTGTTCTGCACTAACCGATTAGCCTTAGCATTTGAATCTGGAAATCACTACGTAACACCGATGATGAAATCGGGATCAAATGAAGAGGACTGGTATGTGGAAATCCTTATCAAACAACGGTCACTGACCTGTTTGCCAAGCTTCCTCATCCTCTGCATCAGTTTCACATGGCCGTGATGGAAGAGGTCGAAGCAGCCGACGGTGTACACCCTGTCCACCCTGGAGTCCAGGTGAGTTATTGGCAGCGAGTCCTGTAGGATCGTCCTCTTCTCGTACAACTCACTGCAAGGAAAACAGATGCAGTTCTTAGGTCTGTTCTTTCTTGTTTCATACATGTCAAACACTTTAACCAAGGCTTAATGTTTTTATGGATACATATACATCAATATAAAAAGAAAAGTCAGCGTACTAATTTTGGTAATACATGCAGGATGTGTATACGTGAGTGTGTTTTATGAGACTGAAAGCAGTCAGTCATGAGAGCCTTTAGTGCTTAGATTTAGAGAATGAAGTTAGTAAAATCGCCACTTCGAACATTATTTCATTTACACCATGGCGTGTGCTCGAAGTGGTGAAGGCCACTTTAGGGTGCGGCAATACCAAACCGAGAAGCATCATCAGGTCAAATATGGTTTGGTTTGGTTTGGTATATTCCAGCAATATTCCAGCTATATGTGGGCGGTCTGGAAATAATCGAGTCTGGACCTGACAATCAAGTGATCAACAGCATGAGCATCACTCTGCTCAAGTGGGATTCGATGACGTGTGTCAACCAAATCAGCGAGCCTGACCACCCGATCCCGTTAGTCGCCTCTTACGACAAGCATGGGTTACTGAAGTTCAATTCTAATCCGGATCTTCACGGGTGGTCAGATATGGGATTCGATCTTGACCTGTGACTGAATGAATGGAAATTGACCAATGACCCCTGGTCAAGCAATCAACCAAAGTCACAGATCCCCCATCTTCTTAAGGCGAACCTTAGGACAAACAAAGGTACCCCATCTTCGTAGGAATGCCTACGGGAAAGTATGTGCAAAAGGAACGTTGGTATTAATGAAAAGCGGCGTCATTGTTTCGATAGAACAAAGATGTGATTAATATGCTGTCAATGTTTGGTGGTGAATTGTTCCTTGATTACCTGTAAAGCATTGGAAACATTTCAGACAGGATTAACACAGTTGGTTGACAACAACAAACAAGGTGGATACATCGCAATATATACATGACAATATTACAAAAGCTATATAAATGTGTCCGCCAATACCATTTTCTTTGACTTCCTTTGATATGATTCGTGTGACTCGTCTGAAATTGAAAATGCAGTTAAAAATACATACATTATGCAAACGGTGCTTACGAATTAAATTTACTTTGACAGATGCAGGGTGTGATTGACAATACTTAGTATAAAAAACTGGAACAGAAGCCGTATGGGAGATACAGCAAATACACGCAGAAAACATGTATGGGCAAGTTTGGATAGATCGCACATGGATAAATAAATGTGTATATGGATATATATAAATTTCATTCGATTTCACAAACTAGTGATGACTCCAACGGCTCCGTGCGTATCTTCATGGAACAAAACTTCCGTAGAAATTATGACATTCTTTACTTAATTTGAACTTGGACAATAAATCCGTTTCTTGAAATGAACACAATTCCTTTGGAAAAATTGAAAATGTAGTACATAGATATACGCTTTCGTTAGAACATTATATTAATGGTCACAAATTAAACAATCTGTAAAACATGTATCAAAAATGAAAGATTGTGTTGTAGGAAAGCATTATGAATATTTAGGTTTTGTATTCAGAAATTCCATGCCTGAGAAGATCCTGAATATTTTTCTATGATAACGCCAGTGAACGTTATATAAGCAAGTCCATATAGGACATATCCTTTAGTTTAATACATCAAGCGACAAAGGGAAACACACAAGGTGGACGCATAGGTGCATGGATATATTCTTGCGGGATGTTTTACATAAAGGATCGGGGTATTCGTTTGCTAATTTGTGTGAATTCAAATAGTTTATTCATCATCGAGGAACTTTACAACTTACTTATTTTCCATATTGATGTGCTCCACCTTTAGATCTTCTTCGATTGGTTGAACTTGAGTTCCAGTTGACCTTCGACCCTGAATTATATTTCGTAAGAATCAATTTGTGATAACTTCCTTCATTAATTGTATCGCATTGCACGTTGTATGTCAGTGAATGATTTGACTCCCAATAGTATTTCTGTTATGTCGTGGCAGCCATCTTAATGTCATTCAACGTACATCTTGGATGTAAATAAATTGCGAGAAATCGGCAACTGGCATATGCTTTTGCAATTTGAATATTTCTCTAAGCGACACGAGCTTGGTTATCACAGGGACAGATAAACTTTAAATTTAAACTATTAAAGTGTTTGCTTAACAATTGTCACACAAACAACAAACAGAAAACCATGAAAAAGCAAATATTTATTCTAAATTCCTGTGAAAAATAATTCGTCAAATATCACTATGCGCCATCTGTCAAAATGAATGAAGGGCCCGCCTCAGCAGTCATGAAAACTTCGTTTGTAACACTATTCCACATACATCACGGTGTGTCAGATTATTGTATGGTTTTAACGTCATGAAGGACCATATTTCAACGTCATCATGAAACACATTTTTACGTCATAAAGTACCATATTTTAATATCATGAAGGACGATATTTTAATGCTATGAAGGACCGTATTTCAAGATCACGAAGCATCTTATTTTAATACTATGAAGTACCACACGTTAACGTCATGAAGGACCAAATGTCAAATCATGAATTACCACACGTTTACGTCATGAAGGACCAAATATCAAATCATGAAGTACCACACGTTAACGTCATGAAGGACCAAATGTCAAATCATGAAGTACCACACGTTAACGTCATGACGGACCAAATGTCAAATCATGAAGTACCACACGTTAAGGTCATGAAGGACCAAATGTCAAATCATGAAGTACCACACGTTAACGTCATGAAGGACCAAATGTCAAATCATGAAGTACCACACGTTAAGGTCATGAAGGACCAAATGTCAAATCATGAAGTACCACACGTTAAGGTCATGAAGGACCAAATGTCAAATCATGAAGTACCACATGTAAACGTCATGACGGACCAAATGTCAATTCATTAAATACCACATGTTAGCGTGTTGAAGGACCAAATGTCAAATCATGAAGTACCACACGTTAAGGTCATGAAGGACCAAATGTCAAATCATGAAGTACCACATGTTAACGTCATGAAGGACCAAATGTCAAGTCATGAAGTACCACATGTTAACGTCATGAAGGACCAAATGTCAAATCATGAAGTACCACATTTCAACGTCATGAAACACTACATGTCAACTTCACGAAGCACCACATCTTAACGTCATCAAGGACCATATTTGAAGATAGGAAGGACCATATTTTAGCATCACGAAGGACCATATGTTAACACCACGAAGAAACATAATTCAATATCGTAAAGGAGCACATTTTAATGTACCAAATGACCATATTGTAAGTCATGAAATATCAAATGTTAACATCACGAAGGGTCATATTTTAACATCATTAAAGGACTATATTGTAATAGACATTCACAGAATCACCTCCATAAAAGGTCTGCCACGTTTACTTGGTAACAACTGGCAGCAGCTGCACACGATTTGTGCCAATCCATGAATTAGGCTGCATTTGAATTTACGTAAATATCGATTTTATACCTATTAATAAAATAGCATATACTATCGTACATTGTGATGTTTTGACATATGAGGTGAGCTGATATTGTTTCACCAACTGCCGACCAATTCTGTTGTGACAGATATATTATTTAAGCCATAAATGCAATTTCATAAACAGAATTAAAATATATTTGCTTCCTAATACAGTGCAGATTTGAGGTATATGTGTGCATATACTAGTATACATGGTGCAGTGTAAAATGGTTCTGTTTCTGTTCGAAATGGCAATCAAACATCTTGGAAACGTAGCAACAAGTAAAATTAACCTCATGACTTAGTATATTTTCTGGCACCTATAAAGAACACGAGAAAAAACACTCATCCGACAGAAGTAATGTTTTCAACTTAATAGTGAGTGAGTGAGTTTAGTTTTACGCCGCACTCAGCAATATACCAGCTATATGGCGGCGGTCTGTAAATAATCGAGTCTGGACCAGACAATCCAGTGATCAACAGCATGAGCATCGATCTGCGCAATCGGGAACCGATGACATGTGTCAACCAAGTCAGCGATCCTGACCACCCGATCCCGTTAGTCGCCTCTTACGACAAGCATAGACGCCTTTTGTGGCAAGCATGGGTTGCTGAAGACCTATTCTACCCCGGATCTTCACGGGTCTATAACTTAATAGACACGGATATTAAAAACCCAAAATAACAAAAAGAAACAAACCACTGAAGCACCAAATATAATTGGAATATTTAAATACACAAACCTGATATTTATTTCTCCTAACTGCCTCTTTAAAATGTCGTAAACAACTATAACTATACAAGAATCTGTATCCTAACGTCGCACCATCTGAATAAATATGTTGTACATCCATGAAGTTTATCCTCATCTGACATTTACATAATAAGAATGAGGACTGGGGAAATATGAGATATATAATGTAATCCTTTTCGTACTTATGTACTATTAACCGCTACCGTGATGGTGTAGTGGACAGAGTGTCTGACGTGGAAGGGGAAGGTGGGTGGTCCGATACCCATGCTGCGTCATACCAAACGTCATGCTACATGTTATTACCGTGCCTGGTGCTTGGCATTAAGAGGACGCAGTAAAGACCGGTCGGTGAGGTGGGTGGTTAAGGCGTTCGCTCGTCACGCCGCAGACCCGGGCTTGATTCCCCACATGGGTACAATGTGTGAAGCCCATTTCTGGTGTCCCCCGCCGTGATAGTGCTGGAATATTGATGAAAGTGGCGTAAAACTATACTAACTCACTCACTTATGCCGAACCCGGGCCGAAGACGAGCGACCGCTTTAACCACTAGGCTACCCCACCGCCCTATGACATAAGTAGTTACTTTGTTGTTTTACGCCGCACTTAACAATACTCCAGTTACAAGACTGCAGTCTGTAAATAATCGAGTCTGAACCAGACAATCCAGTGACCAACATGCACACATTTGATAAATATGAAAATACTTGTATCACTACTCGAGGCACTTTGAAAAGAAATCAAATGATTCAATTGGCTACTTTAATATTTATTATGTTATTATATTATTTTTTTCATCCATTTTCTGTGGATTTTTGCACAAACTGTTCCAGCCGCGATTATTCAGGATATCTGAAACCCTCGCGCCATTCTTCGAAAGCGTTGTTTCGGAAGTGACGTCACTCACCCCGACAACGGTCCCGGTTGACTTGATATTTTCTTCTTTCTCCCAAACAAATCGTGCTCATAGCGAACAAACATATCGAATGTTTGTTTGTTTGTTTGTTTTTCATCTCGCTGAACACCATTCATGGCGGGCTGTAAACAATGGAGTTTGAACTCCCAATCCAGTGACTGATATCATGAGCATCGAGCTTCTAGTCGAAATTTCTGACAGGGATGGGTTTCTGAATAACAATCTAACAGACAATCCAGTGATTGGTATCATGAGCAAAAACGCGCCGTCGGGTTAACATGACACGCAATCACCCAAATCAAGGATGACCCTGATTAATTAAGTCGTGTCGTGTGAATAGGGTTGAAGTCCTTGAGCGAGTTCAATGTCATCTCGTCACGTGACCGAAGTACAAGATCATATCGTCTCTGAGTTCGGTTATAAATACCTGTCTGTGTGATGAGATATATGTTATTTACTATCAAAGTTAGGTGATAAACATGCTATCTCCAAGTTAAATAGGATATGCTTAAATCGCGACGATAACGAACTGACACACATAATAGTGAGTCAGTGAATTTAGTTTTACGCCGCACTCAGCAATATTCCAGGTATATGGCGGCGGTCTGTAAATAATCGTGTCTGGACCAGACAATCCAGTGATCAACAGCATGAGCATCGATCTGCGCAATTGGGAACCGATGACATGGACACATATAAAATACATTACAAAACAGCATAGAACAACGATGCCATTGTCTATATATTTACAGGTGGGTGAGTTGCGTTTAACGCCGCTGTGAACGGTATTCTGGTTGTATCAAGGCTGGTCTGCTGAAGTTGGGATGAAATCCCGAAGTGATCGCAACCGTCAACCAAGTTAGTGAAACCCATGATCACAAACCAGGAAACACACTCGGGGTGAGGGGGGACTCGAACTCACGATCATAGGTTTCTGGCGTGTCAAAGGGACGTTACTCTGTAAAACGAATTGTGGAATTTTGAGACGGGGTCATTCAGGTCCCCTCTTCACATGACCCATGCATGTAGAAATGATATCATCGAATACGCCATCAAACTGAAAAAGTATTGTGTATTGGGAGGCCAAAATGTCTGCTGAGTTGAGTGCAAATGCTTACGTAAACTAATGTAATAACGAGTGAATGGGTGTGTCCTTTTACGCTGTATTTATAGCCATCTGAATCACTCGGATGTTCCTAAACTTGCCCATAATCATTTTTAACGTGGTGAGCAAACGACTTTACGAACAAAAATAACGCAACTTGAAAATACTTCGGTCATTCCAAATATACAGAGGCCTTTTAGGGTCATTTGTATTTTATGTTTCGTTTTTGAAATTTCAAGGCAATTAACTTGGAGGTTTCTAAAAATAAATTGATTTTTCTGGATTCTAACTTGAAATTTCAAGTTATTTTCATAGTAACTTTTCAATTATTTCAATTATTGATTTGTTTGAGTGGCATTCTAGAAGTTGGTGGTATAGAGATGACAAAACTTTATGGATGAAAATAAAGAAGTTGATCATCCAAAACGTTTTGACATCTCTATTTCAATTATTATCTTGAATAAAATACATGTTGTGTTAATTTCTTTTGATTATCTTACTCATATCGAAATTATATTTTTAGAAATAATACTATGCCTAACGACCTACAAAGGTTTCCGTACGACAGGTAAAGGCATGGGAAAGAAGGCTACTACACGCCACGACCTGTTTACCTTGAC